CGATTTTTTCAGGTGCAGTGATCCGATTGGCCACCCATTCTCCCCGCAGAAGTCGATCGATTTACTGGTGTCTGTTGAGACTGCCACCGCACGTGCCAAGGGACCCCGGTCCAGGAAAGGAGTTTTTTAGGCCCGGTGAATCCCAAGACTGGGGGTGGGACTCCTGCTCCATGTCGGGCATTTTGATGAGAGAGTCAGAAAGTCGAATTTGCAACCTAAAGACCAGGTCACCAAACCCGCGCGCGCGCGTGTGTGGGTGTGTGTGTGTGTGTGTGTGTTCGCGATTGAAACAAATGAATCACTTCAATGCGCAAGGCCAACCAAGTGAAGACCAAATTCTGGAGCCAGACTCCCTTGCCATTCTCCAGACTCCACCGCGGATACTATCCAACAAGTGAAAAAGAAAGAAAGCGCGTGACAACGTCAGGAAGGCCGGTTTGCATGGCCGACGTGCAAACCTTCAGCCAGGAGTTGGATGGTTGTCCTTTTCGGATTTTCTGTTTATTTGGTTTGGTGGTTGGGTTTCCATTGAACCCACTAGTCACATTTAGCAGGGGACTTGAGCCCAGGTTCCGTGGTTGTGGGATGTGCCAAAAAGATAGGACAATCAAAATATGTGTTTCTTTTTTGGTTTCCGGGTGATCTAGCTTAAAATCATGGGGCTTCCCTGTGATGGTGTGGCCAAAAGAAATTTGGGCCACCAAATGTCACTTGCTGTTGGTGTCCCTAAAGCAACGATCAGATTACCCTTTCTTGGTGGTTTGGTTTGGTTTCGAAACTATTTTTTGTCTTCCCACGTATCCTCAAGAACCAGGGCTTCAAATCCACAACCGCCAATTGAGGGGAACCTCAGTGTTTGGGCGGTTCTCCGAAAACCGGCAACCCTCCCCCCCCCTCCCCCCCCTCCTCCCCCCCCGCCGGGGAGGAAGGTTATGCAAGAAAAAGGAGACCCGGGCAGGGGGGGTTGCCCGTTTTGTTTTGGAGAATCGGGTTTTGGAAGTTGGAGGCACTTGCGAGAACTGTTGAGGGCGGAACATAGTTGAAAACAATATCGTAAAGACATGAATCATAGTTCTTTGGACATCTTGGGCCATGAATCGACAGTCCTCGTTTTCACCATTCATCCATCTCATCCTTCTGCCAGGACAATGCATTTGAACATTGGACCACGATCATTCTGTATCCTGATCATTTCTTCGATTGTGCGAAGGTGATACGCCCTGCGAGACGACGGGGGACTGACATGAGATACGCTTTGTGGTTCTCAGGGTGGAATTGGACGCCAGTTTCCATGGCAGGAAAGGGAAAGCTGCCCTCAGCTGGGTGACCGGCAGTTCATCCTTTGCGATTTCCAAGACCAATGTCTGAGATTCGAGCCAATTTCTCCCGCCTTGTGCCCGATACCGACGTGCAAACCGCTAGAAACTCCAACGGGCGGATTTCCTGGAAGCTTGAGCAACACACGGAGCTACACAGGTGGAATGATGCATCCAGAAGAAACCGACCTGTGGAGATTCCTAGGGCAAATCCATGGATTTCCATTTGTGGCACTGTTGGCATATAGCCGTAGATGAAATCAAGGCCAGAAGGCGAAGCCATCGCATGGGGGGCTTGAACTTCACGCAACATCCCCTTACCAACGCCCAAGGGGTGAGCGTAGGCCGCGACTCTCAGCTTTTTTTGTGTTCATCCTCCCAAGAAATGTGGAGAAGGAAACGCCCTTGACCTGGATTGATGCTTGACTCTCGTGATGGAGCCGGAACCTCTTAGATTGGGCACAAAGAAACACATTCACACGCACACCACGCCGAGAGCTTCTCAGCCTTGTATATCAGCTGCAGGTCATGGAAAGGCTGTTGGCGGCTGTAGGCTGCTGGTGGGATGAGTTTTGACTGACATGCACACGGGCATTTATGTGCTGTGAATATTGCGGGGACTTGCGAAAGGCTAGTTGAGGTGCAAGAGTTTATGTTGCTCAATGACATTCAGTGTAAAGGACTTGATCAAGTCCAAGTCTCAATACGGAACCTCAATGGTGTTTTTGTCTAAGGCCAACGTATTGCAATCAACACAACTCGCAATGGACACGCTGACTGGGCTTGAGCCGCAAGCGCGCCTTTGACACCATAGTGCTGCAAACATGCAAATCAACGGCAGCAAGAGGGGTGGCCATGTGGCTTCTGTCCGCGTGTCGTCGAAAACCTTTAGTACCAGCTGCCATTCTCCTTGTGGTTCTCTTTTTGGAAGCCTATTTGATTTACCCGGAAAGCCGGGCTCTTGGTGGCCTTGAGTCATTCTCAGATTTCTTGGTGCCTGATGCAGTCGATATGAGGAGAAGTGTGGGAGCTTGTGCAATTTTCATCTTCGCGGAGATGTTTCTCCTGTTTAGCGGGCTTTTCTTTTTGAATGACAGCCACAGCTCCAGGTCGCGCCGATTTGGAAGAAGCCTATTGGTAGTAGCGATTATTTACCTTGCGGGCTTTCTGAGTCTTCGGCATGGACTGCGGAGTCTCAAGTTTAGTCTCTTTTGGGCTTCAGATTGTTCAGAATACACAGCCGCAGACAGCTTGCGGCTTGCAGAGTTTGACGCAGACTTGAAGTGGGCGGAGGAACATTTGTTGCCGAAATCCAATGCATCAGGTGAGGCGGGCAAGATGTTCATCGCGATCAATGCGGTCCCCAACCGAACGGAGCGCTATCTTTCGCAGACCTTGGCCTCTTTGCTGCGGAGCCTTTCTGTGGAAGAGGTTGAAGGCTTGCGAATTGAGATCTTGTCCGATGAAGCTTTTCCTGAGTTGCACGCGATCTCCACACATTCCTTGGAGCCTTTGGTCCAGGTAGTCTACAATCCGAGCCCGGCTCCGACGGCTCCGACGGCTAGCACCACAGAGAGCTGGAGAAGAGAAGCGGTTCTGCACTATCTGCTGGCCATGGAGCGCTGCTTCGCCGGCGCGGCCGAGGTTTGCTTGGTCCTGGATGACGACACGCTCGCGTCTGAGGGTTGGTTGTCGGAGGTGTTGCAAGATGTAAGGCAGTTGGAATCTGGAGATTTTGGAGCGGAAGGACAGCAATGGATGATGCTAAAGCTTTTCCAACCAGTTTGGGGGAACCAGCGGCAATTGTGGACTGAAGGCAATGTGCCTCTCTTGATTTCTATGGGAGTCTTCGGAGCAATTCCGTGTAGCTTGTTGGGCTTGCTGGCCCGCTCTCGGTGTCGGAGATTGACTCCTTCTTTCAGGTTCTGGGGCCTGGTGGGCTTCCTGGCGTCCATCTATGTTGTTTATGTTGCTGGGAAGGTGAACCTGGAATGGATCATCGGAGATGCGGCGGTGCATCCGCATGGAACTTGCCACATGGCCCAGGCCAACCTCTTTCATCGAGGCAGAGCCCAGTCTGCCGGGCTCTGCGAGTATTTGAGGAACCACTCGCTGGAGGGGCCCTTCATAGATCGCCTGATCTGCGACTTCTTCGGCCAACGCCCCATGTGGGCCACTTCGCCCAGCCTCTTTCAGCACGCCGGCCTCAACACCAGCCTACCAGGGAAGGTAGGACCTACACCCTGCCGGATTCGGTCCTTTCATGAAGGCCTGTGGCGGACGCGAGTGGAACAAAGGCGCGCGCGGCGCGCGGTCCTAGAATTATTGTGTCTCCGTATTTGATGAACCACAGTTTCTGCTTCAGCAGAAAGGTGACGCGCGTAAAGTAAAGGATCCCCGTGAGAGAGATTTTACTGGTGGGTTGGCTGAGTGCTGCTCAAAGATTATGCTGAGTCACTGGAAAAATCAAAGCTCGGGTTGATGAAAAGGTCCTTCACATGGGGTAGGCACCAACAAAGATGACTTTCACCACATGGGAAACGTTACCCATGGTCATCCTGGCGAACATGAACATTGATCAACCCCCATGTGAGCGAGCGAATGAATCGAGCTCTGCGACAGATGTCGATTGCTTCCTTCATGCCCAGGACTCGAAGATTCGTTGGATTTACGGTAAGGTTTTCCAGCCAGATGCATTGTGGCAACTGCAGAGTTTCACTGTGGCAAATAAACGATGCCTGACAGATATTCCCTTTTTTCAGATCCTGCAGCTTCAAACCATTTCAACTGGTTCACATGATGAGACTTGAATGTGAGTGAAAAACCAAGCACAAACCTTGTGAACATCCCGTAGCCCTTGCGCATTCGTTGTGGCCCGTTGCAGACTTTGCCTAGCAAAACCTTTTCTGAGACTTTAAGTCTAGACATATTTTTTGACAAACCCGTCAGACTGCCTTCCCCCATTTTCTGGGCAGCAGCTTGGATGATCGTATAAGTTGTGCATATATATATATATATACATATATGTGTATATATATAGCGCGGTGTTGCAGGCCGTGTGGATGAGAGCAAGCTCTCGGCCCTCACGGCAGTGCGGACGACGCTGCACGCCCCTTGTCTGAGACTACCTGGGTGTGTCGTTTTTGAGGGGGGGCCCAAAATGGGTGGGTTGTCACTTTGGTTTTCCTTTAAACCACCAAAAAGACGTACCGAGCCTCAAAGAAAGACACCCCCACCTGGCAACTTGTGGCTAGACATTTTGCCACCCCAAGCACAACACCAAGGAAAGGGAAGCGGGGAACCCGAAGGACAGGTACTTGTGGTACCAAATCAAAGCTTTGCACGTCAAATTATTCAGGCCCTCATCAAAGAAAGCTTAGAAGGAACTTCCGTGTTACGGACACTAATCGAAGGTAGTCTTGCGCACAGATAAGATGAAGAAATAATGAACGCATGCGAGAACACATGCGTAGACAGATAGATAGATAAATAGATGAGCAGATGGATAGATGGATCGATCGATTGCTAGACACATAGATAGGTAGGTAGGTAGATACATGCAAAGGCAGGCAAACAAACAGACAGATAGAGAAGTGCGCAGAAAGAAAGAAAGAAAGATAGATAGTTACATAGATAGATGCAAAGACCTCGATAGATAGATAGATAGATGGCTAGAGACATAGATAAATAGATAGAAATAGAGTTAGATAGATAGATAGATAGATAGATAGATAGATAGGTAGGTAGGTAGATCGATAGATAGATAGATAGATAGATAGATAGATAGATAGATAGATACATAGATAGATAGATAGGTAGATAGATAGATAGATAGACAGATAGATAGATAGATGGATAAACAGATAGACAAACAGATAGATAGACAGATAGATAGATAAACAGATAGATGGGTGGATAGGTCGATAGATAGGCACATAGATAGATGGATAGGCAGATATCAATGTGGATCGACAGATAGACAGATAGAGCGATAGGCCGATATATAGATGGATCGATGCGAGCTATGCGAAGCATTTTCTTGGCAGACAGGCGTTCAGGAAATATGCAAAGGAGGCAGAGAAAGGAGAGAGAAGAGAATGAGAAAGAGAAGAAGGGAAAGGGAAAGAGAAAAGGGAGAGGGAAGGTAGATAGGGGTGGGTAGGTAGATAGGGGTAGGTAGGTAGGTAGGTAGGTAGGTAGGTAGGTAGGTAGGTAGGTAGGTAGGTAGGTAGGTAGGTAGGTAGATAGGTTAGATAGCTAGATACATCGCGATAGATTTATGCATTGTCACAGTAGACAGGTAGATGCAGACAGATGAGATAAGTTACATAGATGGATACATCTTGACAGATAGACAGATAGGTGGATAGTACCCGAAGCAGTTTCCCGACGGACATGCGTTCAGAGAAAGAGACAAGGAAAGAGAAGAGAATGATAAAGAGAAAGAGAAAAAGGAGAAACGGAAAGCCAAAAGGACAGACAGAGAGAAGGAACAGACACAGACACGGAAAGAGAAAGAGAGAAAGAGAAAGAGAAAGAGAGCAAGGCAGAGAGACAGAGAAAGAGACAAAGAAAGAAAGAGAGAGCGAGAAGAAACGCGAAAATTCCAAAGAGAGAGAAGAAACGAGAAACATAACGAGATCTTTAGCTTATATTTTTGAAGCTTCCAACCGGCTTCGCCGGCTCTACTGGTAGTGCTGTACAAAGCTTTGGGGTATGACTTTGAGAATGGCAATCTCGCAAAATCCCTTTTTTCCGGCCACCTGAACCTTCTCAGAATCCCATAAGCCACTTATTGTAGCTAGCCGTTTTGCCCCAAAAAACAAACCTTGACCAAAAAGGGGGCAGAAACCCACGGCGAGTTTCTCGAATCCAGCCACGGCCAAAATTTCGAGGACCTGATCTTCCGGTCCAGCCTCCGGCTGCCGTCGCTGGACGCCCTGCTGCAGTGCCTCGCCTCCCTGGAGAACTCCTCGGAAATCCCCGGCGCGGCGCCCAGCGCGCTGGGTCGTCGGTCGACCCATCGAGCCACCGGACAGCCCGGCCCGGGCACGGGGGAAGACGTGGTCCTGACGTGTGGCAAGGAAGGGAAGCGAGGAAAGTGATGTAAGTTGAAGCTGATTCAGGTTGAAGCCGATTTAAGTTGAAGCCGATTCAAGGAAGTCGGGGTATCCACAGTAGCACCGGTTTATGAGGGATGGTCCTAGCGTGTTGGGGGTGTCTGGCCATTGGTGGGTGGGTTTCAAGGTCCATTTCAGCAAACCCCGAGGTGCACCCACTCCCATTCGAGCAAACCCCAAGGTGGCTGGCGGCTGATGTAGGGATCCGAACCAATTCCTGGGCATAAGTCGAACTTGGAGAAAAAACTTAAAAACATGCAAATCAGTTTCAAGCCTAATATGGTAAGCAATTGTAGGGGTTGATTCCCCATTCTCTTCAATCATCGTTCTTTTCAACCGCCGGCCGTTCTCCCATTTGCGGAGGTTTTCTAGAAGGACTCAGCCCAATCAGTTTCAAGCCCAAATGGTCAAACCAGTCCGTGCCGCTAAAACTTGCGAGGCCTGATCCACGCCTTGAACTTTGCCCACTCGATGCACGGGCCCCTCTCTGAGCTGCTGGTGGGCAAGGCCCGGTTCGGGTCACTTTGGGGTCGGGGAGTGGCCAAAACGGAAGACGGTCATTTGCGTTTTTTTTTGGATAGGAAACGCCACCCTATTTTAACGCACCTTTTTTTTGGTCCCGCATTTTTGGGAAGACGAGAATGCCGGGAGCCAAACACAGGGGACGTTCGGGGTGGTTGCCCTTGTCTCATGCGTTCCGTTTGGGGCGGCTGTCTGCTGTCTACAGAAACCAGCAGCAAGAATCTTTGTTTACAGAAGCCGATTGATTTGTTGGCAGAAAACAAAGACAACAACAATTTCAGGTGTGCTCTTTCTTTGCGCGCGCGCGTGTGTGTGTGTGTGCCGTCCTGGATCACGGACGATACAAACCCGGCGGGGGGCCCACCGGGGACCAGGGGGGGCGGTGGCCAACGAAGACCCCCCTCTGGTCCCGTGAAAGCGTACCCGCTGTTGGTCCCTTTGTTTTTGTGATGTTGGGTCCCCAAAAGTCGCTGTCTGCTTCCTTTGTTGTTGATGCCAAGGGAATCCAAGGGTTTCTTGCTGTCTTGTCTGCGAGTGAAGCCACTCGAGATAAGCTGTCCGACATGGCGCCGTGGGCTGGACTCGCCATATGCGGGAGCCCCCTGCGAGGGGATGACATTCAAAAGTTCAAGTTCAGTTCGCATTCGCATTGCACTGCCTGCATTTTGAACAAGGCAGCTCTCATGAGGTATCAGGCTCCGGCAGCTTCATTCGCATTGCACTGCCTGCATTTTGAACAAGGCAGCTCTCATGAGGTATCAGGCTCCGGCAGCTTCATGCGCGAGTGACAAGCCGGTCAGACACCGACTTTGCAGTTCATTGATTCACGCTCTGCGCTGACTCAGATCAGTTCAATTCACTTTCACGTTCATGCGATGCCTTGATGTGTGCTTGGGTTTTTTCGTCTTTGAAAATCTTTTGCTGTTGCCGCGGGGTTTTTGGCGGTCCCCTGGTGGAATTCCCTCTGTGTGGTTTTTTGTGTGCTCGGGTTTTTCGTCCTTGAAAATCTTTTGCTGTTGCTGCGGGTTTTTGGAGGTCCCCTGGTGGAATTCCCTCTGCTTGGTTTTGTGCGCCCGGTTTTTCGTCTTTGAAAATCTTTTGCTGTTGCCGCGGGGTTTTTGGCGGTCCCCTGGTGGAATTCCCTCTGTGTGGTTCGTGTCCGCCCCACCGGGGCTTTGTGTGTGTGTGTGTGCCGTCCTGGATCACGGACGATACAAACCCGGCGGGGGGCCACCGGGGACCAGGGGGGGCGGTGGCCAACGAAGACCCCCCCTGGTCCCGTGAAAACGTACCCGCTGTTGGTCCCTTTGTTTTTGTGATGTTGGGTCCCCAAAAGTCGCTGTCTGCTTCCTTTGTTGTTGATGCCAAGGGAAGCCAAGGGTTTCTTGCTGTCTTGTCTGCGAGTGAAGCCACTCGAGATAAGTGTGTACACCCACGGCCTGTCCGACATGGCGCCGTGGGCTGGACTCGCCATATGCGGGAGCCCCCTGCGAGGGGATGACGTTCAAAAGTTCAAGTTCAGTTCGCATTCGCATTGCACTGCCTGCATTTTGAACAAGGCAGCTCCCATGAGGTATCAGGCTCCGGCAGCTTCATTCGCATTGCACTGCCTGCATTTTGAACAAGGCAGCTCTCATGAGGTATCAGGCTCCGGCAGCTTCATGCGCGAGTGACAAGCCGGTCAGACACCGACTTTGCAGTTCATTGATTCACGCTCTGCGCTGACTCAGATCAGTTCAATTCACTTTCACGTTCATGCGATGCCTTGATGTGTGCTTGGGTTTTTTCGTCTTTGAAAATCTTTTGCTGTTGCCGCGGGGTTTTTGGCGGTCCCCTGGTGGAATTCCCTCTGTGTGGTTCGTGTCCGCCCCACCGGGGCTTTGTGTGTGTGTGTGTGCCGTCCTGGATCACGGACGATACAAACCGGCGGGGGGGGCCCACCGGGGACCAGGGGGGGCGGTGGCCAACGAAGACCCCCCTCTGGTCCCGTGAAAACGTACCCGCTGTTGGTCCCTTTGTTTTTGTGATGTTGGGTCCCCAAAAGTCGCTGTCTGCTTCCTTTGTTGTTGATGCCAAGGGAAGCCAAGGGTTTCTTGCTGTCTTGTCTGCGAGTGAAGCCACTCGAGATAAGTGTGTATACCCACGGCCTGTCCGACATGGCGCCGTGGGCTGGACTCGCCATATGCGGGAGCCCCCTGCGAGGGGATGACGTTCAAAAGTTCAAGTTCAGTTCGCATTCGCATTGCACTGCCTGCATTTTGAACAAGGCAGCTCTCATGAGGTATCAGGCTCCGGCAGCTTCATTCGCATTGCACTGCCTGCATTTTGAACAAGGCAGCTCTCATGAGGTATCAGGCTCCGGCAGCTTCATGCGCGAGTGACAAGCCGGTCAGACACCGACTTTGCAGTTCATTGATTCACGCTCTGCGCTGACTCAGATCAGTTCAATTCACTTTCACGTTCATGCGATGCCTTGATGTGTGCTTGGGTTTTTTCGTCTTTGAAAATCTTTTGCTGTTGCCGCGGGGTTTTTGGCGGTCCCCTGGTGGAATTCCCTCTGTGTGGTTTTTTGTGTGCTCGGGTTTTTCGTCCTTGAAAATCTTTTGCTGTTGCTGCGGGTTTTTGGAGGTCCCCTGGTGGAATTCCCTCTGCTTGGTTTTGTGCGCCCGGTTTTTCGTCTTTGAAAATCTTTTGCTGTTGCCGCGGGGTTTTTGGCGGTCCCCTGGTGGAATTCCCTCTGTGTGGTTCGTGTCCGCCCCACCAGGGCTTTGTGTGTGTGTGTGCCGTCCTGGATCACGGACGATACAAACCCGGCGGGGGGCCACCGGGGACCAGGGGGGGCGGTGGCCAACGAAGACCCCCCCTTGGTCCCGTGAAAACGTACCCGCTGTTGATGTTGGGTCCCCAAAAGTCGCTGTCTGCTTCCTTTGTTGTTGATGCCAAGGGAAGCCAAGGGTTTCTTGCTGTCTTGCCTGCGAGTGAAGCCACTCGAGATAAGTGTGTGTGTGTGTGTGTCTTTTTGTTTGTCTTTCTGAAGGACAAGCCCAACATTTCGGTCTTTGGATGAGCCGCTTGCCGCTTGCCGCAGAGGATGCGGCGCTGGCGCGGATGCTGCAGATGCTGAAGCCCTCGAGCCACGCGCGGTGGGTCATGAGTCACAGGCGGGGGATGCGGGGGATATACATCCATGACCTAATCTATGTGGACACCTTGCAAGTGATATCCACACGGGTCGCTTTTGTATATATATATATATATATATTTCGGATGTGTGAACAGGGCGCATCTATGAGCATTTGGAATCAAGCCAGATTAGACGCTCGGCTATGTTGAAGCCAAAGTCAGGCAGAACACCTGCGATTAGAGGACCCTGTCTTTTTGACCGCCAACCTGTTTTCCGGACCCACTAACCAAAAGGTAAAATGGAGGTCGAAAAACAGGTTTGTGATTGGAAAAACAGGCTCCCCAAATCTTTGCTCATCGCTGGAAATCGGTCGGGCAAGGTCTGCTTCCTCTGCCAAAGACGAGGAGAGACAGGGCGAGGAAATGGATGGCTTTGGCTTTTGGAAGGCACCCGTTTATGCTTCAGAGAAAAACACCAATATGGCTGGGTTGCTCTCAACCTATGACCAAGGTGACCTTAAGGAGTCGAGAATGGTACCAGGGATCTTGTTGTTTCCTCCTTTCCAGGGAAGCGAATCGTTTGCTAGAAATTGGGTGCAAGGGCTTCTTCCCGGAAGGCCTCCACCCGTATGACCCGGTCTTTCGCATGTGTGCCTTGGACCCGCCCTCCCTGAAGCCGAGAGGAGGGTTGGAAGACTACCATCCTCAAAAGGTTGCTAGTCCACTTCAGGATTTTGGACATTTGGGAAACCCGGTGGCGGGTCTCCATTTTCGGAACCCGTGGCTTCCAAGTCCTTGAAGTTTGAAGCCAATTGCACGAGCAAAGCTGAAGTGAAGGCCAGAGACGTATGAGCAACGCCAACCTCGATTTGCCATTTGCCAACTTAGCAATGGGTACCCTCTGAATTTGTATGGAATAGAGCGAGGGCTGTATAGATCTACCAAATTGATAGAACCGAACGTTGATGGGCAATATAAAACTGCATGACCAAATTGTTATGGTCAACAGATGAATTTGTGGCAAAACTGCGTCGCAATCTTGTCTTCTTTGTCCCTCCCCGCTCTTTCCAGGAGCGTGCTAGGATCCCCCAACCAAGTGCATTGGGACTTGTTCATTTTGAGGGCTGTGCAGCGAAGAAATGGACCTCGAGTCCGGAAAAAGCAGATGCTAGCAGATGCGTATGAGCAATGCGAGTATGGTTCTAGTGGAGACTTCCCCATGATTGCCAGGGGTCCTTCTTCAAAGCCACGAAAAGACAACATGCACCCAGACAGATAGGGGATCTAATCCTGGACAAGGTGGATTTCCAACTTTTCTATGGCTCTAGTGGAGACTTCCCCATGATTTCCAGGGGTCCTTCTTTCAAAGCCAAGAAAAGAGACAAGGTGGATGTCCAATTTTCCCAAACCGCAGCCAAGAAAAGTCCTTCAAAACCAAAGGCAAGCCCAATTGAATCCCTTTTTGGGCTTGGGTCGGGAGACCAAAGCCGTGGTCCGAAGAAAAGTCCCAAGATCACCAAAGCCGAGGAGCAGGAGGCCGCCATCCCTGCGGAGGCGCGACTGCTGCATCTGGCGCTCAACAGTCCAGGCCGGGAAAGGGTGGAGTGCCTTTGCGGAAAGTGTTGTTCCCCAAGCAGCGAAGCATTGGGGTTCTAACTTGAGGTATAGAGAATGGGAAAGTGTGACGCCGGTTCCGGGTTATACAGACCTGTCATGCTTTTTTGCTGTTTGGGGTCGAGGCTGGTGTAATTTGTTTGGGATCCCTTTTGGAGGAAGTCGGCTTGGCGGATCATGCGGATCCCCAAATTTCTGTTTGAGGGGGAAGGATCTGACAAACGCTTTGGCATGAACGTGGATGCGGATTTTGGGCAAAGAGCGAGCGACTTCCACCGACTCAGTTATTTTGTAGGTTTGCGAGGAGCCTATGAAGGCCCCTCACTTTTCTTGGTGGCTCTCAGCCATCCCCACAGCTCTTTGGCTGTTTAGTGATTCTTGCGGACGTCCATTCAGTCCACTAAAAGTTAAACTTTTAGCGGGGGATCTGAGGACAGCCCAGTTTTGAATTTCCTTTTTTTTGAAGTGGCTCTGGGTCAAACCATAGGTATCCAAAATGGCTTGCCCTGGCAAATGTAAACATGGACTAAAACCTGCGGTCCGTATCCAAATGGTTTTGTTTCGACCCGTAGCCAAGTGTCAAAAGTTTACCCATATGCTTTAGTGGTAGAAACGAGGCTCCAGACTTCTTCCGAGTGGCCAAAGGGATCCATCGAGAGTGAACCACCTCTCATTCGCCAGGAACCGGCCCCATTTTTCAGCCTTTGAGGTGCGTTCGATGTGTTTTTCTTGGGACCCACCACAAAAAGTAGAGGACATAAATCCTACCGACTTCTGTCCACCAAAGGGTCTTCAAATTCACACCTAATTTTAACCCTGGGTTGACAACCTGGTTGATCAATAGGGAGGTGTTCCCGGTTTTGGTCTGGGTTTATTACACTTTTCTAGGGGACAGCCCCCAATTATTGGGACGCCCCCCCCACTTTAGTGTGGGTTTATATCACTTTCTAGAGGGGACAGCCCCCCCATAAAATAGGACGGCTTCTACTTAGCTCCGGGAGTCAACCCGAGAAACGGCCGGGCGCGCCGGACCCGCGCCCATCCAAGGCTCCGAGAGCTCAGCGCAGCGCCTGGTGGAGATTTTGGACTTCCAGGCCTGGAGTGGGGGGGGGACGGGGGACGGGGACGGGGGGGGGGGGGGGACGGGGAGGGGCTCAAGTGGTGGGGTTTCGCTGTTTCCTTGTGTCTCCCTTTTCAACCATACCTGCAAAAAGGTTGCGGTTTTTTGGGAACATAACTTCAATGCAAATTCCAAGTATTTCCAGATACCCCCCAAGTCAGCGGACGGAAGCGAGTTGATCGTGCTTGAACGTTTGGCATTTCCAGAAGAAGGGGAGATCCTTTCTCTCAAGCCTTTGGGGCATGCCAAAACCGGAAACGGATGGGATGCAAACATGCTGAGTAGAACTGGTTGTGCTAGGCATTATCACGCTTGGGTCTAAGCTAACCAGAGAAGAGTGCACGTGTCCAGGCTGTGGAAGACAGAACTTCGGGTTTGATCGAGGTTGATCGTTCTGCCCTATTTTGCGGCGAGCTCACCTGAGGCCTTTGAAAACGAGCTCGCCATTATCTATGCTTTGTACTTGGGGTTCCAATTCTTACTTTTTTGTTTGCTTGTAGAATCTGCAGATACGTAGGTAGAATCTGAGGTGACAGCTATGACTACTTCAAGTGCCCATTGATTGGAATGTCAAATCTAAATCCACGCCAGTGAAAGTGGCACAATTCCCTTTACGTGCGTAGGGGTCGACAAAGCCAAAACATCTTACTCTTACCCAACTCTTTTGGGCTAAATTTGACTATATGTGTGGGCAGGGTAGGATAAACATATGGGTTGGAATGCCCACTTCTTCCCAAGTGTCCTCCTGTGGATGGACGAACTCCGTTCGCACCACTTGGACACCATGCTTGAAATTATTCATCGTTCTTTACAGGGGGAACCGACTCCGAACTTCCAGGGGTTCCGAGTTCGGTGGGTTGCGATGTCTGGGTTTCGCGGAAGCGAAGCCATCCCCAGCGCGCCGCGAGCCCGTCGAAGCCCGAGGCCTCGGTGACGCTGGCGGCCAGCACCTCGGACTCCGCCTACGGCCAGGTGGCCGCCTTCAACGAGCAGATCGGCCTGGTGCGCCTCGCCGCCGCCGCGGGGGCGCCCGGAGCGGGTTTCGGCGGGGTCTGCGGGTTTCGGCGGGGTCTGCGGGTTCTGCGGGGTCCGGAAGGCTTCGCAGGTGGAAGGGAGGGTGCTTTTTTTTTTGCTCTTTTTTTTCCTTCTTTTTTATGGACTGCTAGGGGGGTTGGATCTTTCGGATCTTTAGCTTTTTGGTTGAAATCACGGGGTTGTCCATGACACCCACAAACAGCGAGACACTTTTTTTGCAGAGGTTTTTTTGGAAGTTTCCTGGAGCATCCCGAAAAAGGGCAACTCCAAAAACACACTCGGACTTAGGTAGATGAAAGCATGGGACACTCCCAACCACAAATAGCTGCGGCCGCCTTCTCGATTCTTTTCCTGGTTCTGGGATGACGACCATTTTGCCACCGGGTTTTGAGCCAGTGGCTCAGATGTACCGTGGCTTAGGTCCTGGACGACCTCCGCGAAGCGGGGCATCCCGACTTCCAGGTGGGGCTCGGAGAGTCTGCCAGACGTGGGGGTGCGTTCTTTGGGTCCCCTTTGGGAGCTTCCAGAGTAGGCCAAGAAGATGGTTTTCGCGGCTTCCTCAAGTTTCTCGTTTCCGTTGGTGCTTCTTGCTAGGAGGGAGGTCGGCGGAAATTGCCCTTGGCCCCTCAAGCCACTTCGAGGGAGGAGTTAGGTGGTCTTTGGTGTGTTTCTTTGCGGGAAACAACACTTAGGAAACCTCTCAACCATGACATCTTTAAGGTTGTCTTCCCGGGGTTCTTAGAGGTTTTGTTCTCCTACAGGGCTGGATCCACAAAAGCCGGTTCCAATGAGTATTCAGAACAAGCAGTTAGCACATTTCTTGGTGCAAGTGTGGCCTACCCATTTGGTTGACATCTGCGATTTCTGTACCCGGGTTGGGTATGCTAACAGATTGCTACCAAGCCCAGTCCCCGGAATCTAACCCAGGATTAGCCGACAGCTCCCTGGGTTTTTGGTATGCAGCCATGGGGCGATGAGGAACACCCGTTTGGGGTCCATGTCGATGACCGACTTTATCTCTTACCATTTTGCTTCCTGCTTTCTTGACTGCTCTTGGGTTTGCTCTTTAGACTTTAAGCTTTTGGGTTGAAATAAAAAGTTAAACTTTTTGCAAGGGTGTCAACAGCAACCAAGTTTTAACACCCCCCCCCCAACAAAAAGGTGACCTCGGGCCGCTCTCAGTCAAGACTTCTCGGCAATGTCTCAACAAAGTATTGGGAGCCCGGGATGACCGGCGTGTCCTGGTTTAGAGGGGATTCTTCAATTGGGGGATTCCTCACTTCGACAGCTGCAACACGCGGATTCACGGGATTTTCGCGGATCTTGGCCTCATGTTGGTTTACTCCATCAAGTAGTTTTCGAACATGTGGATGACCATCCTGGTTGATGAGGTTTTCCGCCTTCATGCGCGAACCTCATTTCAATCACCGCCCTTCTTTTTTGTTTCTTTCTGGGCGCCGATCCGATCTTTTGTTGCACACAAAAACAAACCGCCCGTTTTTTTAATTAAATCGGGTGCAACCCCCGATCCGATTCCTCGGGGGCGGGGGGCGCCGATCCGCTCCGTTTCCTCGGGGGGGTTTGGGGGCTTTGGGGGCCCGATGGGTTAGGAGATCCACGTGGAGTGGCCGCTCTCCATGGCCCTGGCGGAGATGAAGCAGCGCCTTCACGCGCTCCGGGAGCGCCAGGCCGGATGGGCGGAGTGGCGGGCGGATGGGCTGGGCTTGGGTGGTGTCAGGTGGCTCGGTTTTTGGGTTTTTGGTGGGCAGAAGGAAGGTTTGGGGTTCTAAACACGTGAAATCTGATGGAAAAGAACCGAAAGGGACTGAAGCTAATGATGGAGTTCTGAATCCAAGCTAACGGTAGGATGGCAGAAGGATGGCACTAACATAGATAGGGCAGTTGGGAATCCGCAATTTGGTTCTAAACATTTGCCAGAATCCGTCGATTTCTCTCAAAACGACACCGCTATGCAGACTTTTCTTTTGAGGCTCCCCCTCTTTTCAACGCCTGTTTTTGAAGAGGACCATGAAGATGCGCCACCCATCCCGCGGTGGGCACGCTGTTTGAGGTTACCCTTTCCAGGGGACCTCGCGGATTCTACTGGGTGGAGGTGTGCCCCAATCAAAAAGTGGCCAAAGTTTTCGGGGGCAACGCCTTGTTGGCACCTTTTGAGGGAAGCTCCATGGGACTGGGGGTCAAGACGCTTTTACATAGGTGCTGCTTCCCTCCCTGTTTGATCCGTTGCCGCGGGTTGTGGGTTGACTAGTTGACTGACGCCTACCTTGGGGCGATGCCTGTGGCATGTTTTTGCTTATCAAATGTTTTGGAAATCCCATCCAGGAATGGATGTTTTCTTTACTAACATGTTGCTCTAGGTGCCCTTTGTCCCACATGTATCAGGGTTTAACCCTGATCCCCTGCGTCAACAGAACACGTCTTGGTTCTGTTGGGTTTAGCCAAAGAGAAGTTAGCAAAAGCACATTGCAAAGGGCTCTTTTCACAGCTTTTCCCCGTCAAAAAGCGCTTAAACAAATATAAAAACTGAGTTCCCCCCCCTTCCTTTTTGGTGAAATTGAGGAGTCCCACTTGCGGCGCTTCCCCGATTTTTTCCCCCGCCCAACCCCCCCAATTCGTTCGAGTCGAACGGATCGAGGGCAACTGGCGCAAGAAGCTCACGGAGCTGCAGCAGCGCTGCCCTGCGCCTCGGGGAGTTGGGGCGGTGGGCGTGGCTGTCGAGCGGCGGGCGGTCGAGGGGGCATGGGGCGGCTGGCTTTTTGGGGTGGGGTGGGTATTTTCACTTGGGGTTAACAGGTTAACAGGGATGGTCATTCTGGTAGTGAGGATTCTCAATAACCGTTATATAGAAAAAGGGAACCATGACCCTAGGCCAAATGAGGAGTTTTGACCATGGGAGAAGTTTATTTTCTTCTAATAGCGATACCTCCTTGGGCCCAACATTTCCATCAGGGGCGGATCGATTCTAGGGCCACTTTTTCTGAGTGGCCACTGGCATCGCCTTTAAAGAGACAAAGAAGTCGACTATTCTCGACAACCATGCATGCACATGATTTGCAGGATGATGGTGATACGGTGGATGCCCCAAGTATTGCACGTAAATCAAACATACTCCAAAACTATTTTAACTTGCAGTAGCTTGTAGAATCGGTGTTCTTGTACACCCACTTGGAGGTGTCTTTTTTTGAGGGCACCCTTTTTGAGCGGTTTGCCAAGAAAGCCAACAGAAAGACCATCTATTTTGGGTGTCCGTCAAACTTGCTGGTGCTAAATGGAATGACCCAGAAATACACCATCCAACCTATTGGGTTTCCTGAAAGCTGGGTTCGTTCCCTTCCTGCACCAGCAAGTAAAGACGAGCCACCCATTCGCTTGTTTCTGTTTTCGTTTGGTTGTCGGACCCCTCGGTGTTGTGTGTGTGTGTGTGCCTTGTTTGTTTTTAGCTCGTTTTGCCCTCGGCCATCAGGCTTGGCGCCGCTGTGGTAGTGGTAGTGGTCTTTTCTTTCAACATTGTTTTTGTCTGTGGCTCAAAAACATGTGGCAAATTGACACCTTGGTAAAGTGGAAACACGGACCACAACCCGCGTAACCCCTGGCTCGTGAAAAAAATAGCCACAGCCATTTGTGGGAAAAGACGAACACATGATTGTTGTTGGGGAACATTTTACATTTTCGCTTATTGCGGTTTAGTGGTTTTTCAATCCAACCACTTGACTGCCACATTTTCGTTTGACACTTTTTGCTCCCCAAACCCAAGGTCAACCAAGAAAAGACGAGCCAGCCATTGCAGCCACCCATACCGGTGCCACCCACACGAGCCCCACCGCAGGTGCTGGGCTTCTTCGCGGCGCGGCAGCTGGGCGCTTTGCTGCGGACCTTGAAAGAGAAGAACTTGGCGGGGGCCAAGCAGGCGAAGGGGAGAGGGGGAGTGCGTGGCCTGTGTGTAGAGATATACATATGTATATATATATATATTTACATATATATATATACATATTTATTTATATATATATATATATACACATGTATATATGTATATACACGCTGACATACTATAGTATATAGAGACTATGCATGTGTATACATATATATATATATATATATGTATATACATATGAATTGAACGAGCAACACATGTCTTTATTACATGGACTTGATTTGTATCGCATGATGTAGGTGTAGATCTATTCACAAGGTATCGTTTTGTTGAATCCCATTAAACACAAGTTGGAATGTGATGAGCCTTTGCAATGCCCGCAGAATTATCCAGTCTTTTCTTGATCCGGGGTTGCAACTTTCGGCGCGCCGCCTTGGGCCATCCCCAGAAAGCCCGCGCTGCCTTGCCCGATGGGGTCAGCTCCAGGGGGTCAAATTTTGGAGACTACCTTGGTAAGCATGTCGCAATGTCAGCTCCAGGGGGGTCAAATTTTGGAGACTACCTTGGTAAACATGTCACAATGTGAGGTTGTTGTAAGTTTTCTGAGGGTCGCGTTTTGAGATGCACCTTTCCTCTAGGTTTGACAAACTGGTCCGAAAGATGCAAACTGCACTCGCCTTCTGTCTCACCCCGGCGAAATAGATAGGAAGCCCATTTGTTTCGGGGGTCGAGGTAGGACATCCTTGTCCAACCATCATGGAAGTGGCCCGGCGGGTTTTGGAAAATCAGAAAAGAGGCCGCGTAAGGTTCAAAAGGAACATCAGGGATTTGGGAACCTCCTTTTTGAGCGACCACAAACAAAGGAAAACCAAACTGACACTACCCAGGTTTGATTTTGTTGGTGCACCCTTTTGGCAGTTGTCAAGGCGGGCTAATGGGATGTTTTTTCTCATTGCCCATAGGGATCATGCATTTGGGTTTACTTGGGACAGTCTCCTCTTGTTTAAACAACCTTCTTTTGGTTTCCCTTAAAGGGGATCCTTACAGTCTTGTTGTTGAAGCACATGTTGCCCACTAGTTTGCCTTGTGGACACCGGGCCCATGAAAGTGACAGCCCTTTGAACCTGGTTTCAAGCACCAGCCCCAGAAGTATTCAAGTTGAACCCATCTGCAGCCAAACCAATCTGCAGGTTCCATTAGGGTCCAACCACCGATTGGTTCAAAGGAAAGGCTTAAAGGGACCTTCCTCTTTTTGTCTCTTTTTGTTTGCCCCTAGGACTTTTCGGCCATACGATGCCTTTGGGGGGTGCCTCGTTTGCTGGGTGCCTGCGGGGATTGGCGCCACCCGAGCCGGACACCGCCTTGGCGCTCCCGACGCCGACGCGTCCGTGGGCGATGCCGTCAGGTCCTCGCGGCAGTGGCCCAGGGCTGGCGCTGGCCGCAGGACGACTGGGCGCCGCGCCTGGCGCGCGAGTGCCCGCTGCGCCAGGCACCGAGTCCGGCTCGCGCGGGTAGGTCGGGAGGTTGCGAGGTTTGGAGGACCAGGTCGGGAGGTCGGCCGCGGTATGCCGCGGGAGCGGGGTGCAAATGGGTGTGTGTGTGTGTTTTTGCAAGGAACCCTGTTTGGTGGTTGGTTGGTTAGAGTGTGTTTTTTCCAGTGCACCCTGTTTTTTTGAAGGGTACCCTGTTTGGTTAGTTGGTTAGGGAAGCTGAAAGGAACCTCAAGCCATTTTTGGGTGTCCCCTTTTGAGAGACAAACCGAATGGGGTATTCCGTCGGACGGTTTGGATGGATATGGCTGGGACAAAGAAAACACGCTATTGGAGCCCTGGGCCTTGGTGTAGCTCACTTGGATGGTTTGGCATCTGACAATGTCTGACATGGGAAACGAGTTTGAGGTCTGACACGGTTGGTTGAGAGCATAAGTTTTGAGCAACATGTTTGGGCGACTCCGCTCAAGAAGTGTTTGGCGTGGGGAGCATTTCTACGCCTCAGCAGGTGTTTCTTTCTCACGCGTAGTGCGTGTGTCAGAGAAACAGGTGAAATAGGCCCCAGTCATGAGGAAGGGGTTTTGGCTTGCCGGCCTGAAGATTAGGAGATGGACTTGCCAGCTCTACCCATCCTCAGTTGTTCAAAGCCGACCTTTTGACCTTTTGGTTTTCCCTTCTTGGTCTATTTTTAGTAGAGGTCCCAAAAGGTTAACCTTTTATAAACAGGTCCTTTGGGCAACTGAGCATACCCCATCCCCGCTCTTACCCAGTTGCTTCGCTTCGCAGGATGAGGATGAGCTGCGGCGAGATTCGGAGGACCTTCAGAGCCTGGCAGACGCATTGCAGGCGGGAGGGAGAGAACTGGAGAGCAGTTTTTTGGGGAGACGAGGATGCTCCAAGCTTAAGATCACATGGGTCCATCTTTTTTGGGAGGTTGGGGCCTTGTTTTGGGTGGTTACAAAGGAAACGCACAGGAGAACAAACAGGTAACACCATTTGTGGGTACTCTGTTTTGAGACACATCCAGATCCACATCAAGGGCGAGCCAGTGGTACGATTTTCTCGGACTCCTTTCACCGTTCTTCGGAATGGGAGGAACCCCAGACCGACAGAGTCGAGACCGATTCGTGTGTGGCCTGGCGTGAACCACCAGAATCCGAAATTTTCACTGTTTGCCGATCTCATGTAGAGAAAGACATCACCAATCTAAATCACATACCCCAAGGCTCCCGATGCTTTTTGGGCCCTCAAACTGGGTTGTTTTCAAGGGCTCCCGAGAATTCCGGGTTTTTCGTCGGAGGGCCGGGGGTTTGCATTGGAGGGGTCATGAGCCTCAAGGCCAGCTGGCCGGCGCCGGTGTTGCCGGCGGTTTCTGCGGGAGTGGAGCTTGGGCCAGGCGCTCATGTGGGGGACTCAGAGCTGGGAAATGGTGGGGGATGTGTCGGTCGTTGCCTTGGGCATGTTGTTGTGTGTTGGATGTTTCTTTGGGATGTTTTTGAATGTTTTTGATGTTTTGGGGATGTTAGGGGATGTTTGGGACGTTGCTTGGACTCTTTAAGATGCTTTTTGGGGATGCTTTTTGGGGATATTCCGTGGACTGCTTCTCCCGCCCTCCGAGTGCCCTCCCCGCAGGCCCCAGCTGAGTGTTTGGAATTGGAGCGGCGGGGGTGGCATCCGAAAATCCAAGCGCTCCCCTCCCGGACGAACGGGACTTGGGAATTGATTTTCACGCCTTATTGGAACGGAAAACACATGCGGGTGTAAATCATGAAGATTCAAAATTGTGTCCGGGAAGCGCAACTGTTCGATGTTGGCGTGGCGCTCCGAGGTGGTCGTGGCCCCAGACACCTTCATGGCCACGGCGACTGCGTGTCTGGGCTGCGCATGGCTCTACGTGTTTCCCAAGGTGAGCTGAAAGCTAGGGATTCTTACTTCTACAGGGGGCAAGCTTTTTTTTTTGCGAGCTCCGGCCAGGTTGGTGCGGCAGGTGCTGGTCAGGCTGCTGGCGGTTGCATGTGGTTGCTGTGATGTAGTCAGGGTGCCAGCCGGGGTGGTCTGTGGTGCCGGTGGGAATGCTGTGGCGCGGTGGTTGTTGGCGGGGCTTGTTTGGCGACGCAGTCAGGGTGCGGGTCAGGGTGCCGTTGTAGTCTCATGCAATTTGGGGTCTATGCCAGTGCATGTTTTTGGATGTTTTGACCTGGACTTTCGCTGACCCTTGAGAGCTTATGCTATCGCCTGAGGCAAGCATGGTTTTTGCTGAGCCCTGGTGCTTCCGAGAACTTGCAGGTAAAAAAAAGGGGGCAGCCCGTACCCGGCGCCAAGCAGAGACCCTCCATCCAAAGACGGGATGGCTCCATGTTCCACGGATCCCACACCAAGACCCAACCTGTGACCTCTGGCGTCCTTGGAAGCCGCAGGGTGATATGAGTGGCTCGTTGGTCTTCGACACCAAAAGGAACGGGGCTCTTGGGGGCTCCCGAGCTCGCCGCGGCCAAGCGAGTCCCTTGAGTGACAAGAAGTCTGCTTCAGTTGGGCTTGGCATGACAGGATCCGGATCCCTTCATGAGTTTTCCACACGCCTCCTTGGGCATAGATTGGGAAGTGCGTATTTGTTTCAACTATTTTGACCCCCACTTTCATTCGACATCCACAGAAAGGGGCCCAATTACCCACGTGGCACCCAAAAACGGGCTTCTTCAAAGGAGCCTCTCTAAACATTTTTTTGTTTGTCTTCTTTTTGGCTTCCTTCCGTTCTGAAATCCAACCCCCCTCTTCCCTGCTTCCCTCCCCTTCCCCACCAATCCCACCCACCACCCATCCATCCACCCACCTATCTAGACCTCCTGAGCCCTAAGCCCTAAACCCTATTGGGTTTTGCTTGCGATTTGCTTGGGAATCCCCTTCTGCCTTCCCAAACCCCTAAACCACCCCAAAAAATCACCCCACCCCACCCGCAAACCCCCACACCCCAAAACCCCTCCCCTCGCACCCCCCATATCCGCAGTGAGGTTGTGGCCCTACCTGATGCTCCGGCGCCCGCCCGGGCCGGAGGAGCTCCTCCTTTGCCACAGCCGCACGCCCAGCGAGCAGCTGCGGCTGCTGCTGCTGAGGCGGGCGTAGCTCCGAGGATTTTTCCCCCACCAGGCGTCCCCCCCTTGGCGGTGAGTCTCAAAATGGAACCCCCCCAAAACTGAGGCTTCATTTCAAAGGTGTGCGTCCGAGAAACAACTGCCAGAGGCAGGCGTCCCTCGAAAAATGGCGGTGGGTCTCAAAATCGACCCCTCCTTCCCCCCCCAGAAAAAAGTGGGGGTGTTGGTTGGCGTTTTTTCCAGTTCATGGGTGGAAGGGGGCGCCCCCAAAACTGGTGTGTTCCTTTTGAAAGGTCTGAGAAACAACCCTGAACAAAGGGTGAAGAGACACATCCATATTCCGCTTTTCAGCTGGGCGGGAGCCCTGGAAAAAAGCCACAAGATATATTTTTTTTCGGGGCCGGACCGCTTGACATGACCATGGCCTTTCAACACGGCAAGGTTCAAACCCCGACTTGTGGGTTCCCTAAAACGACAGGTCCAGGGGTTTCCTTTGTCTGGTCAGGGTAATCCGCCCTTGGCCCCAAAAGGAAGGGAAACTGATTTGGTAAACCTGAAAAGCGCAGAACTGGGTCCCTCAAAAGTGAACGTTTTGAGGGTTTTCTCAGAATGACATGTGGTTGTGGTTTTCCTTCAATGGTTTTCTTCATGGGAGTCCTTGTCAGGGTTGGGCCACATTTGTTGAAACATCCATGCTCTGCTGGCTTTCCTTTGGTTTCCTTTCAAAACAACAAGGCTACCCGCGATTCAGCCGTTTATGGGGAGCTGCACTCAGCTTCGGGGCACCGCTCCAAACCTCCAAATGAATCCAAGCCACCAATTAGGGGAAGCTGCGCTCCAGGTTCAGCACGGGTTCCGAGGCATTTCCCTTCTTGGAACCTTTACAAGAGGCAGTTTGAACGTACACCGACCAGCAAATTGCAACTGTTGAAGGGGAACTCCAGTGACCCCTGAAGAAGCCATCTCCTTTTCCGGTTACTTTGCTCAGAAATAGAATGGCATCCATTTCTCAGGGAAACCTCAGCCGGCTCTTGTCGTTTTCAGGTTGCATCCCCAAGACTGGGTGGGTCAAACTGTGGATGGACGAAATCCGTTCGCACCACTTGGACACCAGGGTTGAGACCATGTTTATTGGTATGTACAGGGGATTCATCAGAAACCAGGGTTTCTTAGGTGGTGCAGGATTTCGCAACCATCCACGGAATGGCTCAAAGGTCACCTATGCTAGGTCCCCCAGTAGTGTTCTTTTACTCTTTGTTGGGGGAGGGTTCCCCTACTGAAATAGACTCCAGAAAAAGTTGGGGTACCAACTGATTCTAACCTCTCTACTGGAGGACCTAGTCTCCTTCCCCCTCCCCTTCCCCAGCGTGAGGTTGTGGCCCTGGGATTACGACCATTTTAATACTAGGTTTTGACCAAATGACGAAATCCTGCACCACCCAAGAGCCCTGGTTTCTGATGAATCCCCTGTAAATACCAATAAACAATGGTTTCAACCATGGTTTCCAAGTGGTGCGAACGGATTTCGTCCATCCACAGTATGGGTTCAGCCCCTCTTTTCCCCCCGAAAAAAGAAAAAACCTGAGTCAGGTGGGCGCACGCCTCGGGCGGCTTCTTCTGCCTGCTGCTGCCCTGCACCGCGTCCTTCGCGGCGCAGCAGGCGGTGGTGCAAGCGGCCGGGGACCCCGAAGTGGACGCTTTGTGGACATCTGCCCGGCGTGTGCGTGTGTGCATAAATATGCACATTATATGTATTTTTATTTTCTGGGCCTGCGGCCTCTAGCCGGCTACGCCTCTTTGAAGTTATTCCATGTCATGTCATGTTTATGAGAAACATATTCTGTGCTATGACTGCTATGATCTGGCTGGTTTGGTTATTCATGTTGCCCACCTTAACCCCACCGGCTTTCTGGGCCCCAGCCGGGCCCCAAACCGAGAAGGCTGACATGGGGTCGCGCGCGCGCGCGCCAGAGAACCAACAAAAAAGCAGCCCAAAAAGAGCAGCCCGCAAGCCAGCCCGGAAGCGCAAATGCAACAAACACACTGTAAATAGCAGCGTTTTGTGGCTGGGGTCGCGCGCGCGCGCGCCAGAAGGCCCGAAAACCAACGCAAAAAAAGCAAGGACCGCGCAGCACGCGAGCCAGCCACAGCAAAAGCAAAACGGACAGAGCAACAGCCCACCGCTCAGCACAGCAGTTTTTGACGGTATTTACAGCGTTTTGTAGGGCGAGGACCCAGCATCGCCGGCATGCCCGGCAGCGCTTGGCGCCACAATGCGCGAAAATGAGCCTCGCTTATATCCCTCCGATACCTTCTAAAAAACAGTGCTTTTTGGGTTGAGAGGCTTTTTGGAAGGAAGCCTTGATGATGCAGACCAAGCCCCGCTGAAGCATCACCCAGGCCCAACCCCAGATCCTGAGATGTCAGCCACTAATCCCTGCATATACGCGATGTTTTGCGAGGGTTTCCCACAGGCAAGCAAAACCGCAAGCCCGAGCTGGTGATGCAGAGGTGCCGGATTTAGGCCGCGCATCACGACCAAGTGGCGAGGGTCGGCGGGCACCCCCTATAGCTAAAGCTAGCAGGCTAATTGCCGAACCAGGCTCCCGCCTGCCGCTTGGGCCGGCTTGCGCCCAAGTCACTTCAAGTTGGCCCAGGAGCAGTCGCCTCTCCCAGGGTCCATCCCGAAGCTGCCCCGGACAGTTGCCCTGGACCGGTCGCAGGCTGGTCCCAGTCTGGCGCGGTTTGACTCGACGTATTGGACTCTCTTGCAGAATAGATCCAGGGATCCTCTACTACCACAAGGATTAACGGAAAAATCAGACAGATGGCAGCTCGTCCGTCAATGACCGCACGGGCCCAAGTCACGTTGAGCTGGTCCCAGAAACAAGGCCGTCGGTGCCCCTCAACCGTTGAGGAAACAGGTGTCTGGAGCGGTTTGAGGTGGCGCCAGGTGTCTGCAAGTGGGATCCGATTCCAGCGCTCACACCAGGACTCGATCCCGGAACCGGCTTTGACAGTCTGAAAGGGGTCCTGGCCAATCCCAGGACCGGTCCCACAACTGGTCCCAGGACCGGCTCGGGCGTGTCTGGGACCTCATTGGTTCCAATCACTTCCAGTTGCATCCCACACGCCGGTCCCCTCTGCAGGAGGCTGGGACGGGAGGCAGAGGGTCGGCGGATTACATATATACATAGATATATATACACATATGAATATATATATATATATAGACATACCCAGACACATACTGATGACTAGATATATATATATATAGAAGGAGAGAGAGAGAGAGAGAGAGAGAGAGAGAGAGAGAGAGAGAGAGAGAGAGAGAGAGAGAGAGAGAGAGAGAGAGAGAGAGAGACAGAGAGCATACATCTACAGAGAACATAATGTGCATAGACATGTATGTACAGTGTGTATATATGACTGCTGTGTATATATATATATGCAAATTATAAATATATATATACACGTACATCATGTAAGGATATATATATATATATATATATATATATATCGTATTTACATATTGTCCCCAATATTAGCCCCTCATACAGCCCACAGTTCGGCTGGATAACTTTATGACACACACACACATCGTCCCTGTATGGTGGGGGGTGGGAAGCCTGTTAGATGCTTGACCTCCATTGCGCCTGGGTTCATTGCGCCTAGGTGCACGATGCCACTGATCAGGCCCGGCAGGGAGAGGGCGGGGGGCTTTAGGGAGCGACACGGTTAACGCGTGCGGCTCATCAAGCTGGCTTTTATCACCCAATCTATGAGATCAATCAATAGGTTTTACCATGCATTCATATCAACAACCCGCAGCCCCACCACGCGCCAGGATCGAAAAGACCCCATTACTTGGGGTTCGGAGGGATGGTCATCTGCCTGCTGCTTCGTGGATGCCCCCAAGTGGCTAAGTGGCTAGGCTGGGCCCCTGCCCACGCCTCGCTGCCCGCTGCTGTTGGTGGTCTCTGGTTCCCAGGCGGCACAGGCTGGGGGTGAGTTGGGTGCAGAGAGAGGGGCTGGGATAGGGAATGCCCTCGTCCGGGTGTTGGGAGTGAAGGATCCATAGCTTGGATGGTTTATCTTGCATTCTTTGCCAGCAAGAAAAGGGTAGCCCTCGAACATGTCTCGGCCACATATGCTGACGGGTGTGTCTTTTTTAGGTCGGACCCGCAAATCTGGGTGGGTCGAATCAACCAAGAACACCCAACACTGGCTGGGTTTCCCTCTGGCCTTTTCAAAAAAAGCTGCCAACAAGGGGTATTTCTTCGCCTCAAATAAAGGACCGCAACCCTCTGCGAGGGGAGACATGGGAAAGTTATGACCCGTGGTCCTTGGCTCCAGTCTCTCAGGTCAGTAGCTGGGGGGGTGCCTCAGATTGTCATGGACCCTGAGAAAACGTCACCTTTACCTTTCGTTTTGGTCACCATTTCACACTGCCAGTCTTTCGTCCTCTGCGAAGCTGTGTGTTTCCTTCTACTCTTGCTTGCGAGATTCTAGAACTAAAAAGTGTAAGAAGACTCTGATTGGTGGGATGCATATTCGTTCATATATATTCAACATTCAGCATTATGCAATCAAACAGCTACACCACACCCCTGCCTGATGTTCTTGATATTTAGGCCACAAGTTGGCAGATGAGCCAAAAGCAAACACCATCTACTCACAAGCCGGTGCAAACAAATCAAGAAAGCCCTTGAACCAACCCATTTTTCCCCTGACATTTCTGTTTTTTTTGGTGTGTTTCGTTCCCGGGGTCCGCGTTTTTAGCTCGTCGCGCCTGGCATTTCAGGCGCAGGTGGCCACTCAGCTCATGGCGCAGCGGGCGGAGTTGCGGCCGCCCCTGGAGGCCTTCCCTAAGGAGGCGGGGAGATGGCGATGGGGCGCGGGCTACCCTCCCCCAGACGATTCCATGGAAGCTCCAAAAGGGACCCCGAAATGGAAGACTGGGTTCCAGCGGCGGCCTTCTGGGAGCTCCCGGCTAGTCTGAGGGAGTGTGGGTTGTGAATGGGCCGGTCGTTTGAGTTGGTACTCTCCGACTAACATGGCAGCGAGGGGAGGGCCCTCCACAAGGAAAGTGATCTTTTGGGTACGCTCCCACAGGTGCCATGTGGGGGGGAGGGTACCCTGCCTTTTTGAGGACCATGGGGCCGGTCGTGGGCCACGAAGGGGCCGGTCTTGTTTTTTTGTTGGAGTTGGTACCAGCTCGCTTTTTTGGGGACCCTCTTCGATGGTTTTAACGGGAGACATGGGAGACCAACAGCGAAACGGGGGCCATGAATGGGCCGGCCGCTGTTCTTTTTCTCTTTGAGTTGGTACCTGCAGCCCACGGAGGTTCCACGGAAGCTCCCGAACGGATCCCGAAATGGAAGACGTGGTTCCATCTAACGAGGCCAATTGGGGGAGCTTCCATGTTCGTCTGAGGGAGAGTACCCCTGTTTTTGTGGTTTAAAGGCACACTCCCAGGTGGCTGTGAATTTTAAAGGTTCCCCTCGCACATAAAACCCACCAGTGAAATGTGCAATTGCCCCATTTATAGGGAACATCTCGTCTTCCAAGACCTCGAAAAAAGGGTCAGTTCCATGTTAGCGGACAGTAGGGCACCCTACTCCATAGAAGCCCCGAATTCTGATGTTACCAAGTGTGGGGGTTTCTCACAATTGGAATCGGTCCCCTAAATATTTGGTGTCTTTTCGGTTTCCGGCTCAATTATTTGAATCAACACCGTTCTGATAAATGTCCATTTCTGTGTCCATTTGATCTAGGTGCTTCTGAAACCAGGAAACCAAGCACTTGAAGGGGCGGCTATTGTTGTGTCTTTTGTAGGTGGACTCCCATTTGGTTGTCGTTGTTTTTTTCAGGGAAGCCACATGGATACCAAGCATTTCGCGGTTCCCCTATTTCGGAGAAGCACCCATGTATCCATGTCCTTGTCCCTTCAGGGTGTGTGACTATGACAGGGCCTCCCTCTTTCCTGGTTGGTTTAATACATCACCCTTTGGGCTACATGGTTTTGAGGCTCGGTAGGGGTGATGAGTTTAGCCTCATTGGATAGAGGATTCTTTGTGCCAGGCATTTCTCCCCTACTTTGAGAAGCACCCATGTATCCATTTCGACATATGGGGAAGCCCGAGCCGAGAATAAAGACCCCCACTCACGCCCTGTTTCCCAAAGGATCTCATGTGGATGGCTCGTCTTTTTTGAGGCTCGGAACTCCTTTCCTGCGGTTTTGCAGGGAAACTAAAATGATGATTCACTTCTTTTTTTTTGCAGGGGGTTCAAACCTAAACAAAAACACACCTTTATGGAAAAACTCCCTCCCGGAGTTTGTGTGACTTTATATGCCTTTCAGTTTCCCGCCGTTTTAGTGGCAAGCAAACAAGTTTGGAGCCTTTGCTTCCAATCCACTCAGGACTTAAGAACATCACTGAGTTCAGTCCCACCTCAAATCACTGGAGAATCACTGTGAATGTTTCCTCAAAGTACAAGAATGCGACCTCTGGAACAAATCCGAGGACTCTGGCAAGTGTTGCAGTACATCACAATAGAGCAGTCACGGTATTGATTTATTGAACCATCATGTGATTCCCAGCCGCTTGTGCAAAAGAGCATTTCGGACAGCACCTGCTTGGGCGAAGAGTTTCCTTGGAGTGGATTATGTTCGTGGAAGCCAGTAGGCGTGTCTGTTTTCACGGACTTTATTTGGTTGTTTTCAAGAAAAAGCCCAAAGGGGAGCTTGGGGAAGTACTGTTCCGTGGCGACATGAGCCATGCCAGGTGGCGTCACTCATGCGAGCCGAGACCTCTGTGCACGTCGGGCCGTGCCTCGATTTCAACAAGGCTCATGCTACATTCCCTTGACTTACGCACAGTAGTAATAGCGTTGCATCCATCCCAGCTGGTGCAGGGATTTGTCCACCATCTATGGTGGTGCAGGGCATGACACGGGTCATGCGGCAAATTGTCGTTGTCATGGCGGGGTATTCGCCGAATCGCTATGGGTCTGTCGTTTTTTGAGGGTACCCTTTTTATGTTTGGTTTTCAGAAACCATAAGGGAAGCATTTTGTTGGTGGTCCCCTAAAAACGACACACCTATATCAGTTGGGGGCACCATGAATAGTTATCTCTCATATGAGCAACTGAAGGCATCATTCGTAGTCCTCTCCAACAACTGGTTCCCCGGATTCTCCCTGCACAAGAAGCACTTGCCAGCCACATTTCCCATGTGCCTTTGGGGGACACTGAGTGCTCTCCATGCGTATAGATGCTTCATGATGTTCAGTCAGGGAACTTTGCTCTTGAATTCTTTCTTAGCTAAACCAATTCCGGGGAGCTATGAGCTTGATGCGCGGCATCTTGGGCTTGAGACATTTTGGTCGCGTGCTCACAGCATTGGCTTGATGACCTCTGGGAAGGTGAGCAAACCCAACTTTTCCTCTAAGTGTCTGGGCTCAAAATACAAGTACCCCTGACTTTTCTGCCATTCGCATTGGTCAGACCCGCATATGTGTGTCTTTTTTGTTGCTTGGAAACCTGCAGGTACCGCCGTTCAAGAATCATGGACGCTGACAATCATGCAAGTCTTAGAAGACACTTTCCTTTCGCGGAAGCGCCCGATATTCCACTTTCGTGCTTGTTGGAAAGACGGTAACGCCCCCTTTCTTCGGGGTTTCCCCTTTAGCAACTTCGTCCCAAACGTGTTCCGGACTTCACGTGAGGCACTGCGGCTGTGGGAAGACTTTCTCTGTGCGGATGGCCGCGGAGGACGTGTCTCAAAACGGGCTGACGTCGGGGGAGGTCGGTTTGGTCTTCAAAAGGGCGCATGGTCGATTCACTTGGTGGCTCGGAACTAGCCATGCGGTCCCTTAGCTTTTTAGATCTTTTTGGGCTTTAGTTCAAGTCCAGTTGAGCTTTTGGGCTTTTGGGCGTTTGTGCTTTTGGGCTTTTTAGGCTGTCTAAAAGTTAGTCACTTTTGGCAGGGGATCTGATCACATTTCGATCTTAGGCGGAACACAAGGAAGAAGCCGTCCATTGAATGGAGGTCCCCCCCATTTTGCCACATCCCTATATTCCTTCTGGAAGGGTGGTTTTAAACATCACCTTTGGGCCAATTGAGTTTTCTTCTGGGGGTTCGACCAGAACAACACATCTTTCCATTTGGGTGGCACGTGGCGGGCCTCACGACATTTTCCCCACAAACTCAGGGACCCTCCAATTGGGCTGTTGGGCTGTTGGGCTGTTGGGCTGTTGGGCTGTAGGTTGGGTTGTTGGGCTAATGGTTTTTGTAGTTATGCTGGGCTGTTGGGCTGTTGGGCTGGTGGACTGTCGGGGTTGTTTGACTGGTCCTGAGGCGTGGTTTTTCCTCTTCCGTTGCCTTGGAGAAGATAGATTCCGGTTCGTGCCGCGTCGTGTAGTCGGCAGAAGCCGCAGCTGTGGCCATGGCGCTGCCGGACATAGAAGCCCAAAATGCGAAGCCGGGCACATAGAAACGAGTTTCATGTGGCTTAGAAGTGCACACGAATTGTTGGCTTTCTACCAGCCCAGCACTGAAGGGTAACCCCAGCCACCCATTTCGCTATCGCGGAACCTCCAATTTCCCTCTGAACACGGCCCTCTAGACTCGAAAGACTCTAGGGACCTTGGGGCAAAATGTGTTCTTTCACTACCCCCCTGCAAAAGCGATGTTGTAAAGGCGCTTCCCGGGCTTCGCGACGGCTTCGCGAGGAGGCCGGAGCCAAGTACTGCCCCCTGAAGCTCACGCGCGCCATGAGTGCCGGGGAGTTGGCCCAAGAGTTGCGCGCGGAACTGGCGGAAGGGACGCCTGAAGGCGGCCCCGGGGGTGGGGTGGTGCTGTCGGTACCTGGTGACTTTCCGAGTCAACTGAGAGTTGTGTGAGACGGGCTGCTAGGAGGTTGAAGATGCTGCGGGGATTGCAGAAGAATCTCGGGCGTCTTACAGTCACGCCGGGCACCAGCTCGATTTCGGTGGTTTACCTACTAATATACATTGGGGTTCATGCGTTCCAACTGGTGGAGGATTGTGTCCATCCACCCATTCTGCTTGTTTTGGCGCTTGTGCATTGTAGTCGATGTTCTGGTTGAGTCATTTTGGTTTTCAGGTTGGTCCCAATCAGTCTGGCTTGCTGATGTGCAAAGCCTTCGAGTACCTTGCGGGCAACCATCAGGCCCTCCCATGTTCGCAAAGAGGCTCACAAATAGCTTGGAGGTGCCAACAGAAGCGCTCCAGGGAATGGCATGTCAAATGCGCAGTGCAGCGGGTGCTGATGAAGTGAGTGACAGCCCAGGACCTTGCCCAAAGACCTTTGGCTACGGTTGCCCGCACTATCTTTCCCAACAAAAAGAACGTAGTGAGTGGCCGCGAAACCACCAATCCAAGCCACCAGTTACAACAGACCAAAAGACAAATGACAACCAGGTTACCTTTAGGGGAGTTGAACATTTGAACCCATGGCTCTTGTTGATGGGGAACCACTCCCCAACCTCCAAGCTAACCACCAATTACGAAGAGAAAGTAGGCCCAGGTGATATCCCCAGCCCCGGAACTGTCCGGAACGGACAAAAATGACAACCCCTCCCCCCTCCCCCTATGTTGGCCACTTAGGGTCTACTATTGCAAACTTCTACTTTCAGGATCTGTTTCTTTAAGGGTTGGACAAAAACACCAAAATTCACCACCTCACCCCCCACCCTCCCCCCCCAAATCCTCCCCACCCCCTGCCGGCCGGCTGGGTTTCCTTCGAGGCGCCCTGCTGCACCTGGACCTCAGCGCCGGGCCGCTGCTCGACTCCGAGGCCTTCGCCGTGGCGCTCTTCGCGCCTCGGAGCTCGTCCGGGGGGCGTCTGGGCCATGGAGACTTCGACCGGGCGCCCGAGATTTCTAGGTCCCCCAGATAGGTGCCCTTTCTTTTATCGTTTCTCTTGTGGTTGGGAGGGAACCCTACTAAAATCGACTACCGAAAAAACCAGGCACCCTTGTTCTAACCTCTTTTTCATGGTTGTTGTTGGGACATATTTTACGTTTTGGCTTGTTGTGGTTTAGTGGTGGAAATCCGACCGCTTAACTGCTAAAATTTGAATTTTTGCTCCCCTTCCATCGTCAACCAAGCTTTGGTGGTTGTACACATAAGAGGCTTCCTTCACACGAGGGGGATAGTCTCGAAAGGACCGCGGTGGGTTTAAACATCGCCTTTGTTGCCCATTTAAGGCGGGAACAAGAGCGGACGGCTGTGGTTGGTGCATTCAAAGGGGATGGCACCAAGCACAATGGCCGTGGTGGGTGTGGTTGGTGGTCGGAGAATGGTGTATTCAAAAGGGATTGGGAGGGGCTGTTGTTTTCAACTCACACATCAAGGTTCCACCCAAAGGGAGGCCCGGAACACGGACGTTTGTTTCAAAAGTTCCCACGATTTGGAGTCCAGTTCGGCATTTGTTTGATGAAGTACAATACGTGAAGTACAAGGCACATGTCCCCTCTGATCGAAGTGGTCCGTATCAACAGTGGAAATGCCAGCCTTTGTCTCGCGCATGTTAAGGTGCGCCTTCGCCTTGTCCACGGTGAGTTTCCTGTCGGGTGATATTTAAAGAAGAAGTCAGGAACCTTTCGGTTGAATGTCAGATTGCGCGCGTGTTGATATCTGCATGTGTGCGTGTGTACATGTACAGGCAGTACGTGTGTGCATGTACAGGTAGACACATGCACAACTGCATGTATGGCTTATCAAAAGAAGTTTAGAAGGAGCCTTAGTCAAGCGAAGTTCAGAAGGAACTTCTGTAGTGTTGGAACTAGTCGAGCTGATAGAATAGAAGCGGGGCCGAACACGTGACCCTGTGCGTGAATTCTGCCGTCCGAGTTGCGCACACTACCTCGGTCGCGATGTCTATGCGGATGCGGTCTCGGACTGTGCGCGGAGCCAGGGAGAGCAGAGAAAAAGAAAGAGAAAGAGAAGAAGAGAGCAAGATAAAGGCGACAGAGGAAGAGAGAGAGAAGAACATCGAGAGAAAGATAACGAGAAAGAGATAGAAACATAAGTACAAAAATAGAGGGAAAGATAAATTACATACACATACACATAAACAAGAAAGAGAAGGCGAGGGAGAAGGAGAAAGATAAAGAGAAAGAGAAAGGGAAAATACACAAGTAATAAACGGAGAAGGAGAAGGAGACAAAGCGAAGGAGAAAGGGAAAAGGAAAGAGAAAGAGAAGAACATATCAAAGAGAAAGAGAAAGAGAACGAGAAAGCGAAAGGGAAGGAGAAGAAGAACAATAATAATAATTGTAAGATGAAGAAGAAGAAGAAGAAGAAAAGGAGACGGAAAAGGAGAATGGAAAGAGACACGGCAATAGTGAAAGAGAGAAAGAGGGAAAGAGAGAAAGAGGGAAAGAGAAAAAGAGGGAACGAGAGAAAGAGGGAAAGAGAGAAAAAGGGAAAGAGAGAAGAAGGGAAAGATAGAAATGCCAAATAGAGAAAGAGAAAGAGACAGAGAAAGCGAAAGAGAACACGCGAGAGAGAGACAGAGATAGAGAGTGAGAGAGAGAGAGAAGGGGGAAAGAAGCGCTCTCCAACTATAATGCAAGTATTTTTTGAAGCCTCACCCCCCAGCTGAGTGGGCTTTACTGGCAATGGAACAAAGTGAGCCAGCCTTAGAAAGAATGCATGCGCCTGCGCGTGATCTTCAAGGCTAACTCGCTGCGCGCGAAAAGTTTGAGAAAAGGCTTGAATAGAAAGGGGTCGAAAACGCTCTCTGCGCGAACTAGGGTCTTCCGCACAGGGCGGAAAACCACCTTGACCGCAACGCCTGTGCGGAGTTGGTTTCGGAGCGGTCTCGGAAATGGGGCCAGTGGCGCGGCCGCATGCAATGCTTCGCAGCCTGAATCGGTGAACCCTCAGCGGACCTTGGGCGAGTCGACCTTTGAAAACTCAACGCATCTAAACTGTACGCATGACATCCGGGAATATTTGAGTCAGTGGCTGCAGGCTGTTGTTCGTTTCGTTCACTCCTCCAACAGGCTAGATATTTTCGGAAGGGTGCGACTGTGGAACCCAACTGTCTCAGGGTACCTTCCCCATTCTTTCCAGGAATCCTTCTTTCTAGTTGTGGGCAAGAATGATGGTTGTGTTCTCTCCACCATCCAGAACTACATCATATCTGCAATATGTAAATATACATACATACATACATACATACATACATACATACATACATACATACATACATACATACATACATACATACATACATACATACATACATACATACATACATACATACATACATACATACATACATACATACATACATACATACATACATACATACATACATACATACATACATACATACATACATACATACATACATACATACATACATACATACATACATACATACATACATACATACATACATACATACATACATACATACATACATACATACATACATACATACATACATACATACATACATACATACATACATACATACATACATACATACATACATACATACATACATACATACATACATACATACATACATACATACATACATACATACATACATACATATATATATATATATATTATGTTATCTATAGATATATGCTCTCTCTCTCTCTCTCTCTTTGTGGAAAAGGATGATGGTTGTGTTCTTTCCCACCCACCCACCCCAAAAGGAAAACACGCCGCACAAACAAAACAAGCACACCGCCCGAGCCGAGGAGCTGCTGATCCTGGGCCGCGTGGGCCGGCGGGCCCCGAAAAGCCCCGAAGGGCTCTTCACTTTGGATGCCAAGCCCGGGGCCCAAGTGCTCCAAGCAATGGGGTTTCCCTTGCTTGCTTGGTTTCCCTTGATTTGGTTCCTTTGATTTTCGTTGGTTTCCTCTGGGTGCCTTTGATTTTTGTTGGGTTCATTTTTTACCGGCCTTCTTCAGTTTCCTTCAGTTTCCTTCAGTTTTCTTTGGTTTCCTTTGGGTTTCCTTTGGTTCCTTCGGTCTCCTTCGGTTTCCTTTAGCCTCCTTTGGTCTTCTCTGGGTTCCTTTGGGTCTGGCCGGATTATCACAGGGTCGAAATGTTGCTGGCTTCCTTTGAGAACCCCCTTTCACATCTTTCGGACATGAAGCTTCCCAGCCATGGACGGCACGCAAGGTATGCAAACGACCGGCGGAGCGAACTTGATGCACGGGCTTTGATCAACTGTTCGTTGCAGACGCACCGTGAAGACCAGTGCAGCCGCAGGACTCAGGATCCATTCAGGTCGATGGAGAAATATGTTTGCCGATGTGTCGATTTCCCCTCGATACCAAAAGAACCCAGAAATGAAATCACCCTTCAGCTGCGAAGGCTCAAGCCTCAAGCTTCATTATGGCGCGCGCCACCATTTCAGTGTCCACGGGCTCCGGCAGCTGCTGTATCTGCTTGGGGGTGGAAGATGACAGGCTCAAGACCGAGTTCTGGCAGGGACTGGCGGAGGCTATGAGAGAAGCCGCGGACTTGGTGAAATTTCAGGAGGAGCAGGACATGGTTTCAACTTGGCGTGGGTTTTAGGAGTGGCTTTGTATACTCCCCGAGAACCGCTGAAGCTGGGCTTTGGGAATCCCATTTTCTGTACTCCTTGGTATAGTCCCCTTCGAAGTGAAGTAGTAAGGTGTGACTGAATCGCCTCGGAGAGCCCTGGAAGAAAATGGCTTTGCCATCAAACCTGCAAAGGTTTGACCTTTTGCTCATGGCGGTAAGAGTCGATTGCAAGGAGGCTGAGAAGCTGCGTGAGGGTGCGGCATTCCTGGAGCTCCTTGGTAGCAGTGATGTTTGTTGGATAGGGAAGACCATGTACTGCAATGTACTATAAAGGGAATGGAAATCGTCGGGGGTTATCGCATGGTGACGTTTATGGGTCACTTCTCTCAACAGCAGGTTTGACCCCGGAAGATGGGGTTGCTTCTCTTTTGGTTTGCAATTGACTCCCAAAAAGGGGCACCAACTCAGCGCCGGAAAATCCTCAGGGATCTCCTCCCATTTCAGTTTGTGCAACTAAAAGCCAATTGTCGCCGAAGGATTCTGCTGAATATCAAAATAAACAACAGAGGGTTGCATTAGGATGTAAAACACAGAGCGCCCAAGGTTTGTCTATGATCTATATATATATATATGGGTCTGGCTCAAAGTCAAAGGGCTGGGGTTGCACAGGTGTTAGTTTTTGGCTCCATTTACCAAGGTGCCGTTTGGTGCATGTTTTTGTTGAGCCACAGCCGTGTATATATATATATATAGAAAACATGCAAAGCCCAGGCATGTCAATGAGAAGACGATGGCCAAAGTCTCCAGCGGCCGTGCTCCTCGTTCTTCGGTAGCATATGACGCGACCCCGTCGACCGCGGCTCCGCGGCTGGCGACGCTTTGGCCCTTCCGGAAGCTTGGGCCATGTGGATGGTGGCACAATCCGGACATCGCACCACCGTTCAGATGGTTTCTGAGTCGATTTTCCCTGTAAATACCAAGAAACAATGGTTTCAACCATAGCTTCATGGTGGTGTGAAATGGATTTCGTCCATCCAGAGTACTTTTTTTCTTCGTTTCGACTTCTAGACGTTTAGAGTTTAGAGGATTCAGGACATACCCCACTTTTTTAAATACAAAAAACAAAAACATGTTTAACTCGTTGCAAGAGATCAACACCTCAGCAAGGAAACATGTGCGAGTGAGCGACCGAAAGTAGATTCCTGTATTATCAAAGGGTTGAGCGGCTGAATGCATGAACCAAAGAGCACTTCCAGGAGTTCACGGCGAAAAAATCAGCAAACAGCCCAGATCTCAGGGACGACGGCCATTGGTTCATGTACAGTCCGCCTTCATTTTGTCAGAGTAGTTTGCGACCCGTTGCAGAAAAACTGTATGATAGGGTCAATTTCTTGTCTGGTGCGCCTTACCGACCTTTAGTGGGGGTTTCCCTCTCCTTGTTTTGGAGGACTTTTCCCTACCGAAACCACCAAAACAAAAAGGCGTCGTTGTTCCCCACTAAAGCAACCTTGGCTCGAGTTCTTTTTTCTGATTTGAAAACTGGTTACATGGCCTTTCTTTTTTTTTTGGGGGGGGGGGACCCCTTTTTGGTTGGTTTGGGTCTCGGTATTTTGAGACCCATGTATGCCCGGTTTAGCGCTTCGGACACGTTTCGCTTTATCACTTCCGCCTTGCCGTCTGTACGCGGTCCAAAGACCCAGTTGGCAGCTGGCAATGGGCGAGCTTGTCAGCGTTTGCGCGCCATCGGAGCAAAAAAGGCACGGCAACATGTTGCCCACGTCATGGGAAGCTTAAACGCTCGCTCTCTCAACCTAGTTCTTCTTGTTGGATGGTTTAACCATCATCTGTTGGGACAATGGGCACAAGGGCAATGAGCAAAGCACATACTTTCGTGGGGTTCGGGGCAGCAACATGGAGATTTGGCACGGCAGCGCTGAGGGGAGGTATCTGGTTGAAAGGACTACCCTAGAACCACCGTGGGACCCGAACTCAAGGGGGGTTGGGGGGGTTTGTGCTTTGCACTCCTTGAACGTCCAGTGTCCATTGTCCATTGACATTCTCTGCACCAGTTGGGGTCGGACAAGAATCCGAAGGTGTGCTTTCCAAATCATGAGACAGATCGCCAAGAGGATCTTCTATGGCTGGCAAAGTTTGGTTTTGTTCTTTGGCCCAGTTGGCATTCTTTAGCTCAGTTGCCCGAAATAGAAACCGACCGGATCTTACCCTTCGGCTTCTCCTTTTCGGGGCTTCCTCTCTTTTTTTGTTTTTCATTCCCAAGGTAAACTCGACCTGTTCGTTTTTTTGTTGGTCATCCCAAAAGGTCCGCCTGGAATTTCCAGCTCCAATTTGTTTGGGCCGAGCCTCCCGGCCTTCCCGTCCCGGCCGGCCTTAAGCGCCGAGGCTGAAGGTTGCCATCGAGCTGCCCGCGGGAGTGCAGGACCTGGAGGCCACGTCTCGCCGAATCGCCCTTGCGATAGCGCGCAGTGTCTGTTCGACGCGAATAAATTTGGGGGGGAGGGGGAAAGCAGGAGAAGGCAACATGAAACAAGCAAGCCAGTGTGTGCGCTTTGTGGGTCAAAAGGAGATCCACATCTCCGCCGGAGGTGAAAGGGACAAAGCAAAGTCGTGAAAAGGTCGAAGGATTCACTTGAGCCGCGTCTTTTGAGAACCGAGTCGGGAAGGCTCAGTTCAGGGAGAGTCACCATGGGTACGGATACCCGCCGCGCGACAAGGTTTTGAGTGTGAGGTACTTCCGATCGAGTTCCTGGACTTCAGTCGCTTTTGGGGTTTGGACCACTCCAAAGTGACCCTAGCCCAAGACCTCACTATTTCAGGTCTTTGGGGGTTCAAGGATCTCATATTTATGGGCTCCAAAGTCAAAGGTTGTACCATCAGACTCCTGGAACATACCCCTTAAGGATATGGCCTAAATAAAGCTGAACTGTCATAATTGTTTCTTTGGGGGTCAATGGGGCAAAGGTGAACACCACTGTAAAACGAAGGCGGCTGTTTAAAACGAAGCTTTTAGAGAAATTCCATTTTGCGCCTTTCAATTTTGGAGATAGCTCGGACGGATATGCAACCCAACCAGACACTTTCTCCGGGTTCCCCATATTAACAGGAGAGGAACGGCAGTATGGTTACGGTCTTTCCAATGGAAGTGGTCACGACTCTTGTTGAGTTGGACTCACCAAAACCTGCGGGTTTCGCCTGAAAAGATGGGTCATTGTTGCTCCCAACAACGGTTCAGCTCCTTACAAACGAAGGCCCATCGCTTATGGGACACTTTTGCGGTGGTTCCACCGCTAGGGTGTGTGCTTGATCACAGGAATTGGAGCAGGGCCATTTGGCCGTAAGCTGGAGTGCGGGCCATGTCGTTTTACGATTAGAGCAATCAAAGACAAGCGTTTTTTTTTGAAAAGGAAAAGGACGAGGTGTAACGTAGACAAGGTATTGAACACGCTGTCAATATTTCTGGATGTTGTTGAAACGAATACCCAGAAGACGACCTGTTTTAGCCAAGAGTCATCTACAGAGTCGAGCTTTCGGTCTCCTGTTGATTAGGCTTTTCTTGACTTCCGCGTTGAATCCTGAAGGGTGTTGGTCATGACTGACTGATTCTCACTTCCACGAGAGGGGCTGATCCCTTGCTTTGACCCCAAGCACACCACTCAAACATGGAATCTCCCATTCTATTTGGGGCATTCTGCTTTTGGGCTTCCTTCCACTCATTTGCCACGCAATCTGTTTGGAGCACGCGCAGGACTGTTCCCATGTCCCTTGAGTTTCGAACAACGCACCCAAATGGGGACGATGCGCTCGCGGTGTTACTTTTATCTTTTCTGGCCGAGGGGGGGGGGGCAGGACCCCTTCTTGGGGTTGGTTTGTTCATGGTAGCAGTTGGGTAAAACAAAGAAGCTGCACCTAGTGGTTGGGTATGCCAACTGATTGTTGCTCACTACATGATTTGAATGAGTAGGTGTCAAAACGGGGCGGGCCAATGGTGGTATGCTTCTTGGTTCAACCCCCCCCCACCCGCCCCTCAGAAACTGGTCTGACTATGAGTTGTAATAGGGAACCCCTCCAAAATGGTTGGTGAACAGTCCCCCCAACTTGAGCATAGGTCTCCTTTTTTGGTTAGCTCGGTTGAAACATGCGTGCCGTGGTAAACCTGGTTGAGACAACCAGGGCCATCTATTTCCCCAAAAGGACACCTATGTACCAAGGAGTTCCTCGTTCCAACTTGAGATCCTTGCTGGTCTGTCTTAACAGCCTTTTTCGGCAATTTGAAGGGGAAGCCAAGAGGAAAGCCCATCATTTCGGGGGCCCCTCCCCAAAAAAGATACCCTCCCACTAACATGGCAACTGAGAGGGGGTCCCTTCAAAAGGAAATTCATCTTCCAGGTACCTCCCCGCTGCCACGTTAGTTGGAGTAAGGGTACCCCCAGAGATCCTGATCTGAGCCTCCCTCACGCCTTACGCCAGTCCTGAGCTTCCGATTCCTGAGGCGGCCACCTGGCGCTGCGCGCCGCTGCTGAGCTGGCTGCCCCTGGTGCGGTGCACTTCCCAGGCCGAAACGATTGCCACTTCTTCCCTGCAAAATATGGCACCCAAGGCTTCTCAAAAGGAGCTTCCTCGAACTACGAGGGTTGTTTGGGTTCCATTTGAACCTGGACCTCTGGTGAGCCACAATCAAAACCCGGGTAGATGATCCGGATAAGGGGCACTCCCCTTGCCAGAAAAATCGTTGCGGATATTTGTTTTCTTAATTCGTGGGTTTTGATGGTGACTCATTTGACCAAGGAATCTCAATGAGGCAAGCACCAAGGTGCGTCGTTTTTTGTTCGTTTGTTAATGGACTCCCCGAGTTGCTGAACTTGAGTCACTTTTCGGGCTTTGGACCACTTGAGTGGTAAAGAAAAAACATGTGGCTACTTTTTTCTGACCAATCTACTCAGGAAGTGAGGTTTGAAAAGGCAGGTGTTGGGTTTGGGTCCAGATCCGGAACAAAAGCAGACCCAAATAGATCGGTGCTGTCAGGCAGTCTGATTTTTTGGAGGACCCCGCCAAAATGTTGCCACGGTTTATCTGTTGGTTTCCCTTTAACCCCGCCCCAGGAAAAAGAAAAGCACCCTCAGCAACATACAGACCCACAAAGACCATTGAAGGTACATTCTCTCTTTGGCGCGTTTTTTGGAGAGAAGGATCGCTGAAAAGAATGGGAAGGTGCTGCTAGAGAGATCGCATCTGTCAAGATGTTCCAGCGTGACAAAAATGGAACCCTGCAGAAGAGGGTTGAGGCCCATGGGCGAAATGTGTCTAAACAACAGCCTCTAGCCTTAAAGAGGTCGGGTTTTTCAGGTTCTATGCCAATCTGCAGGGGTGTAGCCAGATATCCTGTTGCCAGCGAGCAACATTTGGACCCCCCTAAAATGGCATGGGTTTCCTTGGGGTGTCCCTTTAAAAGCGACGAAAAAGGGGGGGGGTGTACCAACTCACAATAGGACACACCCTTCGACTTTCGAGGGAAGCCGAACTAAGGTCGCTTAAGGTTGAGACATGTTCAGCCACGGGGTTCTGCTGCTTCTCTGGCCGGGTTGAAATTGGACATTCTCTTTGAAGAACAAATGGAAGGCTGAAACCGCACTTAGTGGAGGATGATCGATATTCTTCCAATATGAGCCAGGGTCACAGCAACTTGCTGTCCCAAGAGCCGGGGAAAGTTGGCGAGCGCTCCCCATGTCCCTCCCAGCATGGACCAGAGACTGGAACATGTTGACCAAACCTCGTATCACATGCGAGCAATCTATACAGGTCCTCTGAGGCGAGGTCAAAGCAGCTGAACCTATCCAGAGTTACTATCGTTTTAGGCCTTTATGGGTTGAAGTAAGACCTTTCGCATTGCAGAAAGGTGCACAGATCACTGTTTTTGTTAGCATCCAGGCGAGCATGGGACCGTCTGTTCTTGAGGGTCCCCGTGTTTCGGGGGTTTTAAAGGGACACCTAGAAGAACACCGAAGCCATTTTGGAAAAGTCCCCTAAGACACACACCCAAAGAGGGACGCGCACCTTCCCTCGCTTTTAAGGCCACCTTCTTTTGGTGATGCAGGGCAACATCCTCTGTTGGGGCCCCACAGCCCTGGGTCGTTTTCCTTTTTTTTCCCTTTTCTTTTCTTTTTCTCAGAACGACATCCTCACCCTTGAAATGGTGGATCAAAGGGGTTTCCCACCACTTTTGGTTTATAGAGAGCCGAGTTGCCCTCAATTTTCTCGACCATGATTGTGAGATCTCCAGGTGTTTTGTGTTGATACAGACACCTTTTGTCAGGCATCCCTAAGTTGGTGGTTTGGATGGGTGGTTTGCTAGGGTTGAACTTCTGGTTCTAGAGGTTAAATGGGACACCCGCCCCTGGCCTCCAAACCACCAATCCAAGCCGCCCGTTTTGAGGTACTGCCAATTTTGAGATCCAGTGCTTCTGTTTATAGCAAAACCGGAAATTTCCGGTGCTTTTGGGCAGACTGCGGGGCCCACTGCAGCCCTCTAGGGAAGATTAGCCAATTCTAGCATCTATGTCCAAATATCACCCGGTGAGTTTGGTTTATTTGTAGGGTTTATTTGGGATTGGTAATTTCCACTGGTGCAATCCCAGGGTGTAATGGAGACAACCAAGAGGAGCTGGGATTCGTTTTGGTAGTTTCCCTGTGCAATCCCAGGGTGTAATAGGGAAAACCCATAACACTCTGGTCATTTTGGTTTCTTTGGGGTGGATAATTTTGCCAGGGTGTAATCCAAGGGTGTAACAAGGGAATAAATCTGTGGGTTTCCAAATCCCAAGAAAAACATCAAACACACATCCCTATGTTTTTTTCTTCGGGTTTGTGGGATTTGGGACTGTTTCTTTGAGTTTCCAAGACCAACCATTCCCCCCAAAAAAGGAGCTAGGGGCCCAGGGCGATTTCATGAAAATCCACAAGAGCAACAAACCACACACAGGAAAAAACAATAATATATATATATAGTTCATGATTTTTCAAAAAAAAAAAAAACAAAAAAAAAAAAAACAACACACAACGAAGACTTCCCCGGCCGGGCCGCCGGGCGGGGGGGTCTCCCGGCGGAGTTTTTCTTTTTTCTTCGGGAGGCGGCCGCCTTCCAAGGGGCCGAAGCCAAGCTGCGGGCGGGCATGGGCCTGGCCTTCGCCGCTGCCAGGCATTCGCCGGGTGGGATGGACCGATGGGCGGCACGGAGCTGGCGGGATCGTGGGGGGGGGTGGGGCGTTTGGGAGGGGCTTTCCTTGAAAACCCGGGCGACGTCAACTCCAGTGTGTGTGTGTGTGTGTGTTTTTGGGGTTTTGCTGGGAAAAGAAAAGAGGAAGAAGGTGTGGCAACTCTGAAAAGAGCGAGCTTTTCGGGTTGCTTGAGGGAAGAAATCCCCGGAAATGGCACTGGGAAGAGACCCCAAACAGTGTAAGCACCCCTGGTTGACACATTGTTTGGGGGAAAAAGGGGGTACCAACTCAAAAAGAGCAAGCCTCCCAGGTTGCTTCAGGGAAGCCAAAAGGGACAACCGTGAGAAAATCCGGGGGAGGGGGGCGGGGGGTGTTTGGGACTCCGAAAAACAACAATCAGATTTCAGGCATGGGGCAACCTGGCTCCACGCAAGCCAGAGGAACCTCGAGGGAAAGATGCCTGGCTAGCTACTATGGCGGTATCTGGGAGCACTGGGCTGTTGTAAACCGGGCAGGAAACTCGTATAGACTTGAGTGAGAGAAATACGCTACCCAGTCAACCACGGATCGGATTTGCAAGTGCAAGCCGTGTGGAAGGTGTCGGACAGTCAATTATCACGCCCTTTTCAGGTCCAAAATTGACTGTGCGCACTTGCGCAGCTCTTGCGCAGGATTCTAGGAGAAACGGGTGCATTCGTTTTTGGTTTCAAAAGTCTAGCTTTCATTTGCCCAGTGTATTTCCCAGCGGGGCTCTCTATGTTGAACCTACAAACAGAGTTGGGTCTTATGCAGGTCCAATTTCTGGTTGCATCTTTTTGTGCGGAATTGCCAGAACCCGACAGGATTCATTTTTTGCATCAACCCACAAAGGCCCGGATGATTTTATTGAACACCCACCAAACGAATTGCCACAACCCGGGTTTATTCTCTTATAATCAACCCACAAAACACCTGGGGGATCTTATTGAACACCCACTCACTTCCTGAGTTCCTGAACTTTAAACTTTTTGGGAAGACCATTTTAGCGGCAGGTAGAAAGTTTAGACTTTTTCTGGCCAATCCACTCAGGAAGTGAGAGACAACGCGTGGGGTTTTTAGTTGGTTTTCCGGAATGCCGGGGATTCGCATTCAGGCATGACGGGGTCAAGGACTCCTCCAGCGCCAACGCGTACCAGCGCCTGCAGTACGTCTGCGGCGCTCTGGCGCCTTGGCCGGAGCGGAGCCGGCGAACGAAGGCTTCGGTCATGCGGATCCCGGATTTTTGAGAAGTGGCTTGTGGGTGCTTCTTGTTTGTTGTTGGTTCCCTTCTTTCATGTTGTTTTTTGGTTTTTGTGGGATCATTTTTTGGAGTTTCCTACTGTGGATGGTGGCGAAATCGCGCCACCGAGTTAAGAAACCCTGGTGTCTGATGATTCCCCTAATTCCCGACAAGAAATGGTTTCAACCATGGTTTCAAAGTGGCTTCTGAAGTGATTCGCTAGGTTGGCAACTGGATGTAACACATGCGCTCAAAGGCCCAGCTTCCCCCCTCTTTGCAAGCCGACTTGCGGGGGCCATTGGAAGGCATTGGAGCTAGTGCCCTTCCTATGCTCCTGAATCAACACATATGACTTTTGGGGCCCAACCCCAATTCGAACAAGGCGGGTATACTGGTCTTTGGGCCAGCAAAGTTTCTTCTTTTTGACCTGCAAAAAGGTGCTGAGTAACTTCCGGAGCGGGTGCTTGATCGTATGTGGGCATCCCCTATGAGGACCCTTGAAGATGTTCCAGCTGTTTAGGGCGGGCCTTGCTCAGAAATACATGGACACGTGACTTGCTTTGCGGAAATGGTCCTAAGCAATTGCAGGCGCGCAGGCTTCCTTGCCACAAGCCTGGTGTTGCGCACGTCTCTGTTGCAAACGAGCCTTTTTTTTGAACCCTTCCACCGGGCGGTTCAAATTCATCAAAGGAGTTGCCGAATCAACTCGGCGGCCATTATGAGTGACAATCAGTTAGCACACGCACAATTGTGGACCCGCGCGCTAACTTGCACTCGGGTACGCAAACTGATTGTTACTCCCCATCTGAGCAAATGAGCACCAAGCGAAAATCCGGGATCCCTACGGTGGCCAATCGAAATCCGCACAACAAAAAACACCTAAGAGGTCCCTTTTGGATGTGTCGCTTTTGGCACAAAACCTTTGTGGGCGTGGCTGTAAAGTGGAAAACTGCAGAAACCCAAAAGGAACACCGAAGCCATTTTTGGTGTTTCCCCGATTTTGACACTTTCGCTCGCTCGGTTTTTGCCGCTCCCGCGAGCGAACGAGCGAAGGGTGTGCTGAAGCGCCTACATGGCGCCTTCCCGCTGCACTACGAGGGGATCTCTGAGGAACTTTCGGGGGAGACCTGCTACGAGCTGCGCCTGGGGCAGAATAGGGCCTGAAGAATGCTTTTGTTGGTTTTGCAGGGTGTTTCTTGGATTTCGTGAATTCGAATGTTGTTTGTTTTGTAGGTTGTGTGGCTTTTGAAGGATTTGTAGGTTGTTGTTGAATTGTTTGTTGGGTAGAATGTGGTTTTTGTTGATGGCCGGAATCATTAGAATGAGGTTATGGGGGAGAATCGAGCGTGCGATGCTTGCTCGCCTTGTTGTATGCAATAGCATTTGTCGGGTTGGAACTGTTTGTCGAGTTTGAGTTGTTTGTTTCTTGAAATGCTGGGTGAATTTGAGTTGATGTTGATGGTACTTTTCGAGGTTGTAATGTTGGGCCGAAGACCACAAGCCAACTCATGGGCGAGGCGTGTCAAACATCGGGTTCCTGGGGGTTGATTCCTTGTCCATTCTTTTCAACCCTCGTTCTTTTCAAAATTTTAGTGGTTTTCTGAAAAGAAGGACCCCTGGAAAGAATGGGGAAGGTACCCCTAGACTTCCTTCTTGGGGCCGCCGCCATTGGATTGAATTGTGTGTCTTCACCGCGCCTTTTTTTTGCTTCAACTTAGTGCAGTCTGCACGAATCGGCGCTTGTTTCGCCCGCAGTTTCCGGCGCCTGGTCTTTTCGTGGTGGCTCCCAGCCATCCCCTGAGGGTTTAAGCTTTTTAGTGATTAGTGTTTAGTGGGGTTTTCCATTTGGCCCACTCAAAGTTAGTCACTTTTAGCGGGGCTCTGAGGGCAGCCCAACACATATTCGCGAGTTTTGGAGCAAGGTCGTTCTGGCCAAGGTGCGAGAGACCCTCTGGGCAAGTTAGCTGATGGATCCGAGGGTAGAACCGAGGGAAAGCTCAGTTTTGAGGGAGCCCCGCTGTTTAGTGGGGCTTTCCCTTTGGCCCACTCAAAGTTCGTCAAACTTTCAGCAGGGGATCTGAAACAGACCGCTCAGTTTTGAGGGAGTCCCATGTCGTCCGCGAAACTTTCTCGATCCATCCCAGACACTCCAATGTTGGTGCTATTTGCCAACATTCGCGAACGTTGGCCTGAGAAGGAACATTGGGGTTTATAAGGCCAATGTTGCTCTGAGAGGCATACATCCAAAATGTTGGTTCGACAAATGCACGTTCGACAATTCTCCTGCGATTAAATCGCGCCAAATCACGCCAAATCACGGTATTACATGAATGTACCCCAAATTTGGCATACATTTGGCCCAAATGTATGCCAAAAATGGCATACATTCAGTCCGACAATCACGCCAAATCACGCTCAATCACGCCCAATCACGCCCAATCACGGCATCCGACAAATCATAGATTCCGATAAGCCCAATGTTGCCAAATTATGCCTACATCCGAATGTTGCTCTGAGAGGCTACATTTGAATGTTGGTAAATATGACCAACATGGAGTGTGTGGGCATTTCCGCGAAGACTACGAGGCTGGTGGAGGCGGCCAAGCTCCAGCTGCGACCGTCGCTGTGGAACTTGTGGGCCTTTGTAGACGTGCTCTACTGGCAGCTGAAGGAGGCCGGTTCATTGGGGCCGATCGAGCCGTTCCTAGGCATGAAGAAAACATGGCTTCAAGGTCTTTGGCGTGACTGAGGGGAAGAGCGACCCAGAGTATAAAATCAATGTTTGCTCCTTGATTGCTATTGGGTTGGATCTTTAAACTTTGACTTTCGGGAAATCAAGAGGTTTTCCATTAAACCCACAAGGGGTCAACAGCAACCAAGGCACCGGCGTGAGGGGCAACGTACGTTTGGAGTTTCTTTGGGTTCGAAGTGCCAGGTGCACCACCCGGAGTCGGTGGCGAATCAGGCGTGCTTGCCTGAGGCGCGGGCGAACCAAAAGATGTGAGTTGTCCCGTGACCCGCAGGGTTGTGGCAAATGAGCATGGGTTTCCTTGTTGGTGGTTTCGGTAGAAATCTAGATGGCCCTGGCTTACCTGGTGGTTTAATCATCTACTAGGGAAACCCATCTTTTTCCCCCAAAAAGGATGCCTATGGGAATGAGGCTACTTGGCTGCTTGGTTGGTATGCTGGTTGGTGGGCTGGTTGGTGGGCTGGTTGGTTGCTTGGCTGCTTTGTTGCTTGGTTCTTTGCTTGGTCGGCTGATTGTTTAGCTGGCTGACCGCCCTGCCCTAGCTCCCACTTGACAAAAGTAGAGGTTATTTCAATGGGGACAATGGGATTGGGGGAATCCGTTTACGAGCTAGCTGTTGAGGGAAAGGTCGGCTAGTTCCCACTTCTGTTTTTTTCCAGCGAACCTGCAAAAAACTGGGTTTTATAGGGATTGCCGGGATTACACTCTTTGGTATCAGAGAAAGGCTTATTCCCATTGTTATAGCGGAGGCCTTCCAGCGATATCCCAGTGGGTAATTCACGCAATCATGGTCAAGAGCTGAGCTGGCGCTGCAGATGAGCAAAGGAAGCTGATTTGATTCCTGTGACGTGAGAAACTGAGGCGACATTTGCTGGAATGGGTCTTTAATGGGTCTTAATGGGACCCAGGATCAATCCCCCTTTATGATTAATAAGGGCATGGCCCATTGAGTAGAACCCTCACTTTGCGGGAACACAACCGAATCCGAGAGGTTCGCATACACTTCTCTTTCCAGGAACCCAACACCCTCCTCCCAGGAAAGTTTCGATCCCTCTTAGGGGTTCCGATCGAAGGGTTCAAATCTTTCGGGCTGCCTTGCCGCTATCAGGGGGGCGCAGTGGAGAAGAAGTTGGAGGAGATCCAACCCCAGGACTGCCCCATCTTCAAAGGCGGGGTCCTCTCCCCACCCTTCAGGGGGAAAGGGGGTCTCACTTCCTGGGTTCATGAACTTTAAACTTTTTGGGAAGACCATTTTAGTGGTAAATATAAAGTTTGAACTTTTTTTGGGCCATCCACTCAGCAAGTGAGGGGTGGGGGGGGTGGGGGGAGGAATCTGATGGGGTTTTGCGCTCACCACTTCGGTTGCCAAACGAGATCTGACCCCGGCTTACTCTTACCCTCCTCCAGGCGATCCTGGAAGCCCTGCCAGCAGCCCTTTTGGAAGACTTGGTTCCGTTTACAGAGGCCTTCTGGGAGCTTCCATGTTGAGTGGGCTACAAGCCACCCCCTTGGTGCAGTTGGGGAAATGGCAGTGGCTCAAAATTCAAGAGCTAGGGTTACGCAGGTTTTCCATGTTTCCACTTACCAGGGCAACCCATTTTGGAATTCCGGTTTTTTGAGCCCCACCCAAATCAGCGCTTGAAGCCTCCGCTGAGTTGGCTCGGAGGTGAGCTCATTGCGTTTATCCTCCGCACGGCCCGGGACTTCGCGACCCGCCAGACCCGGAACAACGAGGCGGGCCTTGGTCCGTTGGTCTTTTGGTTCGGGGCGGTCGGGGGGGGGGCGTTGAGAAACCGGCCCCAAGGTCTTGCGAAGGACTAGTTTGAGCAGGGGAAAGTCTGGGTGCTCCAAAATTAAGAGCCAACCTCCGGGAAGTTGTTTGCTTTTCCATTAAACCCATTGGAGAATCAGACACGGGTCCCCTTGGCGAGCTTAGGTGGATCCTGAGACGGTGGTGGCTGCGGATTTGGTGAGCTTCCACCAGGACGGCGAATGGGCCATCCGGTGGCTTTGCTCCCGGGGTCTCCAGCAACATGTCTGTGGGTCAAAACCAATGGGATCCCATTTTGGGGTAGTTGCATCACCCATTTTAGAACCTATTAGTGGTTGGATTGAATCGGATGTTCACTGGGGGCTAAGCGATTTGGCTTTTGACCCATGGCCACATGAGACGTGAGACGGAAGTCGCAAAATGGAATCCCCTAACATGGCACCTTGGAACATGGAGCCCAAGATAGCCCAAGACGAAAAGCTGGCGGTTTGCAGCTCTTCGATTTTGAGCCACACCTGAGCCACGTGCTCAAAATCCGGGTAGATGAGGGTTAGTAAGGGACGATGTCAACCATAAATAGCTGCGGATCTCCGCCTTCTTAGTTCTTTACATGGTTCTGGGTGCACCGTTTTTGTACCGGGCTTTGGAGCCAGTGACTCACCTTGAGTTCCTCGGCTTATGCGGTTGCTGTGGGATTTCCTTCTGCCGGCTCGACTTTGGGCGCCTGGGTCAGGCTCCGAAGACACAAGAGGTGCTGGACTGAAACTTTTTTCCCCAACAGCTGAAAGCTTTGGGGTCTCAGCCCAGATAGGCTCCGGGGTGGTCCGGGGCGGCCCTGATGCAAGGTTCCACGAGGGTTCCACCAGGGTTCCACGAGGGTTGCACCAGGGTTCCACCAAGGTTCCACCAGGGTTCCACCAGGGTTCCACGAGGGTTCCACGAGGGTTCCACGAGGTTCTGCGAGGGCTGCGGGGTGGTGTGAGCACTAAAAACATCACCTGAGCTTATTATTGGGAAGACGCGTTTAGTGGCAAATAACAGACATGGACTCGTTTTTTGCCAATCCACTCAGGTGAGTCAACTAGAATCATACCCTGCTTTCCAGTTGTAAAGGGCTGTTTCAGGTTCCAGGCGGTTTCCGGTAGCCATCGAGACTTCGTGAGCTTGGTGGTTAGACATGCAAGGAACTCCCCCGCACGTGCCGTTTCGTTCCCTACTTGATGTTCGGCCAAGTTAGTAAGTGGTTAGCCAACCCACCAATAACACGGTTAATTTCACTTGGGACAGAAGCGGGGGTTACCAACAACTTACTCAGTAGGCCAAACACCCAAGCACCGAAAAGCCGCACGTTTCGTTTTCGCAGGACCGCTTTTGCGGGCGATGGCGCCTGCAGCCCTTCTCCAGTGACGGGTACCCTGTCTTTGCGCGCTACGACAAGTCGGAGAAAGGCGCGGTTTACCGAAGGTCGAATAAAATATGGTTTCGTTTGTATCTATTTTGTTTGGGGGGTGGGGGGTGGGGTTGGATGGGGAGGGCGGTCCGTCCTTTTCATTTCTCTTCGTGGATTTGGGTGGACCTTTGGCAATTCCAGGGTTTGCTGGTGACTCAGGTGGGGATGGGGAACCAGAAATGGCGGGCTTCCCCTTTTGGTACCCAGGGGCACGAGCTCAAGGGCCCCAAACCGGAGCCTTCTGAGTGGGTGGTGGGTTGGTTCCTTGGCGAGCCTGCGGCTTCCGCTTTTCAAAAGCGCTTCGAAGTGACCCAAGAAGGATATAGTCCAGAAGCGCAAGGGCTGGGAGCGGTGAGCCTAGATGTCTTTGCAGGTCATGTTGGACAGAGTCAGCATGATGTTCACATGTATACCGGTTACAACATGTGAAGCAAACAATAGACAAGGCCCTTTTTCGCAGGCTTTTCAACAACTGATGGTGACCAAAAAGCTGTATGCAGAACGATGTCTCTCCCACAAATCGAGAATCCCTCAACTCCCCTTTTTTCCAACAATCCTGGAAGGGGATTCGAAGGCAGCAGTGCTCTTGAAAATGCTTTCTGTCTGTTGGAAAGATGGTAGGCGGGTGCCGTTCGATTCCATTGAAACATGTACTGGTCCGTTCGCAGCTGTTTATAGCGCCTGTGGCAGGTCCCAAAGTCGTGCATCCAGGGTCTCCAATTAAGGGACAGCCACCGCGCACGCTTGTGACACCGCTTGTCAGGCAGTCAGTGCAGTCAGTCCAGTCAGTCCAGTCAGGGTCTGCCTGCTCGTCTACCTGCCTGCCTGCCTGCCAGTCTGCCTGTCTGCCTGTCTGCCTGTCTGCCTGTCTGCCTGTCTGCCTGCCTGCCTGCCTGTCTGCCTGTGTGCCTGTCTGCCTGTCTGCCTGTTGTCCTGTCTGAGTCTGTGAGCCTTTGACTATGTTTGTCTACGCAGGCTCCGGGCAGTTCTTCTTGTACTACCGCGCCGCGCAAAAGATGTGGACCATTGACGCGGAGCTCGACAAAGTCGCCCCAGCCTTTGCGTGCCTGGGATGATTGATAACTACTCTGGCCTAGGCAACGCCTTAGATGCCCCATCTGTGGATTCCAGCATTCATTGCCCTTTGTCAGCACTCGTTGGGGAATCGGGGCATGCAAAACACGCCCTGGATCCAGGGCATGCTTTTAGAGGATTGGGTAGAAGGGGGATCCCCTATAAAGTAGTCATGGTCCCATGCTTTGGTATGACAAGGGTGTTTCTCCACCACCATCTTCGCAAAAAGGAAAACACGTCCTGGAATGGTTGAGACTCCTTAAATTTTGTGGTTTCAGTTTTTACCTTGATTTCCTTCCAATATCCAACCGGGGAATGACGAGTCAAACCATAGCTTAGCGGTCCCAGCGGTCCGGTGCCTTAGGTTCTTAGCGGTTTTTAGCTGGCTGAGTGGTTGGGTTTCGATTTAACCCACAAGGGGATGTGCACTTCTTGCTGTTGCTTGGAGCCGCACGGGCCGCACTTCCACCCCAAGGCTCACCCCCAAACGGACGCGAACCTGAGGAGATGGGCTCAAGTGCTTGCGCCGCGAAGCCTCACAAAAAAAACAAAACGAATCGTATGACTGTGTGAGGTACACCAGGAAGAAGAGCTATGCCCAGGGATGGTGGCGCATGGCCTCCTGGGTGCCTCGAATTCCAAGAGACTGGGAGGTCTGGAGTGCTCCATGGCTAGCCTCCCTCCCACCAACATGGCACCTGGCAGGGTAGCCTCCCACAAATGCTAGGTTAGTCGGAGGAAGGGTATTTGGTAGCGGATCTTTTGAGGACTTGTTAACCTTTTTGGTTAAAACAGGCGGAATTTTCGGGACTTGGAGCCACAAACAGTGAGGACCGTTTTGCAGAGGGGGTCAACCGCAACCGAGTCTGGAAATGCTTTCGGACATGTAAGATGTGCGGATGCCAAGCTTGTGTTTGCCCTTCTGTCTTTGGGGTTTCCTTGATTTGGTTTTAAACAGCAAACGGTTCCCTTTGCGGGTCTGAGTGTGGCCAAGATAAAACTTCATGTGGTTCCTGAGGAGGAACTCTAAGTTTGAGCGAGATTGTTTCAGAGCATCACTTTAAGCTAGATTTGAGTCGGGCCTTCACAACAATGGATGAGGTAAAAAGGGCAACCAAAAGGAAGCCGCATAGCGGCCGTTGGGCCTTATGTGTTGACGCTTTTATGTTTTCAGCTATAAGCCAACATGTTTGTTTTAATCTCTTCAAGCTTTTTTGTTTTCAACCATAAGCTAGCAAGTGGTTTTTAAACAGAGCAGGCAACCCTGGTAGTTCTCATTTTTTGAGCATTCTTGAGGCTTTCATTTTGAGGCTTCCAGTCTTCCCATGGTGTCAGGCTTCCTTTTTTTTAAACGAAGGGACAAGAGATGGCTCATTTTGGGGTAGGTGCACCACCCATTTTCAGACCTATTTTAGTGGTTGGATTGGGATGTTCACTGGTACGATTTGGCTTTTGACCCATGGCATGGTGCAGTCTTTCCATGTGTCAGGCTTCCGTGTTTTTTGTTTTTGTTTTCTTTCGAAGGGCCGAGAGATGGCGCAGGTGCAGAACAAGCACATGCAGGTGCGGATGGCGGAGAGTGCGCTGGGCTACCATGGCGAAGCTGTGGAAGTCAATGGTGTGGACCAGCAGCTCACGGGCTCAGACGAGGCGAAGTGGGTGGGACCCTACCGGATGGGTGCCAGGAAAAGACGACTTTCTAGGGCTACCTTCCATGTCATTCTTTCCATGGATCCGATTCTTTTCAGGAAACCATCAGAAACCCAGGGAAACAGCGATCGGTTGTTGAAAAGAACGATGGTTGACCAGAATGGACAAGGAATCAACCCCTAGATACTTGGGTATGGCTCAAAATCTTCAGCTGAGGTTGCACTGGTTTTCGTCGTTGGTTCCATTTACCAAGGTGCCATGTTGGTACCACTCTTTTGAGCCACTGCCATTTGGGGATGTCTTGTTTTGAGGCGTCCCCTCTTTTTGGTGGTTTTAAAGGGAAACCAAAAGGAAAGCTCTTGTTGTTTGCGGGGTGGGGGGGGGGGTTCCCTGAAAAAGACAGGCCTAGTTGGGTAGGTGTCACAAATCGGGGTACCCCCCAAAACTTTGTGTTTCCCTTTGAGTCCTTAAACGGGAACTCTCAAAAACACACCCATTTGTTGGTATGCCTATCATTTGACCAACCACTTCCAAGCCGTGTCCACAAGAGTCATGGAGCAGTTGCAAGTTAGTTTGTGGCCTGTGCCGCACCTTGTGTTGAAGCGTGTTAGAACCCCCGCCAGTTCTAGGGATGGCCCCAATCTAAACCTAATCCGGGTTGGCCTTGACCATCCCTGCTCCCTCTGTGTGTGTGTGTGTGAGTGTGTTTGTTCTTTGTCTTTGTTTTTCTCTTGGCGGGCGGGAGTGTGATATCTTCCATGGTAGGGTGGTTTTCAACAGACCTTTGGCACGTTTCAAACTCAACATGCTGGCGTCACGTTTGAACCGGTCTGCAAGATAAAGGGCGCCTGCGAGGTGTGGGAGTCAAGAAACGTGACCTTCCTTGTCAATGCGTCTTCTGTCATTTCACCGTGTTGCCTTTAATGAAAAGCACCCTCTCAAATGGTTGGTGGACATGTGAATTATGACCAAAGGGTCCAATTTCAAGAGTTCGATCCCTTGGATTTTCCTTCAAGCACTCCAACATGGGTTGCCTTGTTGACGAAGTCCTTGTCATCAAGAGCCCTCCTTCTGGTTGGGCGATTCAACACCTGATCCCTTGCACATGTCTGCGCGATTCTTTGAACCTGTTGGTTTCCTGTTGAGGGGACTAGGGCTTGGTAAGTCCAGTTTTGACCAACCCTGGCAACCAAATACCAAGACCACGGATAAATTCCGGCTCACTTGCCCAAAGCCGACCTTCTCGACCTTTCTTCTTCCCCTGCTTAGCCAAGTCTTCGTGGTCCCCAAACGGCAAAAAACGCCTTCTTCTCGTTTCGGGCAAACCGCGCGGGGCCGGAGAAAAACGGGGGAAACACACACACACACACACACACACAAATCGGAAAAACTGGGGGGGGGGGGAAACGGAAAAACCACGGGGGAAAACACCCACAAAAAGCGGAAAACAACGGAAAAAACAAACGGAGAAAAGAAAGGAAAAAACAACACCCACAAAGAAATCCCTTGGCAGGAGTACCTGGTGGCCCTCAACGGAGTCTACCTGCGCCAGCCCAAGGAAGAGGATGTGAACCACCGGCCCCACTACGTCCTGGAGCCTTGGCACGACACGACCGCAGCTCGCTCCACGTCTCCACGTCCACAGCCAACCACACCGGGATTTTCATTTTTGCGTGTTGCTTGGGTTGGACAAGCGCAACGGCTCCATTCTTGCTGAAGGCTTGGAAGTGGTGGGTCAAAGGACAGGGATACCAACACATGCGGGTGTGCTTTTGAGGATACTTTCTTTCGGATGGCTTTAACAGGGGTCCCTTCATTTTCTTTTGAAGGGGGACATCCACTCACCCCTGTTTATAGGCAAACCAACAGGGAACCGGCTTTCGATTTAATTTTGACACACCCATTTGAATGCCTGTTTGGCGATCAATGCCAGACACTCACAACAACATCACTCCATTTGTTTGGTTTACGCGGTATGCGATCAATCAAAAGGGAATACAAGCCAGAAAAGTGTTCATATGGCCATGGGTCAAAATCCCGTACCCTCAGTGAACATCCCAATCTCCACTAAAATAGACTAAAATGGGTGGTGCACCTACCCCAAAAAGGTACCATTGGTTTTGACCCACAGCCATATATGAACACCTTGCTTTGGGTTGGTTAGTGGAGCTGGCTTTTGCCATTGGCGTCCTGGGGGTGTCTTCTTTCGAGGGTACTTTTTTGTTGGCTTTGAAGGGAAACGAAAAGGACCCCCCCATCATTTTGGGGTCCCATAAAAGATAGGCCCATATGTTTTATGTTCGGGCAGACTCAACCATATAGTTATTGCAGAGTATAAGATCTCAAGATCTGGCTCCGACGGTCTTTCGACGTATCAGAGCTGAACTTCAGGGGATCGAGGCGCTAAGTTAAGTGGTCCAGTTGAGTTAAATGGCCATCAATGTCAACTATTGAGCGGGCGGATGACTTCCCTGAAATCATTGGCGGCATTGGAATAGTCAAGTGCCACTATTATAGTCCCTTGCAAATTCACACAAGCAGTGCACAGAACCCTTCCTGGCAATTTTAGAAGGTAGATTCCGCTGCCTTGCTGCAGTAATGTTACTAAAAGTCGACGGGTTTTGGCTGCCCCTTCTGGGCATGAGTAGGCTTTCCAATCTGCAGAGTTTCGTTAGATCTGTATTACATAAAGTATCAAGACTTCCTTGACTAGCACCTCACCAGCATAGGACGATTGAATTCGCAATAGTCAAAAACTCGCCATGTGAGCCACAATCGAAACCTGGATAGATGATCCGGTTAGTAAGGGGCAGTCCCAGCCAGAAATAGTTGCGACCGCCAGTAGCCCAAGTGTCGACCTCAGGAAAAGCCGCGGCGCCATCTGTTCTGGGACCAAGGCGCGCACGAGTCGCGAGTCGCGAGCGATCGGTCGGTCGGTCTTCCGCCTCGCCCGGAAGGAACGGGAGCCTCTGGAAATGGTGGCTGTTGGGGGGTTCTGTCATCAGGATATGGACCGCAGGTTTTAGTCCATATTAATGTTTCCTTTTACCAGGGCAACCCATTTTGGGTACCTTGTATTTTTTTTGACCACAGCCATCTGTCCACCTGGTTTGTGGCGAAGTGGGGATGGGCATCCCTGGTTGGTACCATGCAAGGTGCCAGCCGAAGGATCTTACTTGTGATGTTCAAAGGCGTCCTTTTTAGTTTAGTTTGGTTAAAAATAGAAGGCACTGGTTTAGATGGGCTTTATTCCATTTGCCAGGGGAACTCATGTATTTTTCCAAAAGGACACCTATGGTGATGTTGGCAAGCTTTTCCCTCAATCGAGGGTTTGGCCATTGCCCGTTGGTCTGATTGACAACATTCCAGTTGCACCTCGGCCTAGTTGCTTCTGCTCTTAAGGGGCTTTCATTTCGCTTTCAGCACGGAAAATCGGCGCCCAATTGATCCATAGGTCAAAACCTGGAGCCGGTTTTCTGGAAACATCTCTGGGTGCACAGGGAGTCCACTTTCTGCCGATTTCAGTGAAGTCATGGTCCACTTCCGCCACTGCCTCCAAGTTCCTCTGGGCAAGTGACATGCGAGCAATGCGGAGTTGGTGTTCATTAAATGGGACCCAAAGGGACACCCTGGCCATTTCGAGGTTCCCTTACTTTTGAGACCAACTTTTTCGTGGTAAGTAGCTGGGGCGCAGTGCCTTTCGAGAGATCAAGGGTCCAAAATGAGCATTTGATGCCTGGATGCTCAAGCCGAACAGCCAAAATAAACGTGTTGTGTTTGTTGTTGTTTTTGAATGGACCAGGTAGACCAGGTAAACACGAAGCAAGGGAGTACCAAGGGAATCTGGGTGCGTTTAGCCCCAAGTTGTGCCTCCCAGGCGAATCTAAGATGGTTCCCCTTCCTCCTCAAACCTGCCCCAGCGTTTTGCCTGGAATGTTACCCAACATACTCCAAACACCCTTTGTTTAAGGGTACGTACTCCATATGTACTGGTTTGAAGGGTCATTTTGTAAGCAGAATCTTGTTTTTCATGTCAACTGCCGTGCCATCCACCTCGTCTGAGAAATGGACTGCTGGTGCTTCGCGCACATCTGTCACTCCGACGAGGGCGTCTATGCCAAGTCCTGCCAGAAGACCATTCCAGGGCGGCTCGGATGGGCTGAAGTGGCTGAAGCAAGAGAAAATGGGCCCTGACGACTGAAGACTGGGAGAACCTTGTTTGTTTGGGAAAGTTCCCCCTAAATAGACTACCAAGAAAAGGGCTACGAACTTATTCTATCCTCCAGTACTAGAACCTGTGCTTCTTGACACCTTGCATGCTCATTGGACGAGTCGCCCGGCGACTTGAATCTCAACTACCTCGGCTCCAAAATTTTGAGGGCATGGGTTTCTTTGGCTTCACATGGAGTCAGGGGAGCTCCGAGCCTTTTGAAAGAGCAAATAGGACCAATCCCCAAGAGTAGAAACTTCAATGGCCTGGGGCGAACCCCCCGGGTTCTCCTTCATCAGGTACCATTTTTTAAGCTTTTGTTTCTAGGATTTCGGAGTGACCCTGTGTGCCCTCCCCTCCGTTTGCCACGCCCCCAAGGAGTTACCTCACCATGGGCAAGGATGAGCAGGCGCCGTCTGTGCGGAGAGGTTTGGAAAGCGGACGCAAGAGTTGGTTCCTCGGATTGCACTGATTGAGGCGGACTCAGACCCGTGGTTGAGAGGGCACCAGGTGCCGACGGCCAACACGAGAATCCGTGGTTGAAGCAAGGGTTGAAGCATAGGTTGTGAGGGACGTCAGCGACTTGCTCTCGAGTTTTTTTTTTTTTTTTTTTTTTTTTTTTTTTTTTTGAACAGTAGAAGGAGCCCAGAAAAGCTTTTTGCAGGAATCTCCGTATAGGGAGGAATCTCTTTTTGCGTGCTTCCTTCTACTCTGATGGCACAGGGACCCAAAACAGGCCCCACAAGGTCGCTAGGGAGATTTCTTTGGAAGAAATGATTGTGTGTTATTTGATACAGGTTTGTCCCAATATAGAGGACCCCCAAAATGGTTGTTTTCCGTTTTTCTTGTAGACCGCCATCCAGGAAGGGGCTAGATAAGTTACCAATTGATGATTTCTAGGGAAAGCTTTCGGGGTGGGTATGTGTCAAAATAAATCGTTTGTTTGCCTATTTGTGGCAAGCTTACACGGGGGTAAAACGGGCTCACCAAGATGAAGGTCTTTTACTTGGGGATCCCTTTTTATTTCAGATGCAGATAAAGATATAAGGAGCGGTCCACATCCATGAAGACTGCTCTGTCTGTTTTTGTTTTCCCCCCCCGTGATTGTTTTTGGTGGGAAGAAGGAACATAGTGCACAACCGGGACTCTTATTGTAAACAAAGGCATAACTTGGAACCGCAATGAGGGTTCAAAGAACATTACTGGTCGTCTATGGTCCTTTTTGCGCTGCCTCACATGGGCTTTGGATTTGGGTCTGTGTCAAAATAGGGAACCGCCAAAATCATGTTTTCCGTGTCAGTTTTCCTTCAAACCAACTGGAAACAAATACCCGTAATTCAAGAATTGGAACCCGGATGAAACCCGTCCCATACATAGGGGGGTGTTCCCTCTAACAGCGATGAACCCCCACTAAAAGGAATGGAGCACCCACCCACCCGAATGCATAAAAACAAAGGGTTTCAGATGCCCAGGGATCCCATCCACTGAGAATCTGGGGTTCCCCACCGCCAGGTGGTGCCGGCGCGTGTCACCTTCGTCACCGCCAAGGAGGAGGCCCAAGGGGCGGCCGCCGCCGCGGCCCGCGCTGAGCCGTTTGGCCCAGATCAAGGTGGGTCTCTATACCAGGGGTGTGGGATCTGTGATGCAAGTTGGAATTCCCCCCCTGAAAAACTGGAACGTCTTTGGGAAGCACAAAACCGATTGGGAGCAATACGTGGTTGTGACTCACAATTTAAGAGTCAGAGGACCCCAGGCTTTAGTCTACTTGTGCATTTGCCAGGGTTCCTTATTGGGCTCCTACCTATTCTTGAGCCACACCCACATCTTGCTGACCCTTTAGCGAATCCCACAAGAACTTCTCGCGGGTCCAGAAACGCCAAAGCAAATTGCTCAGGGCTCAAAGAAAGTCTTTGAGACATCGTCCTGTGGAAAAGCAGCGGACACTCTTTGCATGCTGTTTTGCCCATGTAAACACAGTCATACAAGTCCCTGGTGCTGGCCATCTCCACCCCCCCTCAAAGCCCGACGCATCAAAACCGCATGGGCAAGGACGAAAGCACAAGCGCAACACGTCGCCATGCCTTCCATGCAAAAATGTGCAATGCGGAGGTGCTCAATGGTTCAGGCATTTTCTAGACCGCAGCAACTACTTGTTTTTGTTTTAACGTTTTGGGTGCATAGCTCCCATGTTGTGTTTCGCAGGCAGTCAGCCCCAGGAGCCTCCCCACACCCGAGCCCGCGCGGAAACTGAGGCCGGAGGATGGGGACTTCCCACTGCTGCGCTGGGAGGACAGCAGACGCTTGGAATAAAAATCCTTCTTCGGGGTTGATGTGTGTGTGTGTGTGTGTGTGTGTGTGTGCGTGCGTGCGTGCGTGCGTGCGTGCGTGCGGCGGGCGGGCGGGCGGGCGGGCGGCGGGCGTGCGCCCGTGCGTGCGTGCGTGCGTGTGGGCGGGCGGGCAGGCGGGCGGTCGGGTGGGGCGGGCGGGGCGGGGGCGGCGGGCGCGCGCGTGCGGCGTGCGCGCGCGCGCGTGCGCGCGCGGGTGTGTCGGTGTGTCTGTGTGTCTGTGTGTCTGTGTGTCTGTGTGTCTGTGTGTCTGTGTGTCTGTGTGTCTGTGTGTCTGTGTGTCTGTGTGTCCGTGTGTCCGTGTGTCCGTGTGTCCGTGTGTCCGTGTGTCCGTGTGTCCGAGTGTCCGTGTGTCCGTGTGTCTGTGTGTCTGTGTGTCTGTGTGTCTGTGTGTGTGTGTGTGTTCTTGTCACACGTTGTGTTTCCTCGTAGAAGTGCTTTATTTGTTAACCTTTTTGGTTGCCAAGAAAAAGGAAAAAAACGCGCGCCACCTTTTGGCGTGTTTGGTGGGGGGGAGAAAAAGGAGAAGCCTGAATTGAGGCTCACGTTTTGGAGGTTCTAAAAGGGAGGCAACAGGGACACCAAGGCTTTGGCTGGTCCGCCGCTTTCATGTGGCGTGGAGCCATAGGCGGGTGCCATGACAAACGAATGGTATCTAAGTCCAGTAGTGCCCTTTCTCAGCCTTGCCTACAAAAATAGATTGCAGAAAAAAAGTCGGTACCCGCAAATTCTAAGCTCTCTACTGGAGGACCTAGGTATTAGGAATGACTTTTTGGGGCCATTGAGGACCGTTTGCTGTGGCTGAGCATTTTTTCTTGAGGCTCGGTACGCCTTTTGTGGCCTGCTGTCACACAGACCGAAAGGAATGCTAAGGCTTTCTTGGCTCGTGTAAAACCACCCAAATAAACCACAAGTTGCCCATGTTTATTTTATTTTTTTCTGACACGAGGCCACGATTGCATGCTCTTCTCCAACAAGAAGCATCAGGCGTGGCCGTGTGGACCCATCGCTTTGAGCGTCTCCAGCATCGGCCCCTGAATCCGATTTTTTTCCACCTGCCTTTCGGGCGACCTCGGTGTCGGGGATCTTCAATCCATTGGTTTTCAGTGTCGCCTAAATTCCGCCCGTGTGCGGAGAGGACTGCTGGCACCCTCCGCGGCCCTTCCCCCCCCCCCCCCTGGCCTCTTGTGGCTCTTGGACAGGCCTCACAGATAGAGCTCCAGATGCTTCAGAATTTTGGGTATTTCAATTCTGAAGTTCGATCCTGAGCATGTGCTTCGCCTTGCAAGGTGTCTTGCCTCGTCGTTGTCTTGCCTCGTCGTTCTCTGCCTCTGGCCAAAATTGAAACAGTGTTCTTCCTACTAGACTTGACAGTTTAGAGAGTCTCCCTGATCTGTTGGGGCCTACTTGGGTTGGTGCGCAGCCCTGGAGGATTCTATGATACGGATCTCTACAGGAACCATGACCATGGCAGACAGAAAGTGGTTGGAGGCATAAGGATTCCAAGGAGGTACCACCATGGCGGCGCAGGTCTGCTTCTTATCCTCCCAGCCCAGCAGGCCGGGCGGCCGGACAGGTCGAATCTCCCCCAATTGACGATCTGAGCGTGCGAGGCGTGTGGAGGTGGTGGGACTTTGGACTTTGGACTGTGGAGGTGGTGTGGGCCAGAATCCCTTCTGCTAGTTTTGGTTCGGCGCAAAAGCTGGGGTAGCAAAGGGGAGACCTCGCATTCACTTGAGGCCTGAGGCCTGTTGAAAACCTTCTCCCCCCCCCCCCCCGCGCGATTTCAAGTGGGAATTCTTGTTGCTGAGTGGCGGCCTTTGTCCTTCTTTGTCTGTGGCTCCCCCCTCCCCACAAAAACTGGTCAACCCCAAGAAGGGTGTGTTTGGCGATCCCCAAAATGGCGAACCCCAAGAGCTTCTCCATGGTCAAGAGAGTTGGATCACAGCAACTGGGATGGTAACCCAAACCGGCAGGCGGATCATCAGCCATCCAGGACTTTCGACTCTTGAGAGATATGCGTGTAGTTGCATCCTAGCGGTTTGCCGCCAGAAAGCCTCTTTGGCTCGAAACGAGTTTGAGACCCTCATGGTTTGAGAACCAAATGAAGAACCACTGTTGCATGCTCACATTTTCTTGGGCATGTCTCTCCTTGGCATTCCCTTCTACGCCCTTTTTTGGGCGTAGACGTTCGTCGACGTAAAAAAGGGCTAAGGGACAGGTTTTCCTTGCCGCCTTGCGGTTCAAGCATCGCCCTGTGAAAAACCTCGTTTGGGTTCCAAACGGGTTTGAGAAGGCCACGGGACGTATCGCATGTGAGCCACAATCAAAACCCGAGTACATGAAGGTTAGTAAGGGGCAGTCCCAGCCAGAAACAGTTGCGGCCGCCTTCTTAATTCTTTACATGGTTCTGGGTAGACCATTTTAATACCGGGTTTCGATTGTGACTCATGCGTGTAGCATCCTATCCCATTCGTTCGAACACCTAGATGCCAGGCTACGCATCTCCATGCACCCGGGCCTGCTCCAGCTGCTGGAGAAGAACAACGTGTCAGCCCTGCGGCGGCAAACTTGCGGATCCTTCGTCTCCATCAAGCTTAATGCTAACCGACGAATACTAGGTCCCCCAGTAGTGCCCTTTTACCGACTTGGTTGGGAGGGTTCCCCTACTAAAATAGACTGTACCCTTATTCTGTCCTCTCTACTGGAGGACCTCGAAAGGATATTAAATGTTCACACATATGTCAATATGTGTTTCTCCGTCCCTGCCCTTCATTCAGGGGAATGGATCAGCTTAGCAAATGTCCTCAAGCCTAACTCCTAATTACCATATTACATGGATAAGGTCAGCGGACATCTGGGAAGCCAATCAAGTTTAGTAGTGGATCAGTGTTGCCAGGTCTACACGGTAAACAATTGTGTACACATATATATTGGCCCCCCCCCCCAACCCAATGGTCATGGTAACGCCCCCCCTTTTTTGGGTGTGGTGCCCCCGCCCCCTTGTGGTTATGGTTCCCCCTTTTTTGTGGTTATGGTTCCCCCCTCCCCCTCTGTGGTGTGGGGTGTTGGTTTGGAGGGCAAGTCAGGCTTCGTTGAGGGTTGACTGCTGTTGGTTTGGGATGATTCAGTTTGGATTTAAGGATCCTTTGGGGTATCTCAAGCTTACCTTTGAGTTTCGGGCTTGTAGCTCAGGATTTTAGTACATTGCTTAGGGTTATTTAAACTGATTATTAGTTTTTCTTAGGATAGCCGGGGGTGATGTACAGTGGGTTTAGGGATCCTTTGGGGCTTTGCTGGGTTGAGCATGTAGTTTTTTTCTGAGTTAATTATCTTAGGCTTCATGTCAATTGAGCGATCAAGAATGCTCAAAGCAATTTAAGTAAGGGAGCGCTGAAATCAATCCGCGCGGAAGGTTTTCCGCAGACCGCGGAAGCTTGCGGAAGGGCCGGCGGACTTGACTACGAAATTTGCGCAGCGGAAGGGCGCGGAAGGGGAACATTTTTGGAGCGTCAAAAGCCAGGGTCACAAGATTTGACATTTTACATAAAGGAATCAAGGCCAAAGAATCAGTGCCCGGATTATGTCTTTCTCGCACTTGTTTAGACCTTATTCCGTCTCAACAACATAGACATCCAGTCTCTTGCCACGAGGCCGCGTTGGCATACTTTCCAGCACTACGTTGCCTAGTTGGAGGGCTTCAGGATTGCAACCCGCGTATTCGTGGCCAAGCACTATGGCTTACTCTCGCAATGACCTTCTTACTGGCAAGTCCCGCAATGCCCCCGAAAATGCAGCGCATCTCCTGGAATGTAGACATGGGTAGCTCTGTCTCGACACGCGCGCCAAGCATGCCTCCAACCTGGAGACTGCGTGGCCGCATCCGAACAATAGCGGCTGAGCAAAGCGCTGCAGGATCCAACCACCGAGGGCGCGCACGTTGATCATGGAAGGCATGCTAAACCACACGGCGAGACAGAGTCACAGCCAAGCAACATCTGTTTGCTTGTGACGAAAGCAGCCGTAGCATTGTTTTTTTTGTTTGCCCTCCAGGCACACGAGGCGCCAAAAAGAGGTTCGAAGACTTGGCCTCTTCCCCGGCGCAGCTGGCAAGATGGCGGGTTGTCAAGTTAGGTCCGCGCCATTTGTCATTCTCGCACTTTGAGCATGGCTTTGCAAAATGATCGGCGTATTGCAGGCTGTCGCCGCAATGGCCAGGTTTGGGCAAGCGGCGGTGGTAGGCTGGCAGCAGTGCCCGCGTTGGCTGCGCGAAGGGTCTCACCATAGGCGCGGATCGGTCTCGCCTGGCAAGGAAGAAACAAGGCAAAAAGCCACCGTACTGCGTCGCCTAGGTGCACATGCAAACTGCTGTCTGTGGGGTGGGAAAAGGCGTATGGATCTGGAGGAAGACCGCGCATTGAACACAACAGGCGGGCGCGTGTGTAAACGTGTGTCAGAAGTGGGGGTTGGGCGAGAGGGGGCGGGCGAGAGCAAAGCCACCTATACTCGCGCGGGCGCTCAGCCAACCCACGAGAAACTGGATCTTCTGCACCAAGTTTGACTTGAATCACTAACCTGTCTGTGCTCCCATACCCATCACAAGTAGAGGAATGCCCTTGTGCAAGTGAACCCGTAACTCAGCAGTGACCGCTGTCTTGTCTTCGACTTCGCTGGCCAAGCTTGCGCAGCCAAAGTCGTGGACTTTCCGTTTGCAAGCAGTGGCCTGCCACTTGTGTCCAGCTTGAGGCTGCTCACAAGGGAGGGTCCGGTCAAGTTGGTGGTGCCGTAGTGCGCAGATCTCTGACAGGCAGACGGAAAGCCTGGGTTAACCACGTGTGGGGGGGGAGGTTATCACAGCAACCTGCGATTTTTTTGGTCAAACGGGGGTCCCTTCTGGGGGACCCCCAAAAAACCAGTGTAGGGCCTACACTGGTTTTTTGGGGGTCCCCTGAAAGGGACCCCCACATGATTTCAGGTTGCAAAAGACGCGCAGATCAGCTGTAGGTCCCTTGGCAGGGGACCCCCAAAAAACCAGTGTAGGCCCTACACTGGTTTTTTGGGGGTCCCTTGCAAGAGACCCTCGATTGTCCGAAAAAAATCAAAGGAGCCGCCAGGTGGCCGCGCCTGCGCTGTGGCTGTTTCTCTTTGCGCCGGTTGTTTCTGAGAACCAGAGGTGCGTTGCCAATCGCAACAAAACGGAGTGTGGCGCGAGCGTCTCGCATTTTCTGCTGCAACTCCGCGACTCAAGCCACGGGGAGCGAAGGCGCTACACGCCTCCGATGTGGCCGCGCACCGGCGGACCAGGCAAAACTTTTCGTAATCGTGCAACACAGTTTGAATTGACTGGGGTTCACGCCCAAGCTGGTCTGCAAGTGAATGTATCTCCGGCTGCGCTGCCCTTTGCCTCACTTGTGACACAAAATCCTACAAGCAAACAAACCACACTCGCTGCGCTTGTACGACGTTAAAGCAAGCAGAGGGTCATGTCTGCAGAATGAGCCGGAAGCTCTAAAGCACTGACACTTGAGAAATGGCCTGCGCCGTTTCCGAAAACAACGAAGGAGAACCACAGGAAAACAGCGTCCAAACCACAACTTCCCTGAAAGCAAAGCGAGCTGCGTCGCAATTGCCACGGGACACCTACGGTCCCCCTATTCTGCCAGGTCCTGCTTGACATCACTTCACGGGAAACACTTGTTGCGAATGCTAAGGTGGAGGCAGGCGCCCGGCGCCCCGGGCGCCCGGCGCCCCGGGCACCCGGCGCCCCGGGCACCCGGCGCCCCAGGCGCCCGCCGCCCCGGGGCGCCCCCCGCCCGGGCGCCCGGCGCCCCAGAGCCGGCAGAACTCAAAAGATTTCTGCTCTGTTCAAATGGCTTTCAAACCCACGCTTGTGTTTGGGGCGCCAGGCAAAGGTCCACGTGACCTGACAAGCGTGCAAATGCAGGCACGACCCCCCGCTTTTGGGAGATTCTCGGGTGTCTCCAAGCGTAGTTCTGCATCTACGTGGAAGCCAAGACACAGCTTTGCGCTGTCAGCCAGAACAAGCCTCAACTCCCGCCGCCTCCTGACTTCGTCCTGGTGACAAACTCCAGAGCGACACAAACAACTCAATGTCTTTGCCTCTCGGCATTCCGGGACTGCCTCGTCGCACAAGCAGCAATTAATGCTGGCCCTTCCTGCGACTGATTGACGCTGAGCGGGTGGAGTTACTGACTTGTTTGAAGACGCAGGTGAGAGCAAATTCGTTTAAATCAGTGCAAGCAAGGCACGTCATGGAAATACGTTCTGCCAGATGAATCTGGGATGCGCGCGGCAAAAAAAAGGGATCTGGCCCGCCCTTGATGGTTGGCCTTGTTTAATGTCAAACCTTGTGACCCTGAAAGCGTGTAGAAATCTTTTGCTCCCCGGCCCTCTCAAGCGATTTGTTCGGGCCCAGCAATTGTTTTCGCTCCCGGGGCCATTTTTTTGTTCGGTCCCAACAAATCGTTTTTGCTCCCGGGGCTTAAAAACGATTTGTGCGGGCCCAACGAATCGTTTTTGCTCCGGGGCTTAAAAACGATTTGTTCGGGCCAAACAAATCGTTTTTGGAGCCCCAACAAATCGTTTTGGCTCCCGGGCCTAAAAACGGTTTGTTCGGGCCAAACCAATCGTTTTCCAACCCCGGGCCAGAAAACGATTTGTTCGGGCCCAACACATCGTTTTTTCTCCCGGGGCTTAAACGATTTGTTCGGGCCCAACAAAGCGTTTTTGCTCCCGGGGCTTAAAAACGATTTGTTCGGGCCAAAATGGGCCAAACAAATCGTTTGTGCTCCCGGGGCTTAAAAACGATTTGTTCGGGCCAAACAAATCGTTTTTGCTCCCGGGCTTACAAACGACTTGTTCGGGCTAAACAAATCGTTTTTGAACCCCGGGCCTTAAATGCGTGGAGATTGATGTTGGGCTGAATTCGCGGAAGACTGGAGGAAGGGCGCGGAAGGACCGCAGAAGGGTTCCGTGATTTGGATGACTTGCGTGCGATGTGTTGTTTTCGTTGGCCCTGTACGGGAATCGTAGCCGCGGACTTCCCGAAGAGCCTGCGAGAAAGCGCTGCTGTTCGAGGATGTCACGGTGTCTTGCCCTTATACCGGCCAGGCGCGTTTCGCGACTGGTGCGGGTGGCCGTTTCGCGACTGGTGCAGGTGGCGGGTGGCGGGCCTGACTAGGCAGTGGCGCTTCTCTGGGCCACACTTACTTGGGTCTCTGAGCCTGAGGGGCGCTTAGCCAGCTTGAACTCCAAGTAAAGGAGGCAATGACGTTTTTGGGGCTTTTGAGAAGCCGGGAAACACTTCCTCGCTCACTCGCTCACTCGCTCGCTCACTCGCTCACTCGCTCACTCGCTCGCTCGCTCGCTCCCTCACTCACTCACTCACTCACCCACCCACCCACTCACTCACTCACTCACTCACTCACTCACTCACTCTCACTCACTCACTCAGTGTCTACCCATGAGCAAAAAAAAGCCCCTAGGCTGCCCAAATCTTAGAGAGAGCGTTCTATTCTTCTGTGCGGTTTTCCGGACCTGGTTTCTCTTGGATTCTTTCTCTACTATGATTTCTTTTGGATGGGTTTGCCCTCAACTGTGTCTTTCTTTGTTTGAGGGTGCCTAAAAAAGGCCTTGGTTGTTATAGAGGTATCAAGGACACTAGGTCAAAGTGAAACCATCATGTTTCCCTTGTCTGGCTTCTTGGCGTCCTTTTCCCAGGTGGGTGAGTCCATGGACGCCGTCACGGCGGATCACACCAAGGTCTTAGGCGCGGGGTTTCTGTGCGCGTTAGGAGTTGAGTGTAAGGGTTTTGGTGCGAGTGCTGTTTCTGTCTGGCTTAAGGGAGGCCGAAAGGAAAGCAGGGCGACCAACCACTAGGTGGTTTTATTTGCAATAGTGTGGATGGTTGCAATATCTGTTTTTCGCACCTCCGTTCAGAAACTGCTGGTTTCTGACTCACTTCCCCCGTAACCAAAAAGCTATGGTGTAAACCATGGTTTCATTTCGTGGCGCGAGACGCTTTTCGCAACCATCCACTGTATGGGAGTCTGTCTCAAACCGTGACGGGCGAATCAGCTGCAGAGTCGTTAGTGTTGCCGAATATACCCGGAACCCCTTTTGTTGGTAGTAAGAGGGAAACCAAAAGGAAACCAAGCATTTTTGGGGACTGTGTGCGTGCGTGCGTGCGCGTGTGTGTGTGTGTGTGTGTGGGTGCGTGCGTGTGTGCGTGTGTGCGTGTGTGTCTGTGTGTGTGTGTGTGTGTGTGTGTGTGTGTGTGTGTGTGTGTGTGTGTGTGTGTGTGTGTGCGTGTGTGCGTGGGTGCGTGGGTGCGTGGGTGCGTGGGTGCGTGGGTGCGTGTGCGTGGGTGCGTGGGTGCGTGCGTGCGTGCGTGCGTGCGTGCGTGCGTGCGTGCGTGCGTGCGTGCGTGCGTGCGTGCGTGCGTGCGTGTGTGTGTGTGTGCGCGTGTTTTGAAGTCCATTTTGCAGGTCATGTCCCCCGTTTGCCATGGACACCTGTCGATTCTCTCCAGTCCCCAACGCCAGGTAAAAACAACGACACCCCAAGGAAGGAGCTCCAAAAGCAATGCCTAAGTCCTGAGTGCATCCCTTTGTGGCACCCCTTCGTAACATTTTTTCGCAGGCTGTCTGACCGGCGTGGACCGCACCGCGGCGGAAGCCTCTCAGCTGCTGGATGGGAAGTACTGCCTTACAGGTGGCGGGTTCGTTGTTTGGTGGCGATGGGCGACTTGGCAAGTGGCCAAAACCTACTAGATGCAGATGTTTCACAGGGTTCCTTAAAGGATGTATCCAAAAACCAGCTGGTTTACCGGGATGTTTCTAAATCATGTGGAAGCGATGTTTCTACTGGATCAAGTTACTTTAGCTTCGGATTCATCCGGACCGTACTAGTCAGAGTTGCTGGAAGCTGACAGGTCACATTTAGAGCATGATCTTCCAGGAACGGGTGCCTGGGCGAGACACTTCTGGAAATGTGAAGGTCGAAACAGTAGGGAATTAAACTTTTGCACAAATCCTGCACTTACAACGAGCCGAGGGGCTTTCCACGAGCCATGATGAAGGCCGCTTTCTTTGCGCGGAATTCTGAGACATGGGTGTGGCTCAAAATCTTCAAGCTGGGGTTACACAGGTTTCAGTCTTTGTTTCCATATACCAAGGTGCCATCTTGGAGATTCCTTTTTTTTCCAGCTACAGCCACGTGTTTCAACAAGTGTTTGGCCCAACCCAGGCATGCATAGCAGCGAATCCGTGGGCAGGTGATGCTGTGCTCAAGATGCTGGCCATCTTTGTGCGTATGCGATGCGGTCTGCCGGTGACGCTTTGCTAATTGAGATGACTCCAACCGGAAGAAAAGGAGCCATGTGGTTGATGCCAACTAAAGCTCACTCTCCTGAAATGAGTCTGGAACCCAAAGAGCGCTGGCTTTTCTAGAGGGCTCTCTTGTCGTATAGGACCCAAGCTCCCCAAACGTAATCCAAGAGGAATGCCCGTTTGTAGGGCTTCGTTTTGGGGTCTTTGCGTGGACTTCTGGGCAATCAAAACGGGGACCTAGCTCCCTCGTAGAAGCCCCGCGAAAACCCAACTCTTTCCTGCTTCCCCAAAACTTCAGAAGGCCAGGTTGGGGCTTGTAAGGGCCTAAAGGGAAACCAAAAGGACAACCACTTTTTTTTGGCGCACTCCCTATTTCGCCAGCTTGGATTAAGAGAGAAATCAGCAAAACAACTCAGCCACCCTCATGTTTACCCACTCCACAAGGCACAAATGAGCCACACTCAAAACTTGGGTAGATGAAGGTTAGTAAGGGGCAATCCCAACCATAAATAGCTTCGGCCGCCTCCTTAATTTGTTACACGTCCGCTGGGTGGACTATTTTAATACCGGGTTTTGATTGTGACTCAAATAGGGAAAGCCACCCATGCTTTTGAGCCCATTTTGACGAGTGAGGATTCTCATGGGCGAGTGCGGGTGCGGGAAGACGGAGCTGGTGCGCTACCTCTGTGCCTGGCTCAAGGTCCCGCTGGTGACGCTCAACGTCCACGGGGGCACCACCGAGGTGTCGGAGATGGGGTCTCTCCGAAACATGTCCTTCCATTTGCTGAACTGAATATGTGTCATTTTCTGTTTCTGGTTGTAAAGGGAATCTATGACTGTTGGACATATTCCTTCTTTGTCCAGGGTCTTGAGCAAACGGAAGTATCGGTTGGGTTTGCCGCAAAATTGGGGACACCCTGCAAAAAGCGGGGCATTCCCCTTTGACATCCCGAAAAAGAGGGCAAGCCCAAAACGGAGACATCCAATTGTGTGAGAATGTGTCAGAGACACCCATTTTGACCTTGCTGGTTCTCGGCGAAGGGAATGAACCATAGGGAGTCCCCAATACTTCCCAAAAGTTTCTCAAAAACACCGGCCAGTTGCAGGGAAAGGGCCATGACTGGACCATGTTGGACATATTCACAGTGAGGGCTCAGAGCGGCACCACAGAAGAACGGGGCATGTGGTTTGGCGTGCTTTCGCAACAGCAACGCCTCGCAGTTTGCAGAATCCCGTCAGCATCGAAACCATGGGCGTACTCCCCGCGAATGAACAAGCCCAAAAGACCGGACGACCTCTCTGTGAAGCCGCTTTGAAGTGCTCACTGGTTCTATATACGGCATGGTGAACAATATTGGTAGTCTATGCATAGCGCTTCAGCCGGAAAACCCTTCCAGTTGGTAGTGCCGTTTCGACCAATTTCGGGCGCCATGTTTGTCAATGCCTGATTTACAAGATTTGGGATTACTTGTTCAGCTAATTTTGGGACGGTGTGCGGCGACGGTTCGAATGTCAACGGTGGTCTTGTTTGTGGGCGCAGGACTGCATGTGATCAGCGGCCACAGCCTGTAGGTTTCTACGATAGCTACGAGGTTGTCAATCTCATTGCCGCAGAGCTGGCAGTGGGAAAGTGCTGCGGTTTTTATGTGGTGGCTCCTGCGCTGTTCAATCACGAAGGAGTGTTTTTTCGCGACGCGCCAATGTCAATTCCGTGGACGCGCTCTTTGAGGAGGCGGTGGATGTCTACATGGTGTTCTACCACATGCCGATGCGCCAAGTTGGTCTCTTTGCTCAACGAGACATTGAGCAGCAGCAGTGAGAAGTAGGTGCAGGTGCAAGAGGTGCCTGGAGGACTGGAGGCCAACATCGCTGCCAAGCAGAAGGGCTTCATGGCAAAGCTGAATTGCAAGCGCAAGCGACATCGTTCAGTCATTGACATGTTGCATTAACAGCAGGGGCCGTTGGTGGAGAGTGAGAAGAGGCGTCGGATCTCCTCAACGCCCACGAAGCGAAGTGCCAATGCTGGCCAACCTGGGGGCCAACCTGGGGCAATCGGACGAGTTGGCGCAGTGGTGATGTGATTCTGGTTGATGGAGGTGAATTTAGGCCGGTTTTCGCAAGTGCCGGCGTGATAAGTGCAGATGATTTCCACAGTGGAGTGTGCGATGGTGGCAACTACAACGTTGCCCAATTATGCGCGTGTTTCGCGGCACAACACCCCCGGTGCGTCTGTCAAATGGTCGATCGACTTCTTGCTGGGGAACGAGCTGCTAGTGTGCCTTTGGTGCATGTTGTTCTTTGTCTTTGTCGCTCTCTGGGCGGCACTGGTTGCCTCCGGGCCGGTCATGTGCTTATCTGCCGGTGTCACGCAATTCGCCCGGGCACCGGGCGCAGTCGACGCAAAGGGGAAGCCCAAAAAGGTAGTCTATGGTGTATTTGCGAGGGGTGTGTCTCAAACACTCACTCCCCGAGCTCACGGCTTTCATTTTTTTCGGAAGACCGATTCAGAAGCAAACAAGCAAGCAGTTGGGACATCTTTTGGCCAATCCACTCAAGAAGTGAGACATAGGGGAACCCTAAGAAAGGCGGTTTACTATGAGTTTCCTCCTGGTTCTTGGGGCATTGGGGCCGAGCCAGGCGGACATGGACCAGGCGCGGACACGTGGGGAAGTTAGAGCCAAGCGAGCCCAAGCGAGCCATGATTTCCTGCTCGATGGATTCTATCTGTTTTCAGTGGGGTTTTCGATGAAAGGAACCAGGCGGGACTTTAAAATCTGGGGATCACGTTTTTGCAGGTACGCCTGAGATATGCCTCATATGCTCCTTGCCTTCCGCCTATACAAGTCTGTATGGCTTCCACACCCAAAACAAACGGGACCCAGAGGTTAATGGGAACAGCGGCTCTTTTGCCATACTATGTTGGGGGTAGTGGTTTGTGGGTAGTGGGAACAGTTTTTCCGGTGAGTGCCATGTTAGTGGACAGGAGGGTAACTTTAATTGTTAGACCTGGGAAATAACTGCGCGCCCTTCAGTCAGTTTCCATGCTAGTGGGTGAGAGGGTACCCCTTTGTTTGTGCCATGTACACCACCCATTTAGCCCAGCAATCCGAAGAGCTCATTTTCGGAACCTTTGAGTTGTGCGCAGTGGGGTCGATATCGCGATTTCCCGCCGAATCAACATAACTTGCCATTTGATGTGATACCAAGGGAATCCAATTGAAAGTATTCGATCCTTATGCTCCTTTTTCTTCAAGGATTTTGTTAAACAGTAGGGAACCATGGGGACCACCCTTTAAAAGCCAAGAGCCAAGAGACAAAGTGTTGGTTACCTACAGTGGCAACTGGGATCCACCGGGAAGCGAACTGGCAATGACTTCAATTCCAACTTTCCGCCCGAAGCTTCGGAGCCCGACGCCGTATTCGCTTGGCTTCACTCCCGTTGGCCTTATTAAGACCATAGTGCCAACCCTTTGGCTCAAAGCGGGGCGTTGTTCCCTTTATTCCCCAGAACTCCTTTAAAAAAATGCATTTTGACCATGGCTTTTTCAACACCAAAATAAAGGGAAACCGCAATTTACAAGGCAATGCTCAGGTGTATAATGTAAGGATCCCTGTTCCCTGAGAGCCAAAAACGGTTTGCCCAATGACAGGAAGTGGCGTGAGTGGTGTTTGGGCGCAGGTCTTTCAGGAAGCCAGGGCCGTGGCGGAGACGGAGGAGGGCAGCGGTGGGCTGGTGGTGTTTCTGGACGAGGTGAATACCTCGCAGCACGTGAACATGCTCTGCGAGGCATGGGTTGGGGCTTTCAGGAGTTGGAACAAACTGTGGATGGGTACGTTTGAAGCTCATACTGTGGATGGACAGCATGCATTTCGCACCAGTTTGAAACCACGGGCAACCACTATTGGTTGGTATTTACAGGGGAATCGTCATTCCAGGGTTTCTTAGGTGGTGCAGGATTTCGTCCATCCACAGTATTGGTGTGGTTTCACTTGTTTCGCGGTCTTTGCTTTGGTGTGTTTTGGTGTTAGCATTGCGAGGGTTTACGCAGTGATTGCGACGTCGCGAGTGCTGGTGATGCGCACGATCCTCCTCCCGTGAGGCGGTCCTGGAACGATCCTACCGCCTCTTGACTGGCAGAGCCGATTTTTTTTCTCCTTGCAAAGCTGATTTGGGCGTGGCGTTTTGGAAGGCTGACCCGTTTTGGGGTTGCTTTGAAGGGACACCGAAAGGACATCAACCATGCCGGGGGCTGCATGATACAAACCCAGGAAGGGAAAAGCAAGCAGCATCATTTGAGCGCAGCAAGAGTCGTTTCACTCGAATGGGCTTAGAGTTTAACGGGGTGGAGGCGGCCGCTCCTGGCTTCTTTCATGGGTCGCGAGCGGAAGAGGTCCTTCGTTTTGCCTTAGGTGTTTTGTGTTTGTTCCCCCGCATCCAAAGAGATGGGACACTGCTTACTGGTCATTGCCAGGGTAGGTTCACTGTTGAGGCGAGCAAAAAGGATGGGGGGGGGGGTTCCTTTTGGCTTGCCTGATCAACCCCTGAAAATAGGTAATTCTCCATCCTTTTCCATGACTTACTGTGAACAACCATGGTTGAACCAATTGTTTGTTGGTGCAGGTGCAGCCGTGTTCCATGGCACAAGATAGGTTCCACTGCCCACGAGCCACCTCTGGGGGGAAACGGGGGTATTTTTGGGCCGTGGCTATATAGTGGCTGAAAATGGCAAGTGAAATAGCAGTCGAGTTGGGCGTCTCCATTTGGGTGTAAGTACTCTCCACAGAATCCGATTTGGATTTCCGTACCGCTCACGAAAGCCTACATCCCCATGCATTTTCCCGGAATGCGGGAGCAACTGAAGAACATATGGCTGTGGTTGTCAAAACCGTTTTGGGATCCCATTTTGGGCTAGGTGAACTCACCAGCCATTTTAGAACCTATTTTAGTGGTTGGATTGAATCGGATGTTCACTGGGGTTACGATTTGGCTTTTGACCCATGGCCATATATGGACCCATGGCCATGGAGCGGGGGCCCATGTTCTTCCCCCAGTTGACAGCGAGGATCCGTTGACCGACGTAGCTCGAGGACTTGTTTTGCCCTGGAGGGTCAGAATCCTGCACCAGTTTGGGATGGATGAAGCGTTCTACAAAAACAACCCTAAGAAAACCATTGGATCCCCACATAGGATAAACCGCCAATTCCAGGTGCGAAGCGTGGGATAAACCCACCAACCCACCGAGGATTAACCCACCACTAGGTGCGTGTCCGCGTGTTCCTCAGGCGGGCGCCCCTTGCCGGAGCATGTGACAGTGCTGGCGGCGCTGAACCCTAGGAGGAAGAGGCCACAGGCGCAGACCTCGAATGGTGGCACCTAGCACCGGGCTCAAAACCACCATAATTGGGTGTGCCGCTTGTTTAGGAGAGCCCCGTAAATGGCCAGATGGTGGTCCTTTTGCCCTTCCCTTAAAAACCAACCAACCAAGGTACCAACGCAGAAAAAAACAAACAAACCCAATACCAACCAACAAGGTACCAGCTGAAGAAAAGGACAGCCCCAATACCAACCACAAAGGTATCGACTCAAAAAGGAGCGACTTGTTGATGGTAAAACGCGGCCTTGAGGGAAACCGACTCGAACCCACCCGAGACAGTGATGACCACCGGCCTGGTCTACGGAGGCAGCGGCAGCGCTGAGGCCGCTGATTCGGTTGATGGGCAAGTAGATGGTGCTGATGCAATTTGACCGAGTTTTACGAGCCCATCGACCGAGGGTCAACCAGGGGATGAACACCCGGCATGTAGATGGTGCTGCAAACCCGGGTTTGTCCGAGTTCTATGAGCCAGTTTTGATCCATCTGGACTTAAATACTTTGAGTGTGACGAGGTCAACATTTGACACAGTTTGTTTTGATTTCGACACGTGTTCACACAGGTTTACCCGCTAAGAAAGCCGTGGACGGTGAGTCAAACTCTGCCAATGACAAGGCTTGGAGCCTTTGTATGGGGTATATGATGTATGGCCACATTGGGTCTTGACTGATCTGGCCTTAGGAGGAGATGTCCAACTTGGTGTACCGAGTGCATGCCGTCCCCGAGACGGTGAACGACTTCCTCTTCGACTTCGGAGCTTCTTGGAGAACCCGAACCAATCAGTTTCGAGGCCCATTTGCTTTCTTCACTGCTGTTTTGCTTTTTATTATTATTATTATTATTATTATTATTATTATTATTATTATTATTATTATTATTATTATCATTATTATTATTATTTTGATTAAGACGCATGTCTAGAGTGGACTGGGCGTTTTCCATTTCGCAACTGGGTGTCTTGCTAGCTGGTGCTTCTGTACTGGTTTGGTGCCTTGCCGCTGTGCAGTCCTTGACGCGATAGTAGTTGTAGCGTAACACGTGCCTTCCCATTGTAGCAGCTCTTGGATAACAGTATCCCCTACTGTCAGCTACTTGACAGGCCTCAATTCCACTACTGGAAGAAACAAATTTCAGAAATTGTGTGTTGGCGCCGTGCTGACCAGCAGGGGAAAGGACGCCTTGAAGGAATCTCACACACCAGTCAGAATGCGATCAATGTGTTTGTTCTGCCTGGCGGCCAACTTGGCTCAACCAGCCAACTCGGATCGGGCAAAGTGATTGGTTTTCCTGGCCAACTTGGCTCAACTAGCCAAATCCATGTCTCCCAAATGATGCGATTTCCAGAAATCACATGATGAAACCCAGGCAACTGCATTCAGCCAGCCAAGTTGCGCCTCAAAACCAATCACAACTCCTGACCCCCCAGCCCATGTGAAATTCACGACGGGTTTTCCAGGAAACCAGTCACAATTTTGCCCTGAAACTGAAACCCATCACACTTTTGAGGGCGCACACAGTGCAGCAAGTGTGATGGGTTTGCCCCAAAAGCCACAAATTGCGACGGGTTTTCTGGAAAACCAGTCACACTTTTGACGGGTTTTGACCTGAGATCTGGCGCAGCAAGCAGGCACTCAGCCGACCAGACTCCAGCTCATTCCAAGTCTCGGCACCATTCCCCCCTCGTGAGCCAGCCCTTTAGCTGGGCCACCGAGGGAACAGTCATGATTTGGGTCAGGATAATAGACCCTGATGCACAGCGAAAACTCGCACTTGGATGTGGGCAGCACGACAACTGCGCGCTCCTCTTCAACACATCTTGGCGTACGTTCGTGTGTCCTGCTTCGCTCCCGCCTTGAAGCTTCTTTGGCCTCCTCAGCCCAGCCTTGCAGCTGTAGGCCAGTGGCCGCGGGACCCCCTTGAAGCAATGACTGACATGCTTGACCGCTCCTTGAACTTTCTTCGCGGTCCTGCAACGTGAGGACCAACTCGGTTTGGGGCCAGTGCGCACAGGGGAGCAGGCACCCTTGACAAGATCAACATTCATGAACACATCGTGCTGTGTTAGGCTACAGTGCGGCTTGTAGGAGAGCTTCTCTTTTGCGAGTCTGGGCTCATGGCTGAAGTGGCTCTTTGCGCGAGTGGCTTGATTCGTGTGACACGGCCGTATGGTGCCGTGAAATGTTTCCTTGGCCTCCGGTCGGGCTGAATTCTACAAATTCGAAGTGTGACCCTTGAGCGTGACCACGAAGCCTTTCCCCAAGTTAAGCAATGTTAGAGGGCCGGACAGATTCTATTTCTAGGGGATCCCTATTTTTGGAGTGTTTTGGCTACGTACTTGTCCGTACGAGCAGGCTCCCTCCTTGCAAGGCCCAAACTCGTGCAAGAGCACAGCTAGTTGCAAGCGGTGTGCAATAGCGCGATCTAGTTTCAAAGCGATTGACTAAGCACTCTTGGGGTCCAGGGAATGTATGGGCGAAAGTGCTGCAGCGTGAGAGGAGGAACCGCGACTCACGCGGAAACAAGCGAACATTAGAGCAAAGCAAGGGCCTACCATACTGTCTGGAAATGTGTCCTACCGCAAGCTTGGTTGCCACTAGCATCGTGGGAGATTCCTTCAAGGCGTCCTTTCCCCTGCTGGTCAGCAAGGCGCCAACACACAATTTCTGAAATATGTTTCTTCCAGTAGTGGAATTGAGGCCTGTCAAGTAGCTGACAGTAGGGGATATTGTTATCCAAGAGCTGCTAGTGACAATGGGAAGGTACTATCGCGTCAAGGACTGCACAGCGGCAAGGCGCAAAACCAGTACACAAGCACCAACTAGCAAAACACCCAGTTCCGAAATGTTAAGTTTGTTCTTTGTCTGTTCATGTTTTGTAGGGGGTTGCACAAAACACAGTTTGTTGCTACCATACCAAGGGTTGGACAGTTTTGGAAACGTAACCGATTTTTAGCGGTTAGAGGGATTTGTGACATATCCCACTAAAAGTTTGACGTTGAGATTGACGCACCATGCCACTACGCGTGTACGGGGCGTTTCCACGTCTTCTTCTGATTCCGTCACATGAACCGAAGAGATTTGTCATTTCGGGGCCTGGAAATTTGTTCGACCTTGTGAACCAAGCTGTAAAAGAGGAACTCGCGGGGCGGGGTCGCATCTCCTAAGGGTTGATTGTTCATTCTCTCCACTTATTGATCTCTTCAGAAACCGCTCGTTTTCCGTTTTTGCCTTTTCTTGAAGAGAAGGATCCCTAAACATGGACTCGTTTTCCGTTTTTGCCTTTTCTGGAAGAGAAGGAGCTTTTTTAAACATGGACGAGGAGTGGAGATGGGTAATCTTGTACTCTGCCTTCTAACCGAGGAAGTGAGCACCCCTCTGAACAGGAAGGTGCTCTGCCCAACGGGTCCTATCCCTCGCTTGCAGTAAATAAAGCGCTGAGGCTTTGACAAAGAAAGCCGAGGAGATGTATGTGCGCTCCATGGCAGCTTGGACTTGCATGGGTTGGCCAGGGTTTGATTCCTCATAATTCCCCCCAACAATAACTTACCTTGACTTACCGTGACTTCCCGTGATTTTGTGTGATTTACAGTGAGTTACCGTATGTTACCGTGCCTTACCGTGGTCTGCCCTGACTTACCGCGATGTGCAGTGACTTTCACCGCTTTCAAAGGTGCCCTTAAACAGACACGGGCGAGTGTTGTTTGAGGCTACTGTTTTTTTGGATGGTTTCAAAAGCAAACCTTTCGGACACCCCAACTGTGTGTTGAGGCGACCCTTTTTGGGACGGTTTCAAAAGGAAGCCGTTCGGAAGCCACATCACTTTGGGTGGGTGGACACCTTTTGGAGACCCCATTTCATTTTTTGTTTTCAGGCAAAGTCTCTGCGTTTTTTTTTAATGACCCACAGCCTTTTGGAGACACATTTTTTTCGGCAAAGTTTCTCCGATTTTTTTTGGCACCCACAGAGGTGCACAACTGCTGGCCGGAGTCCTTCGACCGGGAGCAGTCGCTCATCACCAGCATCCTCTGCCTCTCGCAGGCCCCGCCCTCGAAGACCTGGGAATCCCAAAATGGCTGCTTAGTAAATGGGTGTGGCAACCAAAACATCAGGGGGAAAGAGCCAGGAATCTACATGGGTGTGGCAACCAAAATTAACCAGGAGGGGCCAACCGCAGGTTTTGGTCCATGTTTCCACTTACCAGGGTTCCATTTTGGTACTAAAATTCGCCAAAGCTATGCAAAATTGACTGGGTTGGGCCAAACACTGGTTGAAAACCACGTGGGCTGCTGTGGCTGTGACTGGGCTCTCTTCTTTCTTTCTTTTTTTCTGGGTTGGCCACGTGCTTAGCGGTTGACCAGCATAAATTCGCGCATCATCTATTATAGAGCATGACTGGGTTGGGCCAAAGACTGGTTGAAACACAATTGGCTGTGGCTGGAAAAATATGGAATCAATCCCCAAAATGGCACCTTAGTAAATGGAAAGCCAAAGACTGACACCTGCGTAACCCTAGCTTTTTGAAGATTTTGAGCCACACCCAGGGTGGAACCTTGATCTGGATCCATGAAGACATCCAAAATGACACTCTTTCTGGCGAAAAGGGCCACTTTTTTTTTCAAGGAGCCTAGCCACTGCAGACATTTCCCTCAGACAAACCAATGAGCGGGGAATCGATCAGCTCCATGGTATCGGGACATGGGTCAGAGAAAGGCCAATGAGCGGGGAATCGAGGGAATCGGCTCCATGGTATCCCCTCCTCCGTCTCCCCAGTTGGATTGTCCAAGTACCAGATGAAGGTCCTTGTTAGCCAGGGGAAATTCGAGGTTCCTGTTTGGCTACAGGTGCTAAGTATGGGGTCGACCTGACGGTTGCCATCAAGCCTAGGTTTCAGGTTGAGCCATCAGACCCCAGGTCCAGACATTCAGCCGCTTGTTCCAGCCAGCACCTTTGGCCTTAGCCAGGAACCTCGGTGTAGTCACCGGGCTAAATACAGGAGCGCTACAAAAGTGAAGGTCCTCCCTGCCCCCCTTTCAGAATCAACCAGGGTTCAACCCTTCTAAGAAGCCATGACCGGAGTTTCTGTAGGGAGCTTGTATATTTTTTCCTCTAGCTGGTCTCTGTGAATCCTGTGTCGCCAAGCTGCCGATGTCAGGACTTCATCCGATGGCAGGAAGGAGATCCCTCTGCAGTGTCCCTGCGCGATGTGCCCGGTGCTTAGTGCTTGAGAATCACGGAAAATGCGGCGCGGATTTCCCGTAGCATGGGCAACTATATGGAAGTTGATCAACCAGTTCTTTTTACATGGGATGACCATCAGGGAAACCACAAGAAAGATGACTTTCAGCACCAAATGGAACAAGTTTCCAATGGAATACTGTTCAACCCCCACCTGCGTGTCGTTTTTAGAGGACCCCCCCCACAAAATGGCTGGTTTTCCCTTTGGTTTCCCTTCCAGGCCAACAAAAAGGGGTGCCCTCAAAAATCAGCCGTTGCTCCGAGCCTTTCAATTCCGTGCCAGGCATTTCGGAGAAAGCCTGGAATCACTAAACTGACCCAGCAATCATAAACTCATGAAGGACATGTAGTTTACCCGCACCACATGTCATGCAAAGTTGCAAAATTTGCAAGCTGCCCCTCTTGCAACATTACTTAATCGACTGCAACTCGAATCACATGTGGTTTGATTCGGACTCAATCGTTCGTGCCTTACAGTTGAATGCGTATGCGTTCATGCTCATATATCACAACTTGACAGCTTATTTAAGAGACATTCCCATTGCTTTTAACGTCCCGTTACGGGGCCCGCAACGCGTGACGGGAACCCAGACGTATGGGCTAGCCTTTCCGCTGAAGCCTATGGGCCATAGATGGGTTATACCAAGAGCAAACACATTGTGACCCCCCTCCCCAAAAACGGGTTGTTCATTTCATAGACCATGGATAAATACAACCACAACCGGGACAGGTACTTGGGCACGTAGCCTTCGCTCGCGGTGAAAGGGGCGGAAGCAAAAGCTCCGAGGAAGCGGTGCCTTCGTGTGGCCAAGTGGATGCAGGCCGGGTGTCCTATCCACCAAAACCCGACCTGGTTTTTTCAGCACGCGCCAGAGGTAACGAAAGGTGAATCGTTTGGATGTCGGAGTTTTGGCGTGTGCTTTTTGCTGGAGATCCTTGACTGTCGAGGGTCGAATCAGCTTTCAAGGCCGTGCCAGCTTTCTTCTGTTTTAAGTCATTAATTATTCCGGTCGCATCTTTCATATGAATTTGACGTTTTGTGCTCGGGTTTTTGCATTGTTTCTGCTTCCGGCTTCGGCGTTTCCGAATCCGTTGGCATGTCCGTTGGCATTTCAATAATTCGCCCAACACGCGGCAAGGAGCGCTTCGCCCCGAAGAAGGGCAATCATCAGCCGCACGCGCCCTCGGTGGTGCCCTGGCGGTTACGGTGGAGACAGCTCGATTCAAAGCTTGGCGAGCCGTACAGTTCCTTGGGCTTTATATATATATATATATATGGTCCCGTCCTCCGCCAACGTTTCAAGCCACAGGGGCCCACAAGGGGGGGGGGATGGGGGGGGGGTGAGTGGCTGAACCATATATATATATATACACATATTATTGTTTTTAAAAGAAACAACAACATATATACCCTATCAGACTTTTAGTTGTTTAGAGGGATCTATTTCATATCCCTATATGAGCTTCACTTTTGGCAAGGGAGCGACGAACCACTAAGAAAAGGCAATCAAATGATAGACCTTTGAAGTTTCCTTTTGCAACCAACCAAAAGGAAAGCCAACGACTCGCGTAATCAGCATTTGAACTAGTCTGTTTCTGGTGATGTCGAGGGGAACCCTGGTTCAGTTTACATTTGCTCATGCTGCCTTTAGCGGAGGAATTGGTCCAGTTCGGCGCACAATCAACCATTTTTGGGTATCTACGTCCACGGTGGGTAATCAAACCGTGCTTCGATTTTGGATGCGCCTTTTGCGGCTTCCACCTGTTCGCCTGCAGGCCCCAACAAGTCTCTTGTGGTCTCCTGAATGTCAGGGGCCCCTGTGTTATCCAGGGGTGGATCTGCAAAAGATGCATCCAAGCGGTTTCGGGAAGTGCCAACACCTCTGGTGGCGATTTCAGTAGGTGATTCCACTACCTGGTTGAATGGCTATAGTAGGGCGATACAAACCCTCGCAACCACCTTGCCCGCCTGGTCTTTGGTGTGACTTTGGACCCTTCCTTTTTGGAAACCAATAGCTCTTCCATTGGATCTACAACCCAGTTATGGCAGTGCTATGACCCGAAAGTCGCCAATCGTCAGGCTGCAGTGGGCGTGGCTCAAAATCTTCAACAGCCAGGAGTACACATGCAGATTTGAGTCTTTGTCTCCATAAACCAAGGTGCCATGTTGAGCGACATTGCTTCGACAACCCAATGTTGTTTTTCTCCTAACGCAGGTTTTAGTCTTTGTCTCCACAAACCACCGTGCCATTGACATTTTTGAGCCACAACCCAATCTTTGGTGCATGTTGCTTGGATGTTAGGACTTTAACTTTTTGCCAACAAATGGGTTTTCCATTAAACGACTCAAAGTTGAAGTTTTAGCAGGGGAGCAGAAAGCAATAGAGCAATGGCTCCCCTTCTGTGGCGCCGAAAAACCGTGAAATCGGCGGAACCAGTCCATGCAAAACAAGACCGCTGAATGGTTTGTGCTGAGAGGTTGTGGCGATCGCCTTGGTGTACCACTACCGAATTCCCTCCCGCGAGAGGCCGCACGCTGAAAAATGCGTGGGGAAGAGGTCCTGGGTCCTAGGGGAATCATAGCCAGAGCTCCCGCTCAAAGAGTCCCAAATTATCTCTCGAACAGCATTTTCTGAAATAGTTGGCCCCTGGAAGAGGTCTGGGTGACTTATAAGACCTCACACGACCTCTCCCCAAATGGTGGGTTTATGTGGGGAATAGCCCAACCAACGAAAGTTTCAGGTTGGTGAAATATCATAATTCACCTAGATAGGTCGGAAAAGTTGTTTCGCCCAGAACCAACAGAGGTCTCGGGTCTGTCTAGGTCCCCCCAGTAGTGCCCTTTTACCAACTTTTTTGGTGGACAAAAATAGACTAAAACAAAAAAGGTACCCTTATTCCAACCTCTCTACTGGAGGACCTAGTTGTGGAAGCTCGGATTCTCGGGCGAGTTTGTGCGAAATCCTCCTTCTGGTGATAGATGCACAGGGATGGCCCTAATCATAGAAAGGCACAAAAAGTGGGTTTTTGCCTTGTCTGTTTTGTGAGGTTCTCTTGGAAATCAATACCAAAAAGGGTGCTAACATGTGTTGCCTTTGCTTTAGGTAGGAGACCCATTTGCTTTTTCGTGTTTTTTTGGGGGGCTTTCCATTAGATGTTTGCCAAGTGACGGGTGCCGTTGGTCTCAACAACCCCTGCTGGTGCCGTTTTCCGACTTCAGAGGGTGTAAGCGACATTCAAACTCGCTGCTCGACCCCCTCCCAACCCGCAAATCCTTTTTGTTCGTTTGGTTGCCCATGAAAACTAGTCAACCCCAAGTAGGGTTTCCATTGTCTATGGTCAACGGGCCAACTGGCCATTTCTGAAGCGGTCCACCTGTGGGTATAAATCTTAATCTGAAGACCTTTTGGATGGGGATTATGTCCACCACCTACATTTTTGTGGTTCCCTCTTTAAAAGACATCGCCATCTCCAAGTGCGTATTTTTTACGCCTGCCTCTTGTCTTTTCTTCCGCCCACTCCCTTTTGCAGTGTACGTGGTTCCTCTCGACCTTTTCTGCTTGCACTGACCATCCTTCTACGTTCACTCTGGTGCAGCTTTGGTAGCCTTTGGTCATCTTTCCATCTGCTTTCCACCCAAACCACAGCCAGACGGAAATCGAGGAGGGTTATGTGACCTTACTGAGTGGTTGGTGTACATTTCAACATTCACTAAGTATTGACCAGTCTCAAGGTCCGTTTTTGATTTGGGTGGGGGAAGGGCACAAGCTAAGGTGGTTTGGGGGAAAAGATCCACCAGGGTTTCGGTGCAAGAGTTGGTTTTAATCTGGCTTTCAACTACACCCCAGTCGTATTCTTGAGCCCGTCAACAGGGTTCGTCCCCCGCCAATAGGGTTGTTACCCTTGGTTGGCAGAGGCGCTTTTTTGTGCACCCAATAAACTGACGGGTGCCGATTTGGAGTAGCGGACACCATCTTAACCGTCTTGTCAGGAAATGCAGGAAATTGCCCAGGGGCATGGGCCAACTTCCAGTAGAATTTGCTGGTCTCCCAGATTTTGTTGCCAAGTTGGAAGCCTGTCGAACCTTGCGTGGCCTTCCCTATGTCTTTTCCTTGGACAAGCGTATGGGCCCCTGGAAGTGTAAAGAATTACTCTCATTGTTCTCCTATCATGTTTGGTTTTACAGTACCCCAACGGCCCTTATGGAAATTAAAACCAAATAATTGATGCATTGGGGAGGGTGGGGGGGTTAGATTATTCCAATCACCGTTCCTTCCACTAGCATGGCACCTGCCTAGGGGTCCCTCCAAGAGGATATTTATTTTCCATCTACCGTCCCACAGTTGCTACCACCTAAGAAACCCTGGAATGATGATTCCCCTGTAAGTAACAAAAACTGGTTTCAACCATGGTTTCATTTCGTGTTGCGAACGGATTTCGCAACCATCCACAGCTATGTTAGGAGGGAGGGTCATGCAGGTCCTAATCATAGGTGTTCTTTTCAGGTTAGTTTGATTAACCATAGATCGGTTCCACTGGTTTAGATGGGTTGTATTCATTCGCAAAACACGTCAATTTTACCAAAAGGACACCTACTATGGATGGGCGAAATCCAGTTCGCGTCACCGTTCAGAAATTCTTGGCGTTTTGATTCACAGGGGAAGTACCGTAATATATCTTCGGTTTCATTCCCATAGAAACTCATTTCGTGGAGCGAGCGGATGATTCGCAACCATCCACAGAGTAATTAAAACCACCAAAAGGGTTCGATATGTTCTTTAGATTTTAAGCATTTTTCGTAACAGCTACTTGAGAACTGAAGGAATGTCCTTGTCAGCATTTCTTATATACATCCCTCAATCCGCTTACCTCAACCAACAGCTGGGAACATCCTTACCAGCATTTTTAACGGAAAATGGATCAACCCCCATATGCTAAGACAATCCCCTTAAGGGATCCACTTACTTGAACTAACAGCTGCGAACATCCTTACCATCCACAGCTCGGGGAGCCACTTGCGGCGCTCGTGCCGTCGCGCTGAGTCGCCACAAGCTCTGGGTGGACTTAGCGCGGCGCGGCCCTTGGCCCTCTGACAGTGGAGTGATGAAGGGCCGGGGCTGGGCGCAGCTGGCCAAGAGCAAGGAGGACCCACAAACCCAAAACCGAAGTCGTCGGTTTGGTTTTTGGAGTTGTCTTGTTTTTTCTTCGGTTGATCTTTGTGGTTGGTTGGGTTTTCGGGTTTGGAGTTGGGGTTTTGGCTTCTTGTGTTTTTGTTTGGTCGGTTTCTTGGTTTGTTGTTGTTTTTGGTCTGTCTGTCGCTTGTTTTGGTTTCGGCAATCCGTCAACCCGCAGCCATGATCGCTCAAACCGCAATGAGCCCAAGTCGCCGACTCTGACGCAGAGGCCAGGGTCAGAAGCGTCCGGGTAAACAGAACCAACTAAAAGGGTACCTAGGTCCCCCAGTGCCCGTTCTTACTAACTTTTTTGGGGGAGGGTTCCCCTACTAAAATAGACTGCAGCAAAAAAATCGGGCACCAACTTGTTCTAACCTCTCTACTGGAGGACCTAGGGGATCTCTACTGGAAGACCTTGGGAAAGGGAAAGGGTACTTTTTGCTTGGTGGCTCCCAGCCATCCGGTCCCTTAGCTTTTTAGATCCTTTTAGCGTTTAGTGGTAGTTTTCATTTAACCCACTAAAAGTTAAACTTGATCTGAGGGCAACCCAGTTTACGATGATTCCGATGTGGTGTTAAGGCTTTAGCTTCTTTGGGCGGATTTTGTCTGAGAAAGCACCAACCCCGCAGAGGGGGAGATGTTTTCCCCCGTTGTTGCCTTGGCGATACCCGAAAATCAACCAAGCAACGGGTTGTTGTTTGCTTCTCGCTTTTTGTCTTGTTATGACAAGACATATACTTGCACACTGCATATAGCCATAGCCATTGTTGCAGAGTAAGAAGGGACTTTCCCATGGCTTTCTTGCTTTGAGTTGTCAAGGGCTAAACCATGTCACCATACTGGTCCTTTTTGGTTGGTTTGCTTAGAAATTAGAGGACCCTGGTTTAGATGGAGTTTATTCCATTCACCAGGGCCATCCATTTTTCCCAAAGGCCACCTATGCATGTCACAGATTCTCCTTTCATCTCAGGGCCGATGGATGTGACCACACTGCTGGGCGTGGCGACGCTGGTGGCTCTTCTCGCCTTCTGCTGCCTCGGTGCATTCTGCTTGGATGTTAGGACTTTACCTTTTTGCCAACTAATGGGTTTTCCGTATTAAACCGCTAAAAGTTAGTCACTGTTAGCAGGGCTTCGCTGAGTTTGCAACCAAGGTTTTTTTTTTCTGCAGGTCTTGCGCACCCGGCACGGCGGCTGGCAGCTGGACTTGGTAGAGACGGAGCTAGAGGCGCGCGCTTGCCACGCCGAACAACGTGGCTTGCTTGCTTGCTTGCTTGCTTGAAACCAACTGGGGACTTGGGGAATCCCATCCGTTTCTCGAAAGGACGACTCTGTGTGCTCTATTCAGCTTGGACGAGGGAAAGAACCAGGACAAGTTTTGCCTGGTTTCCCCCTGCTTTCACACCTCCATTGGCCGTTTTAATTGCCCAATGTAAGTCATTATCACGTCAAGGGGATTTGGGCGCTGTTATCACGTCAAGGCGATTTGGGCGCTGCTCAAATGGATGCGTCTTTTTGGTTGTCAGCTGGGTTTTGAAAACACGAGTTCCTGGACACAACCTACTCTTTGGGAGGTGGCAAACAAGCACATAGGACGCTTTCTGCCCGGTGCAACCAGGAATGAGTGAAGGAATTCGCAATGGGATGGAGATGTGTTCACTTTCCACGCTCTTTATTTCAAGCAGGCAACGCCGTAACGCCATCCTCCAGAACTGAGCCCCTGAAAGTGTTTGCATTTGAGTCGGGCTCTTCAAGCGTCTTTTGGGTTCCCTTTAAACCACCCAAGGGTCACAGCAAGGCTGTCACTTTAGCTCACCCGCCAAAAAAAGGGGACCCCCCCCCACCAAAATGGGAGGTTTCCCGTTGGCTTCCCTAACAACTCCAAAAGGGGATCTGGAAAAAAGACACAAAGGCTCTCTTAATCAACCTATCTGCCAAAAGACAAACATGGAGCCTGCAAGGGGGGTCCTATTAGAGAACATAGTCTTCCAGGGTCCCCTTCAGGTTTCCCCCGAAGGATGGTTTTATTTCTCAAACTTGTAGTCACGGTTCACATCGCGTCACAGACATTTGTGTCACATCGACCCAGCTTTGATGTACAAAAAAGGTCTGAAACAGGGCCCTTGAATATGGACGAACCCTTCGTCCATTTGGTGCTTACAAAAAAGGCAAGAGAGTATGTCTTTGTAAGACTGCCTCTTTGGACAGATGTACCAATCCGCCTGAGAATGGTAGGTTTCCTCTTAGCGGTCTGCCAAACTTGTCCCCCACAAGTTAACCACTCTTGGACTTCCAATACCTGTGTAAGACCAAGCGCCTTCCTTTTGCAAGGGGACGCCCAATTTTTCTTAGGGGGCTCGTTTGAAGGTGGTCATACCCCCCGCAATCCCTGAATACAGTGCCTTCTATTTTGAAGATTTAGCCAAGCGTGATGTCATACTCAAAAGAGAAGTGTATTTCGAGTGGGGCTTACCTTACTGGAAAAGGACATGGCTTCTCACCTCAAAAGATTGGCTAGTCTGTGGCTTGACCGAAACAACGTGAGCCACTTGCAGCAAGGGTTGTTCGACCCCCGCCAAGGTTTTCTAGATTCCTCTCCACCCCAAGCTTACCAACCCGCGACCAAAAGGAGTTGCCTGGTGCCCTCATTGGACGTTTCTAGCCAGGGGGAGGTCTGCGCTATTTGTTTGGAGCCTATGCGGTCGGGCGCGCCGCTGTGCTGCGGCCACGCCTTCCACCTCGCTTGCATCCGCGAATGCTGGGCCAACAGGCTCGAATGCACCTGCCCCCTGTGCCGCCAGAAGCACGTCGTGCCGCGTGGGAAGCATGGCGCACAGGCCATAGGTGTCTTGAGGTGAACCAGATCGAACATAGAGACGAAGTGCCATCTAAGAATCGCCAAAGCCAGGCCCTAGGGTTTAAACCATGATCAACACAAGCATCTCGGGAAGTGGTTTCATCTCACTTGAGTCCTTGCCATTCTGATTAAAGCCTAGGGGCCAGGGCGTGTGCTTGAACGAGGACTTAGAGGGTCCTGCGGCTCAGCAGGGAATGAGTAGCGGAATGACACCCATAAACCATCGCTGTGGTTTCCTGCAAGGACATCCCCAAACGGTTCATTCCCCACACTTTGGGTAGTTCCCTACTGAGCAGCAAGTCAATGACCGGCAAAGAGCCGCGCGTGCACAGTGTTCGCTTTCCGTGTCGCTTTCATGTTCTATGCGCCAAAGATGCCACAACGAAGCGCTTTGGCTACCTCTGGCTTCTGCGCGATGTTTTATGGTTTGGGAGCTTCTCAAAAAGTTTGGACTCTGGAAGCGCTTTTGGTTTACACCAAATTTCAAACCACATGGCTGTGGGTCAAAACCAATGGTACCATCTTGGGGGGTAGGTGCACCACCCATGCTAGTCTATTCTAGTTGGGATTAGGATGTTCACTGGGGGTACGATTTGGGTTTTGACCCATGGCCACACAATCCCCCATTTGAATCAGATCGGCTCCCCGCGGTATGGCTGACAAAGGCTGTGCTTGGGGGTAGTTTAATATGTACAGCGCCGCATGGGCTCAGACACTCTACCGCCAAAGCGGCTTGCGCATGCCTGTGATTAGCCAGTTTATCAAAACTGGACCTGGTGCGAGGCCCCATGGTTGCGACCCCTGATGTTTGGTTTCAGGTTGATTTCCAACGGGCCTTGCCTGCGCCAATCTCGGAAAAACGCTCCGGAGTCGGCGTCGCTTCTGCGCAGACGCAAGACATAAATCAAGGAATGGCTTCCGAGATATATACACTCCCGCAGGCTAACATGGAAGCTGACAGGAGGGGGTTGGAAGACTACTTTCCTTTTGGGGAACCCCTCTGTCCACTTCCATGTTTGTTGGTGGGAGGGTATGTATATATATATATACACATGTGTGTAGATATATAATATTTACATACATGCTGTTTGACATGTACATACGAGCGTGCAGCAAAATGGCGGCCCCCCGCTTCCGGTTGCAATTTATACACTTCAAACCGAAGAAGAAGAAAATTGGAGAGCCGCTCGGTGTTGCGCCTTGATAAGTATCCTTGATCGTCCCGGGAGCCTAAGGCCCGCCACATCAGATATTTATGCACCTATCAATGATGGACAACGATCATGACAATGATAACAGTAGCACCAACACTTGATAGGGTAGTTAAGGTAACAATTTCATAGAACTGCCACACAACTAAGGTATGTGTCATTTGAAACGTGGTCACTGACTCCTTTGAAACTAGCCATTGACATTCATCACAATAGCCATCCCAGGAAAGCAATTCTTCATTTTTAGCTTGGGCTGCGGTGATTTTCCAGGGATAGACCAGGACTGGGCACTCCGTTCTCAACAAGCCAAGTAAAGCAGTCGCATGACATCCATTCCTTGAGATTGTTATTTGTTCCTGGCAGCTTTCAGACTGGTTTCGGCCAGGGTTCTGAGTCGCTTTCGTGCATGTATCCCCAGATTTGGGTTGCTTGCTTGCATGTTCAGCCTACTTAGTACCGTCATGTGCAACATGGTGACAACAACCACTTAGCAAACGGGTTGAATCCGATCTCTGAAATTGACCGAACCTGCATGCCACTTGCGCGAGGAGAACGGCCTCACCGTACCTCGGATTGCAACATTCTGGCGGGAACGGCTCTTGCCAGAGCTGCCCCTTCCCTTTTTGTTCGGAAAGCGAATGGCGCAGTTACCCCCTTTTGGTTTAGTCAGCCCCTTTACTTGCCCAAACACAGGGTCTTCATATTTGCTTCTTTTGTTGTGGGACCAAAGAATCAGTTACATTTTGGGGGTTGGTTTAAGCAAACAACACCAAAGATGGATAGGGCTGATCGTAGCCCCCTACCCACTTCACTGCTTATCACTCTTCTAGAACCCTTCTAAGAAGCTTCCTGGAACCTTTCCTAGTTGTGGGGCCTTTCCTATATGGATATGTTCCAGACCAGCGACGATGTTTCACCCAGTCGCCTCGTTTCGAGCTTTAGGCTATGGAGAATCTGCTGCTGAGAGTGCAGGGGAATGTGGCGAAGGAGTTCGAGGTTGAGAAGGACGTGGCAGCGCGCCAAGACTTGGCCAGTTCTCCAGTTCTCCCCGCCGATCTGCGCGAGGGTCGCCAAACCTAACTCATTGTTGCTGCCCAAAGCGAGTCGAACGGATCTGATCTTTGGGTTTCCTCTTTGTCCACGTTTAGTGGCCCTAAGGTTAACCAATTTTAATTCGGCTCCTTGGGGCAAGTGAGCTATAGGATACATGGCCAGAAACCAGCATTCATTTTGTCTGGGGGTGCGGACCGTTCGCCCTCTCTTCGCCAGGTCTTGATTCTGACTCCTACGGAAGCTATCGCTAAAAGGATACCATGTTATCACGTTTGCTCCAGCTCAGTCGGAGGATCCAAACTCTCAATCTCCTTGGACACTTTTTCTCTTCAGAGAGTTCAAAGGCCGACTGCTGCAAAGGCAGTTAGCGGCGAATATGTCAAGAGTCAATATCGAGCGGCAAATTTTTGGGCCAGAGTGCAGTCGTGCTTTTGTTCTTTTAAGGTTTTGCTTCATATCTTCTTTTTAAGCCCCAAACTGGTAGGAATGCAAAACGGTATGTCGAATAGTTCCAGGAGGCTTCTTCTGGCGGTGTCCCTCAGACGAAAACGGAAGCTCCCAGAAAGCCTCTCTAAATGGAACCACGTCTTCCAAAGGGGTGGGAGTTTTCATGTTGGGGGAGGGTAGCCTCGTTTCAAGAGTCACGGTGGTGGACAGGAGGCAGTAAGACGATAGTCTTCCAAGCCTGTTCTACTTCAATGATTGTTGCAAGGCGGGTATGCGGGTATGCGGGTCTCTCTGGGTTCGGGGAGGGAGCAAGCGAAGCAACAGCCGAGCAAACGAGCGACAGGATTCCAAGCACACGCCCTGTGCGGCATGAGTTTTCACGGAGAACACTCTCCAAAATGCTTTTTGTCCAGCAACGGGTTCCCAATGGAGCAGCGCCTAAAACACCCAAAAGGGGCGGTTCTACTGGCTAGGTTAGCAAGGATAGTAAGGCCTATGTGCTTCCTACTGTGGATGGACAAAATCCCACCACCTAAGAAACCCTGGAATGAGGATCCCCCTGCAAATACCAATTGTTTCACATGCTTTGAACGTGGTGCAGGATTTTGTCCATCCACAGCATGACCATCTGAGAGCCCAAAGTCCGCAAGTCCCGGGTCACTTGAAATTGAGAAACATATCGGTGGCTCGTCTTTTGGTTTCCTTTTGGCTTCCCTGCAAAACCAACCAACGAGGGCCCCCTCAAAAACTGACAAACCCATACCCATAAGGAGTTTGCTTGGGGAGGTTCTCCCTGGGTCCTCGCCGTAGAATGAATGCGTAGAACGAGGTCATGAACGAAGCGCTGGCGGAGAATGTCTTTGTGGGACTCTTGTTTGCAAGGGTGTGTGTGTGTGTGTGTGTGTGTGTCTGTTCGTGTGTCTTTAGGTACGAGTTGGGTGGTTTCGTTTGCTTCCCTCATAAACGAGTCAATACTGGATCCGCGCCAGGGTTCGGACTTTCAGTTCAATCCTTCGCCGATTTCCTTTGGCTTGGTTGAGCGAAATGCTGCCGGCTCTGCGACAACTGGCAACCCTGGCTTTGTTTCAACATGTGATGCGATTGCAACGAGCACCTTTTCACTCTATCTCATCATCTCTATGGTTCCCAGCTCTTTTTGGTTGAGCTGTCCTCATGGTGGCATGGAAACGTCTCAAGCTCTCACCACTTTTGCCGCCCCTTGAGAGCGAGAGGCCCTTCATGCTTTCAAATCTGCCACAACCCCAAAGGGGTTAGTGCCCACAGCCAGAGCTTGAAAGCATTTGGATAAATAGCAAACTCACCGATTTGTGTCTACAGCGAGTTCGCACGAACAAGGCACCCTTACTTGGAGCCTTGGGAAGCTAGCGTGGGTCGCGTGCAGCTGACTTGTGGTGATGGTCTACAGCCGCACATTTACACAAAATCGGGTGCCACATGGCCACTTGTTTGATTTTCCCAAAAGGAGACCAAAGGGGGATGGCTGCGTTGTTTTCAACAAGAGAATGGATCTTGCTTTTGATGAGAAGGGGGACTGCCTATCACACATTTTCCAGAGGAGCGGACTCCATGCATTGTTAAGCTCAAGCAAGCTGCTGGCAGTTGACATGTGGATGGACGAAATGCTGCACCACCCAAACAAACTATGGGAAGCCATGTTTGTTGGCATTAAACGGGGTGCAAAAATGGTTTTTGTCCATTCACAGTATTAATGGGCTTCTGACTATCAGCTGTTTGATCGGAGAAGGGACTTCACAGACTGCAAGCTATCCAGCAAACGGATTTGTCAACGGCCCATATGAGCATCCATGAGGGGAGGAGTCTCCTTGGATGATTTAGTTGGATCTTTAACCTCGCAAACTTTTTGGACAAACGAGTTTCAGACCAGGAACCGGCGCAAGAGCCAGCATTTTGGAGCAGGGAGCCCATGGGCCACCAAATCTCTTGGCTGAAGCCCCGGTCTCAGGTCTGCTTTGCATCATGAATCGGATCCCGCTTTTCATCGTTGGCAAGCCAGGCCCCTTGACTGACTCGGCGCTTGTTTTTTTGTTTGCACTTGGTCGTTAAGATGCACAAAACATGACTTGACTCTGGCCAGGGGCCACCATCGCACATGTGCGCGAGTATCTCTGGAGGTACGGTTTGAGGGTATGGATTCATTCGGGCAGAAGACACTTGCCAGCAACAGAGAGCATGCATGCTGGTCAATGATGCGGATGGTTTCAGCTCATAGGTGACAGAGAAGCATGGCCGGTTTCCTCCAAATTGGATCGCACGCCCGCCAGGTACATCGAAGACCCTGTGCATGCAAGTGCTGCGCCTTGCTCGCACATTCGCTCGGAACGTGGAACGCGCAGTCCCTTTCTGGCCACGGAGACCGTTTGGTTTTTGGGGTGCCAGGCGATTTTGCTCGTTTCCGGCCATAGGCATCTCGTTTCGGTGAAACCGAGATGGATTCCGTTGGCCTCTTGGGCGGCAACTCACAGGTGGAAAGTCACAACCGTAAATGTGGCAAGACGCTCCCGGATGGTTTACCATAGATGTCGGGTACTCCGCAAATTCAACATGGAACCCAAAAAGGGGGGGTCCTTTCCCCAAAGGGATGTCTAAAAAGGGCAGGTGTTTGGTTTGCATGTTAATCTGCTGAATAGAGACCCTTTTACCCTCAGGCAACCCTCAATTGGTTGTTTGGATTGGCAGTTTGGGGTTTTGAACCTGTGGTCCTTGTAGAGGTAGATGATGGGACTCTATCCTGAACCTTCAAACCGCCAATCCAAACAACCAAGAGTGACCTAGCACCAATCCAAGCACTCACGACATCTCTCTATAAATGGGATCGAATCCATCCCTATGCTAACCACTCCAAACAAGACCCTAAACCCTAAACTCGAAACCCTAAACCCTGAAGCTGAGCATTCGGACCTGCGGCTAACGAGGCTCAGCAACCTCCAGGGCAAGCAGTCCAAGTCGAAGGTCCTGCAGACGCTGCCGGCCCTGCGCATCATGCAGTACCAGCCGCAGCCTCGGGAGCCCAACTCGTCGAACCCATTTTTGTTTTTTCGAGGAGAGTTTTCTAGTGCTGAGGAGATTTGGCTTTTTGGTGTGTTGTTTTTTCCCCAACAGCTGGAAGCTTTGGGGTCTCAGATAGGCTCCGGGGTGGTCCGGGGCGGCCCTGAGGAAAGGTTCCAGGAGGGTTCCACCAGGGTTCCACCAGGCTTCCACCAGGCTTCCACCAGGCTTCCACCAGGGTTCCACCAGGGTTCCACCAGGGTTTCACCAGGGTTCCACCAAGTTCCACGAGGTTCTGCGAGGGCTGCGGGGTGGTGCGAGCACTAAAAAGAGCACCGCATGCTGTTGGGGATATCACCAGAGCTTATCTTTTATTTTTTGTTGTGCGCGAAAGCCCGGGTTAAGCCGCGAAAAGGCAGCCGGCAGGGTTAAATTCCGAAGGATCCTTGAAGGGTGTTTCCGGTTGGATGCTTAAAGCCTCAAACTTCCAAGGAACACCTTTTTGACACTCCCCTCAAATTGTTCAAGGCCCGCTGTGAGTTCCTTGAGTGCTTCTTTTTGGGGGCAGACCTGGCTTTGCCCCGCGTTTTAGTCTGAGCAAACATGGGGTGCATTTTCTGTAAAATAAGGGGGTCAGGGGAAAGGGTGAGAATTATTTGCTGGGTGATAGGGGCTGTCCCATGCAAGAGGGAACCAGGATCACGGATCACTTTGGGAGTTACGCACGGAACCACGAGTCGTTTATTTTCATACGTTTCGTCGACACTCCCATCCCAAGAGCGTTTCAGGACAAGGTTGCGAGTGTCCCCAAACTGAGCGCGTCTTTTTTCTAGACCCCCAAATGGCGTTGGTTTTCCTTTTGGCTTTCCTTCCAAACTCACCAGAAAAGGGGTACCCCCCAACTCACTTCCTGAGTTCATGAACTTTAGACTTTTTGGGAAGACCATTTTAGTGGCAAATATAAAGTTTGGACTTTTTCTGGGCCATCCACTCAGCCAGTGAGCCAAAAGAAAGACACACCCAACACTGAAACCTCTTCCTCCCAGTCAGGAACGGAGCCCCAGAACTCTAAGGTGCTCGCCTCTCTCGACAGCAGATGGGATTCAGCGACTCGGCAAGTTGACCGGAGGGAACCACGACAGAGGCCTGCGGCCTTTCTGGGGGTGTTTTGCTTTGGGGGAAGACCCAATCAATTGGGTGTGATTTTTGTTTTAAAAAAAGAAACCGCTTTCCCAGTTGTTTTGGACGTGCGGAGCTCTTATCTTTGGTTTTCGAGCCTCAGGCAGTTTCATTGCAACCAGCAGCTTGATCAGCTTCGATTTGGGCACGGGCAGTTTCATGGAGCAAACAGAAATCAGCTTTGGGGCTTTCCCTCCAAAAGAATAATCCGACCCCCGGCCCCCCTCCCCCCCCAAAAAATAGAGGAAATAAAGGACCCCCTTCCCCATAAAAAAGCTCAACGATCACACGCGTCTTCGCGTCTTGGCCGCCACGAGGCGTCAGTTCGACGCGGCCTCCCGCTTCGCCTCCAACGCCTTGGACGCGCAGGCGCCTTTCTTCCCGCCCTGGACCTCTCCCGCCGGAACGACTCTGGGTAGGGGGGTGGTTGCGGTGCGGTGGTGTTCCTTGATCCCGGCTATCCGGCTTTTTGGTTGGTTTGGTTGGTGTTTGACATCCGGTTCTTTAGGCTTTTCGTTGTTTTGGTTTGGTAGTTTCCACACTACACGTTTTTGAGTTTTCGCCGGGGCATCGAAGCGTAACAGCCCAGGTTCTTCCAATCCGTCGATGCCAGAGGCTGTCTCAAAATGGGAATCGGAACCTCCCGTTTTGGGCTTCGGTTTTGTTGCTGGTTCCTTGAAACAAAGGCACCGAAATAGGCCCCCCCAACAAAAGCCGCGCCCACAATGGCCCGGGAAAACCACCATGTTTCCTCGTCTATGCCTTTCTTGAAAATCGGGAAGTTTACCGCAAAGAAAAGGGGGCCTTCATGGGAGGAGTAAGTCTGAGCTAAACAGGTTATTGTTTGGCGCGGATTTTGAGATCCCACGGCTTCTCAGATCTCGAATCAAGGTGAAAACCGCCGGTTTCGTGCCTCTTTCCCCTTTGCCCAGGAAACCGGTTACAAAGAAAGCTGCCGCAAGCCAGCCATACGTATTATATGTGTTCGGGGCATTTGATGAATGTGCTTTTTTACAGCTCTTCCTGTATATAGTTGGCTCCTTAGATCAGATCATCAGATTGGTGTTTTCCAAACTATGGCCCCCTTTTGGGACGATCTGAAGGAAGTGCTTGGCGTCGATGATCATGAAGCCTTTTATAGGGGAAACAAAGGAAACCATTGCAAGGGTTCCTTAGCAATGTGCATGGCCATGAGGCAAATCTTTCAAGGCATATGTGTCATGGGCTAAAACGCCTCTTGAGTGAGAGGGTAACGTTTCCCAATTGGAGGGGTCCTCAGCTGAAGAGGAACTCAAGCCACATCTGTTTACAACGCCTTAGCTCGGAACCCTTTCCGGGTGTGCGAGCATGGCCGCAATTTTCCCCGGATTTTCTGGAGCTCCATACTTTGGCTTTGAGGGAGAGGCAAAGAGGCAGAGTGATGTTTCCAAAAAGCGGTCGGAATACACTTGTCACTCGATTTTGTGTACTCTGTCTCCTTTTTTCTTTGCTCTGGACGCCCAGCATGTGGTTTTCCCCAGTTCTTCCTTCAATCCCCAGACCCCACGATGCGCGGATCGATCCGGCAGCCTCACAGCTCGCGCAGGTGGTGCTTCTGCTGGATGAAGTGGGCCTGGCGGAGTTTTCTCCGGCCACCCGGCCGAGTCCACCAGAGCAACGAAGGGAAGACTTGCTGGTTCGATAGGCAGGGAAGGAGAATTGGAATTTGAATGCCCCCAAGAAGAACCATTTGGTTTCCTTTAAGGGAATCCCCTTCCGGTTCATTCCCAAAACCCGGAAGGTCATTCCCCACTGAGCACCAGCAAGAAGAAGGGAAGAAGGAAAGAGGGGAAGGGAAGACTGCAAACCCTGTATTTGAACTCAACATGTTGTGGAATTGCATGCCCGACTCCAGACAGTATCTTCGCTCCACCGCACTCCCCCCCGACCTGATTCACTGATGCGCACCGTCAACCCAACCATCACTTTGCCTCGGGGCGCTCGTGTCACCTATTGACATAGTGTGAGGATCCACTTTCGAAATGCATCAATCCACAACCTCAGAGTCTGAAGCCTAAACTCAGTCCTGAGCACCCAAGCCCAACATTGCTTCTTGGCAAGCGCCGGTTCTTTGCCAGTCACCCATCCATATAATTCCCATCCATATAATTCTAGATGTTTGAGTTGGAGTCATCTGGGTGTGGGTCAAAATTAGGCCGCCAGAAGACCGCAGGTTTTCGTCTTTGGTTCCATTTCCCAGGGCAACCCATTTTGGGGTTACCCTATTTTTGACAACCACAGCCATCTGGTGAAGCTTCTCAGATTTGCGCTTTCAAAGAGCTGTCGAAGGTGAGTCGCACCTTTTGAACAGCCACACTCCGACCTGCGCTCGGGTTCTTGCCGGGTGCACGAACGAAGTGCTGAACTGTCCATAGGGTATGGGTCAAATTTAAGCCACCAGGATATGGACCGCATATTTTAGTCCATGTTTCCATTTACCAGGGCAACCCATTTTGGCTATTTTTGACCCACGGCCAAAAAGCGAAATGTTGCTGGTTTGGCGTGCCAAGAAGGTTCGGCTCGCTTGGCGCTCGGTGAACTGCCACGCCTCGCGCCTCGCGCCTCGCGCCTCGCGCCTCGCCGTGTGCTTGGCAGAAGCTGCCGAGTTCGGACTCGTTCATTCCGCCCGTAAGCCTCTGGTTTCAGTCGCTGCTCGGGCAACCTGGGGGACATTTCTCTAGAAAAACCAGTAGTAGGAAACCATGCCTTGGTTGCTTCCCAGATTGGCCCAACAATTTCTTTGTTTCTGGAGGACACTTCTTTCGGGATATGTTGTGTCCTTGCTTGCCTGGTTACCTGCTATGTTACATGGATACGAATTTCAATAGGGAGCCCACTGAAAAGTGGTTGGCGGACAGAACTTCCTATGATGCCCACCACAGTTTGATCGGGACGACACTGCCTGGAAGCACTGGGGAAGCCGCTTTCGGCTGCAAGGACATGCCTCTCAAAGTGCTGCACGGCATGCTGGCCGACCCGGGCATCGTGGCAGTAGTAGGCATGGGGTCCGGTTCGGCCTGCGACGCTCTTGGTTTTCCTTTTGCCTTCTGGGTACCAAGACGGCAATGGACCTTGCACATGAGCCTGTTGATCCGGCTTCTCAAAATGATGCACCATCCGTGGTTGGGGTTTTTCAAGGGACGCCAAAGGAAACCAACTGCTTTTGGGGGGCCAATTTTGGCTAACCTTCCTGCCTTGCTCAAAGCCGACATTTTTTGTTTGTCCTGTTTTGGTCCATCAGGTCGCAAAAGGTGATCACCTTTTATTTTCAGGTCCCAAAGGGGCAACTTAAGTGAGTTCGGTCTTCTTGTTTTTGTTTTGTTTTTGTCTTTTTTCTCCGGCATTCTCCTTTGAGCCAGCACGTGATTAAACGTTTTGGCCAACCCCTTGGGGGCGCGCTCTGCTTCCTTTGCAACCAACAAGCATCGAGACGCACATCGGTTTAAACGAAATTTAGCTGCAACATGTGAGTTAGGTTAATTTCTTCTGAGGGTGGAGCAGATTGCTTTAAGAAATCAGCCATCCACTCTCAACTGCGCATGCTCAGAGCGTGGCAGAAGGGCTAGATGTCACGCATCCGTTTGCTGCCACCCGTTTGCGCAGACTTGTGGTTCCCTATATTTCTCTTTTGGCGTTTTTTTACATCACCTTTTGGGAGTCGATTTCAAGTGAGTTTCCTTTGTGACCTATGGGAATTAGGGGTGTGGCTGTTTGTGGACCCTCCAAATCGCGGTCTTCCCCCTTTGGCTTCCTTAAAAAGCACACACACACACAAAAGTGGGTATCTCCACAAAGAGACGAGATTTGGGACGCCCCCCCAGGAAGTTGCTTTTTCTCGGGCCGAAAGGCGTCGCCCGAAAACTCGCCTTTCCCGCGGATTCGCGATGCGATTCCAGGGCTCTCGAATTGGCGCCTGGACCCCGCCAAGATGAACCGCTCCGTGTGCCTGGCGCGCCCGGACCCCGACAGCGCGGAGGTGGGCCGCACAGGCGCGGGCCGCGGGCGGAAAGGGGCGAAGCGAGGGAGCCGAGCGGATGGATGGGGGCGCCATGGCGCCCATCCCTTTTGATGAAGCCCGAAAAAGGGAACCGAAAGACACACGGAAATTTTGAAGACTCTTGTTTGGCCTCGAATTTTAGACCGAGGTACTGTGTGGGAAAATCACTCAACTGGCCTTGAGTCGGCTGATGTTGTGTCAACATCAGCAGTTGGTTGCAACATCAGTTCCCTCTGAGGTGATGCCTAAAATATGGGCCGGGAGCCCTGTGTCACACAGCATTTACACGGTGATTCATGTTCACAGTCATTTTTGAGCATGTTGGTAAGCATTAAACAATCCGTTTGGGCAAGTTGGGTTAAACATAGTAGTACTGGCTTCAGTTTCATTCCATGCATTTACCCTTCCTTGAAGGAAGTGCCGTTGGGCTTCTAATTCCCCCCCCCCCCACCCCGATTCAAGGGGAAGCCAACAGGAAATCCCCCTCGCCGGCCGACCGAACCCTTACGAGCATTCCGCATTTCCCATTTGGCTGTGGGTCAAAACCAATGGTACTATTTTGGGGTAGGTGCACCACCCATTATAGTCTATTTTAGTGGGGATTGGGATGTTCACTGGGGGTACTGGATTTTGACCCATGGTCATTTGTGAGTGTGTTGTGTGTTTGTCGAAAATACCTTTGTACCTTGGCTCAAAACCACAAGTGTTGGAAGGGCCTATGAATATCAACCTCCGGATCTACGTGGGGTGTGGTCTTTTTCGGACCCCTTTTTGCCTCGGACACCCAGTGACGCCACAGGGAACGAACCCCGCAGCCCCGAGAGTTTAAGCCACGGGGGTGAGAGGTGCTGGGCTGCTGGCTGGCGCGAGCCTGCGCCTGGGCAAGATAATTTGGCTATGAGCTTTAATAGGGAAGCCCCTCCAGAGTCGTTGGACATTGATCCCCACCTAAACGATGTCCACCAGAGGGTCCCGAATTAAAATTCAGACCCAGTTGGGTGTGGCGTTTAGGATTTGCCCAACAGAGCAGCCGGGTTCTCGCCAGTTTTCGGTCGGGCGCGGCTGTTTTTTTTTTTTAATGCCCAAGAAGTCGGAAGTGTTAGCCCGTTTGAGTGGTCAACAACAAGTCTGGACTTTTGCTGACCAATCCTGGGACGGGGTGTTGTAAGGAGGCGAGGTTTGTAGAGGGTGGATAGGCTGAGCTAGCTTTGATGGTTTCGTTGAAAGGCACTTCCCATTGCAGAAGCACCCTTTGAAACCCCTTTTGGAGGGTGCATTTGGGTGTTCCCTAAGGAAAGTCCTTTTCTCTCAAACACCTGGTTTTCAGGTCAGAAGTGGTTGGGCGACTTGAAAGGTGGGGTGCTCGAAGTGAGGTTTGATCAACACATGGTATGAAGTCTATGATCCGCTCTGGGCGGGACATTGGGCGCACCAAGTTTCAACCACGAAGGCAGGGGACTCACATGCTCATGTCTGGCTCATATAGCTGTATGGTTTTGAGAGTGGAACACCCTCAAACATGGTCGGTGGACATGAACCCCTCATGTTGATGTACACATGGCCCTCCCCTGTCAGAACTAGGGGTTCCTTTTCCCATGTTGAATTGCAACCAACATGCGTCCCACTTGGAGGGATATCCAATTCTTTAGACACATGCCTCCGTATTATTTTTAGCTAGACATTTGGATGTGCCCTTTTTGTAGCTCAAAGAGCGGAAAGGAGGCCTACATGAAAATTGCTCCGTCTGGATTTTGGAGCACGGATGGACTTCTCGTCCTCCCCAGAAGGTTTGCAGATGAAATGCGCCTGGCATTATATGGCTGTGGCTCAAAATTAAACAGGAGGGGTTACGCAGGTTTTGGTCCATGTGTCCACTTACCAGGGTTCCATTTTGGTGCTGTTTTTTTGAGCCACAGCCATATAGCCAGCAACCGATTTGACAGGGCTTGCGGACCAACCCAGAGAAGCATGTTTTCGGTGCCTCGACTTTCCGACCAGCCAAGAGGTCCATTTGAAATAGGAACCTTCAGTTCCAACCGTCGATTTGCGTGTCGTTTTTCGAGGCTTCCGTTTTTTTCCCCAACAGATGAAAGCTTTGGGGTCTCAACCCAGATAGGCTCCAGGGTGGTCCGGGGCGGCCCTGAGGTAAGGTTTCACGAGGGTTCCACGAGGGTTCCACGAGGGTTCCACGAGGGTTCCACGAGGGTTCCACGAGGTTTTGCGAGGGCTGTGGGGTGGTGCGAACAAAAAAAGAGCACCGCATGCTGTTGGGGATATCACCTGAGCGTTTTTTTTCCCCATTTTTTTTCCTGATTTTAAAGGGAGACTAAAAGGAAACCACAATTTGTTGCTTCTCTTTTTCCCCAACAGCTGAAGCTTTGGGGCCTCAGTCCAGATAGGCTCCGGGGTGGTCCGTGGCAGCCTTGAGGTAAGGTTCCGCGAGGGTTCCACCAGGGTTCCACCAGGGTTCCACCAGGGTTCCACCAGGGTTCCACCAGGGTTCCACGAGGGCTGCGGGGTGGTGCGAGCACTAAAAAGAGTACCGCATGTCGGGGATATCACCTGAGCTTATCTTTTTCTTTCTTTTGCGCGGGGTGGGGGGGGGAGTTTGAAAAGAACACGCACCCGTTTGGAGCCCGAAAGCCGGGCGAGCACCTTGGGCTTGTCGCCCAGGGGAGACTCGCCGGGCTGGCTGACGACCCTCTCTGGAGCCTTCTGGGATGTCTTCGCAGACCAAGGCGCGGCTCTGCGAGCGAGCTAGCGAGCCTGGGAAAAGACCGGCCAAGGCCATGAAGGAAATTTACTTGAGCATCCAATCTCAACCGGGGGGGTAAAACGAGCTCATGTTAAGGATCCTTTACTTGGGGGGTCCCATTCTTATCTCAGGTTTGGGAATCATCCAAGGTTTCCCATGTCCTTTTGGAACAAAGGACTTTCTCAGGGGCTCGGGTCATCTATTTGTCCAATTCCTGGCGAGCTCACCGATCTGGGGGTGGGGGGGGGGGGTAGAACGAGCTCATGAAGACCCTTTACTTGGGGATCCCGTATTTCAGGTTTTGACTTATTTCAGGTTTGGGATCTAGCAAATTGCAGGATCCTTATGCCAGATCGTGGTGGGTTCTGATAGTCCCACTATGCATCACGGAGGGTATCTCCTATTTTGAACAACACCGTCCCTGTTTCGTAGCCGCATTTACGAGACTGCTACTAAAGACTACAAAGAGCGGAAGGTTCTAAACTCCTACACATGATGCGGGAACAGCCCCTCCTAAATTCAACAACTCCGGCTACAGGGCTTCCACCTTCTGAAATTGAATGGGGGGTTGGCCGCGCTGGCCAAAGGCACCAGATCCCTTTTTTCTCTCTTCGAAGTGTGTGTTGCAAGTCTTTGTGGGGGCTTGCAACAATTTCTCAAGCTGCACGTCCCACGTGGATCGAGATGTTAAGGAAAAAAGTGGATGACAGCAGAGGCATGAGCAAGCCTTGCTCCACTTGCAAAGTGAGACTGAAACTCTTGGACATTCTCTTGTTTCCTTGAGGCGCGTATTTTTTTGTTTTGTTGCACCCCAGGTTGCCCTACCACCCCTAAACTAGTTGGACGACATGTCCCCCTTGTTTTTTTTCTCGGGGTGTTCAACATCTGGGCCCATTTGCAGTCAGCTTCCTTGCGGCGTGATGTTTGGGGATCTTTGTTAGCTTCACCTGCATCAAGGTGAGACCCCGTTTTCCTCCCGCGCGGTCCGATCCGAGGCGCGCGGGACTGGCTGGGCATGCGGGACTACTACAGCTTCGTGCGCCACGTGCGCGACGGCTGCCTGGAGGCCAAGGTGGAGCAGCCCAGCGCCGAGCCGGGGCCCCGGGGGTCTCGGGTGGTCTGGGGGGTTTGGGGGGTCTGGGGGTCTGATGGTCTGATTGTCAGGTTTCCTGAATTGGCACGCTGGTGCTTAGGGAGCCGTTCCGGAGCTGGGGGTCGTGTCAAATCCAAAGTTTGCCGAAGAGGGCGCCTTTCGCAGATCCCAGGAGTCCGTTTTTTTTTTTGCCCAAACGCGGCATGTGAGCCTTGTGAAGGTTCCGAGCCATTTCGCCATGGTTCAAAACCAATGGTGCCATGTTGGGATAGGTGAATTCACCCATTTTAGAACCTATTTTCATGGGGATTGGGATGCTCACTGGGGCTAACCGGGGTTTTGACCCATGGCCATTTCCCTTTTTGGGAACCTCCAAAGGCCATCGTTTCAATGGACCAAACAACGCTTTGGTGCATTTTGCTTGGATGTTAGCACTTTAACCTTTTGCCAACTCATGTTTTTTTTTCCATTAAGACACTAAAAGTTAAGCTTTTTGCAGGGGAGCAGAAAGCAACCGAGCACCCGTCGCCCAATCCCCCCCGAGGATTCTGGCCTTCGCCATCCGCCGGAACTTTGGAGGGCAGCCTGCGCTCTTGGAGCGCATGCTGCAGGCGATGCTGCCCACAGGAGCGCCATGAGCCGGTGGCTCCCAGCGGTCCCGTTTAGCTTTTTTGTTGGTTTTGTTGGTTTTGTTGGTTTTGTTGGGGAATGTTGGGATTTTTGGCCTTTTTGTTGGTTTGGTTGGGGACTTTCCGTTTTTAAGCCACTAAAAGTTAATCTTTTAGCAGACAAATTTGGGGATAGTTTAGTAATGAGTCGGGAGCCGTGCTGACGTGTGTGCGTGTGAGTCTGGTGTTTTCTCGGGGTGTTGGTTTTTTGGGCGGTGGGGCTTCTGTTCCAAGGCTGAAGGTTTTCATCGAGCTATCTTGGCAAAATGTGTGGCGAGCTCACCTATTCAGAGATATAGGCAACGATCACCCGTGGTGAAGATGGAGGTTCCCTCCTGAATGATTGGAACGTGAGAAAGGGCGATTTGCCTGCAGTCTTATTGCTTCTAAGGGGCTTTGCGCTGGGACCCAATCGGGGTAAAAATAATACCCGGTGACAACGGGTCATGTTGAATGCCCGAGCGTCTTCCGCAGCAGGCCGTTTTTGGGAACTCAGGGAAGTAACCAGGCGTTCCCCGTTTGGGAGACTCAAGCCGGGCATCTGAAAGCTAGGGAAACCTCTTGAGTACCTCTATGGCAATTTGGTAATGCCAACACACCGAGACTCTGGTTGGAAATCCAGGGCCCAACCACCTGTTGAATGCTGAAAACATATTCTTGAACTTCCTTTGGGTTCCCCTGACTGAGGGCCAAAAAAAACGAGGGGCAGGCCCAGTTGGACTGGGGGGCATGGACCCACCGGCTGTTCTCATAGGTGTCCTTTTTGGTTGATTTGGTTGAAACATAGAGGGCCCTGGTTTACGTGGTGGTTCAATTTTTCCCAAAAGGACACCTCTGGCTGTTCTTGTTTTCCTCAGGACGGCGCAAAGACAAGCTGGCTTGGCCCATGCCCGAGCTCCTTTCCACCAGCTTGGCGGACAGGACCGGCTCTCGATGGAAGATTCGGGCCCCCGTTTTTTTTTCTTTCTCCGTGGCTCAAAGGGCCTTAGTAGTGATGTTCGCACGGAATCACGCATATAGATGGATTTTTCCCAAGAAACAAGTGTCCGTCTGCGCGAAGGGAATCTGCTTCAAGGGGTCGGCAGGCTTCCTTCTGTTCGGTCTGGTCTTTTCAACCGTCGATCTTGCCGCTTCCCCTGCGTTTTGGATGGGTTTTCTGGAAAGATTTGGACTGGTTCAGGAGGAATTGCCCCCGCTGAAGATCAAAGTGGATTCTCCAACCCTTGGAAAATCGCGTGAGGGTTTGAAAAGCCATGCCCTTTTGGATCAAAGTGGAAGACCGATGGAATAAATCGCGTGGACCTCGCACTTCGAAGTGGATTTTAGGAGCGCTGGGTTCGACATGTCTCGGCTAGGAAGGCGAGGCATCTGCTGCTGGCCAGTCAGGGCTCTTCGTTGCCCTGGCTGCAGGCGATGGTGGGGTTTAAGTGTATCCCAGTGGCTCCCGGCTACTCTAGATACCCACTTTTTCTAATATATATTTTTTTGAAAAATATGGGTTTCCATGATACATACCTCCAGTTTTAGAAGAGGGCCGACGTCATACCCTGAAACAAGTGGGTATTGGGTGCAGTGGCTCGCGTGGCTCGTATCGCTTTTGGAGGGGACACTGGCCCAGCAATGGCTGAGCCGCCGGCAAGCAAAGCTGGAATCCCTGGACCTGGCGCAGCCTCCTAGAGCTCTTGCGGCGGTGCCACTTTTTGCGTGTTCATGTTGCCTCGGAGCGGCCCGGGAATTCACATGCGTTGGCAACCAACTGAATGCGCCTGTCCGTTTTGGACTTACCAAAGGGCCTTGCGTCGGTTCGGGCTGTTTTACCGGTTTTTGCGTTGGTTTTGCAGCCTTGCGCCTTTGCCGGGCAATGACGCTCACTTCACGGGCTGGGGCGTTCTTCCAGTCAGCGTGGCCCTGCGCTAAACAGCTTGGCGGCACGCTCTCTCACTCTCTCTCTCTCTCTCTCTCTCTCTCTCTCTCTCTCTCTCTCTCTCTCTCTCTCTCGCTCTCTCTCTCTCTCTCTCTTTCTCTCTCTCTCTCTCTCGCTCTCTCTCTCTCTCTCTCGCTCTCTCGCGCTCTCGCTCCTTGGCTCTCGCTCTTTCGCTCTTGCTCTTGCTCTTGCTCTTGCTCTGGCTCTTGCTCTGGCTCTGGCTCTGGCTCTGTTTGGGTCAAGATGGGCCAAGGGTTGCCCCGTTCCCTTGAATGTGTACGGCAGCTTGGTAGCTGTTCTCCTCGAAGTTGTATTTCCTGGGTACCTCCCATGAATGGAAGCTCTGAACATGATTTGTGCTTTCGTTTCTCTCAGTCCCAAGATCCGCTTCACAGGCAAACAGACGTAGCACAAGCACTCTTCTTGGGCCAAGGGAAAGAACGGAACCACGTATTATGCATGTTTCTAGGGGACACTTTCCGGAATACCATCAGAACCTCAGGGGAAACAGCGATCGGTTTTTGAAAAGAACGATGGTTGAAAAGAATGGAAAAGGAATGAACCCCATTTTTTTTTGGGCTGTGGGGGGAGGGGGGGACAGCCGAGGCAGCTCCGTCGCCCTTCGAAGCTTCGACACAGGCGGCGGCGGTGATGCCGTCGGCGGAGATTCTGCTGGGCAGCGACTTCCCGGAGGATGCCTCTGAGGCGCACCTGGGGGAGAAATGGGTGTGGCTCAAAATTCAAAGGGCGAGGGTTACGCAGGTGTTAGTCTTTGGTTCCATTTACCGAAGTGCAATGTTGGCACATGTCTTTGAGCTACAGCCAAATCAGAAGGCCGCTTTGGGTCCTTGGGTCTCTACGAATCGAAGCTTCCGTAGTGGGGTTACGGCTTGACCCACATGGCTGCTCAAAATGAAACTGGATGGGGCAAACCGCGATGGTTTTGGTCCAGGTGTCCACTTACCAAGGTTCCATTTTGGTACCGTTGTTGTTGAGAAATGACCCTGTTAGCCATTGAAAGGGCAGGTTTTTCCACTTCGATAATTCTCACCGAAGTGGGAAAAGACAAAACCTTCAGAGTTCTAGGGGTACCTTCCATGTCCATTCTTTCCAGGGATCCTTCTTTCTAGAAAACCTCCGGAAGCCCAGGGAAAACGGCTGTGTGTTGAAAAGAACGATGGTTGAAAAGAATAGGGAATCAACCCCTAGAAAACTCGCATTTTCTTGGTAGGGCCGCCAAATTGGCCAAACGATTTTCTTTTGGACCCCCCTTGAAGGCGTGAATGTCGTATCATGTTCTGAACCATCTTGACAAAGGCGGCTTGGACCCGCAACATGGCCAAACGGCCTTCCTCTTTGCTTTCTCTTGAAACCACGAAACGCGTGTCCTCAAAGAAGCCCCGTCGAAATATGACCAAACATGGGACGGAAACCACGAGTCCCTTCATTAGTCACCCTTGAGTTATTTGAGTGTTATGTTTCAGGGTGATGGTTTGGTTTTGTTCTTGGTTGTGCTTCGTTGTTCTATGGGGGTTAGCGAATCCTGGGTTTGGGCTGGCCCTTGTGGGTTGATACAATCGGGCCCTTTGGAAACGGCACGACGGTGTGGGGAACGGCACAGTCTTCCCGCTTGCCACGAAGCAAATTTGTCCACAGTGACGCGGATGAAAAGATTTGACTTGCTTTCATTGGCTAAGTTTGGACTTGACCTTTTTTGTTTTGCAGGGAGTAGGTCATTAATTGGGTGCACATGTCGTTTTGTGACACCCTGGTATGCTTTGCCCAGACACACTTGCGGGCATGATCGATCACACTCGGAATGCTACGACCCTGAATGTGACAAGTTGCAGGTGTATCACTTCCGTATGTTTGAACCTCAGGCCCAGCTGGCGCTCTCCAGTTTCTGTGACCTTGTAGAGGACACCCCCTCAACGCCAAACCACCAATTCAATCCACGCCACCAAGTGGAGGGAAGCTGAGTCACCAGCAAAAAACCTGTTCCTTGCAGCATTTCGGGAATTCACAAACCGAGGGTTGGCACTTTTCTTTGCGAGTGATACCACTTCCGCACTCCACACCAGGAGCGAAGCTGAACCCCTGGTCCTTGTAGAGGGTAAATGGGAAACCACTCCCCCAACCAGAGGGAAGCTTAGGTTTTTTTTGATTTTCCGACCTGCGCTTTCCGTGACCCTTTTTGCCCAATGGCCGCGGGAGGTGCTTCTTTTCTTGAGTTGTCAACCCTTTTAGGCCTTGCTTTCCTCTCAATGGTCAAACCGGGAGGGAAACCGAAGCGGTTTGTCAACAGGCCTACGCCATCCGTCAGCTCATGCGTGTGCGGGACGCCATGGCTAAGGCGCGGATGGTTGAAGCCTCCCCGGGCTTTCGGCGAACGCGTTGGGCGGGGGGGAAACACCAGGAACTCCGAGTCAGCTCAGTTGGGCACTTGCAAAACCTCTCCGGAGGTTTCCTTATGGCGGTTCGGTCACGGATCTTACTTTAGCTTGGCTGAACCAGCTGGGCTTTTCAAAATTGGACCCACAGAAAGTGAGACTTTTTGCAGAGGCGTAAGCCGCAATGAAGTGACCCCGTTTACGGGCGCTCTTTCATTCTTTATGCAGGCAGCTTGCTTGCAGCCCCAACATGTCAAAGGGGATGTGACCCAAAGCTGCAAGTATGGGGGTATATGGGGGTTGAACATTGTAAAGACCGGTTTTGGAATCGGTAAGGGCCATAACTGTAGGGATTTCAAGATCCGATCCAGAAAGTGTCGATCCCGCCATCTTCAGGGATGGGTCTGGAAAATCGGCATGATTCTGGATTCTTGGGGTTATGGAACATAACATTTAAACACGCCATGGTTCTTCCTCCTGAACAATGTCGCCAATGATGCCAGAATGGACCGTGGGCCCTCTCTGAAATGGGATCCATTTCGGACACATTTCTGCGCGAGCCATGTGGTTTCTTTGGCTCGCGCTCCCAAACATTACCTTGTTGGCAATTCGGGTAAAGTTCGGGTAAAAGCAGTGTGGGCGTTTGCTTGCGGTGTGCATGTTTCTCGTTGATGTGTCACCCAGAATGCATCGTATGGATGTGCTCAACATGTGGGGGATAATTGCTCCTTTGGACGGCTTTAGGCAACCAACTGTTTTGGGGTTTGTTTAATTTGAGACAACCCATGGGATGGTGTTCGAAAATGTGGAGGATGGTAAGTGATTGACTATGCCCACGCTCGACACGGAGCTGCTGATTTTGATGCGGATACCGACCAAAATCAAATCACCAGGGGACCGCAGGTTTTAGTCCTTGGTTCCATTCACCAGGGCTCTATATTGCGTACCTATTTTTGACCCACAGCTATATACTCTCCTAACAACGAAACGATACACTTACTACTTGCTTCCCAGCCATCTCTGACCTATGGTGTGACTTCAGCGGGATTTATAACACGGTACATGAGTGCGACTTTACGGGTTCAATGAAGGCCCTAAGTCCGTGTCAAAGGGTCGTGTTTTGCTATTGCACTGCTCGCCATGATTTTTATGGGACAAGGACTCCAACAGGGAATGGATGATTTTCCGATTTTTTCCGGACCGTCTGCTTGAGCAACCAGTGCGCTTCGGCCTTGGCACATCTTGAGTTGCCAGATTAGTGGATCCGCGCGTACGGGCCAGGGGCGCTCGCTGGTGCTATGCGGCATGGACGTGATCTACGAAGCCCTGTACGTAGCACAGCTGCAAAGCGATGAAACTCAGGTCTTCACTGGGTTGGAGCTGAACACGGGTCCTGACATTTCGAGGTCTTTTCGGAAGAACCACACAAATCGGTTTCACGGCGATTTACATGGTTGTGCCTCAAATGGCGCGATGTTCGGGTCGGACGTATGATGACCCCTTCACAGAGTGATTTACAAGAGGGTACTTGGAGGTATATGTAGGGGTGGTTGAAGGTCCCCCCCTATCACGTCTTGACGATTCACTTTTTTTCCGCGATGGAGCCGCAACATGCGTCCACGACCCATCGCTATGGCCATGACGTGCCAAAGTTTTCTTGGGAAACAGCAGATTTGCACCTGCCAGAAACTGCGCTCAGGATGTGCTGAACCAGCGCTACGTGCGGCGGCGGACAGAGGAGATGGAATGGGCTTGTTACTGCGTGACCTTTTGGCAATGCACCGAATGCAAGCCTTTCCTTCGCGCAAGAACTCATGATTGCAAAGCGGCATTGATTTTGCTGAGTTCTGGCATTGTTCCTCAAGTTAAGCCGGCCCGAGTGTATTTCACTGCATTGGGTGGTTGTAAGCATCACCTTTTGGCCCAATTTCAAAGACTGAGTATTCCTTTGATGCTTGAAGACAAGTATGGGGCTAACCTTTGACTGGCCCAGTACAAGCATTCTCTGAAGCTTCAAAAGATGACCCAACGGTTTTCTTCTACCCGGGAACAAGCGTCTACACCTGTCCATCTAGTGGAACCTCACAGAGGTCCTGGACTATGCTCCCTTAAATGGGACCATTTGCATGGTCGGTTCCATGTGGATCAGAAGGCACCAACTTGTGCGGTCTTGAGAGCAACCCTGCAAAAGTCCGAGCTGGAGCGAAACCCGTTCTTCGTATGAGTTCTCAGAATCTAATGCTGACACCTGATGAAACAACCCCGACTGATTTGTTAAGGGGTCCATTTTTTGATGGGGAATCCTTTCTTTCAGCAGGACCGCATTCTTTGATGAATAACTGCAGGGGGGGTTGGGGGTTGGGGGGGCTTGTTCATCAGGGGTCAACATTAGGAGACCATTCTAAGAAGGTGCTATGCCTCTATACGATCCCTTGCAGGTGTGGGAAAGGCCCTTCAGCGTTCTCCTTGGCGTTCGTTTCTGACGGCCACACATCGCGCTTGAGTTTGTTTGGCGATGTTTGATGGGGGGGGGACAAGGAATATTCCCTTGGGGCATCCAATGGCCGGACTGGTCTATGTGGGCGCCTCTTTTTTTGGAGTTGTTACCCCCTTGTTTGTGGTTTTCAAGAAACTACAAGAAAGGCCCATTTTTTTTGGGGGGGGTCCAAGGTTAAAAGAGACGAGCCACCCATGTTGCATGGGATGTTGTTGGAGTTTGGATGGGTTGTTTCATCCCGTGGAGCCTGGCGGGGAGCCTTGGTTCCCGATAGCCGGAATACTAAACCAAAGGGCACATGTTGAACTTCTATTCTTGAACGTATAATTAACCAAAACTGTGAGTTTAATGAAATGATATATATAAATATATGATACCTAATATGGATATTTCAGTTTTTAATTCATTTGGCATAACATGATTTGATAATAAACATTTTAATAATATATAAATAGTAATTGGATTATTTATTTCATAAAATATATCATTAATTTCCATTGCTTTATTATTATTATTTTTTTTTAAAATTTTATTTAATATAATATGTTCTAATTGTTTAATATATTTATTAAATATATTTTCTACAAAATTTTCATATTCTTTATATTTTGTAAAAATTGATCAACAAACATAGGCCTTTTTTGGTTAGTTTGGCTAGAAATAGATGGCTTCCACCGGTTCAGATTGGTCTTATTCCATCCGGTGCCCTCTATTTCTCTCTAAAAACACCTCACCTACATCACCCAGTTGGACACCAGCCAACTGACTCTCCACCCCGACGCAGGCGTGGGACTCTCCCTGAGCGCGGTGCTAGCATTTAGGTCAAAGGGCGGTCGCCTTCTTTGTCCAGGTCCCGAAGTTAGGTGCCCTGTCTTAGCCCGGCTAACTTAGCCCCTTTTTTGGTTGGGAGGCTTCCCCTACTAAAACCGACAAAACAGAAGAACAAGTTGGTGCCAACTGATTCTCGCCTCTCAAATCTGGAGGACCTAGTTGCGGTTGGTAACGGATCTTTGGACTTTAGCTTTCTGGTAAAGAGCCAGGTGGGATTTTCTGAATCTCACTTCCTGAGTTCATGAACTTTAAACTTTTTGGGAAGACCATTTTGGTGGTAAATTTAAAGTTTAGACTTTTTTTGGGCCATCCACTCAGGCAGTGAGGAATTGGACCCAGATTCGTGAGGCTTCTTTCGCAACCAAGTACCTTCGGCTTCTTCGGAGCCAAAGGCGCCGCAGGAGGGCCAGATGGAGCTGATGCTGCGCCTGGCCATCGGCGCGCGGAGTCAGCTCTGCCCCGTGGCGGAGACCTTTAAGCTCCTGGTGCTGGTGGACCAGGAGAAAAGAAGAAGACCAGCGAGAATCGGAAGGAAGCCCAAGACCCCGTGGTTTTCGTTTTGTTTTTTGCCAATGGAGCTTGTTTTGTTTAAAGAAGAGCAAGCATCGGAACGAAGCCCAAGACCCCATGGACTCATTTTGTTTTTTTGCCATGGAGCTGGTATAGCAAAAGTCAAATAACAAACCATAAAATCGGAATCTCAACTCCCCTGTCTCTTGTTGAAGCGAGGCTCGGTGCCCCTTTTTTTGCGGTTGCCAAGGGAAATCAACAGGAAACCAACCACTGTGATGGGTCCCATAAAAAGGGCAGTCCCCTGGTGGTTTCATTCTGACTCATACCATTTCCCGAGAGGCAAACTGGAAAAACCACAAAGGATGTTGGCTTTACATCTCCAGACCAAAAAGAAGCTGGTTCAATCTCATTTGTCCGATGTAAAGATGATTCGGCGCTCCAATGGCAGGTTGAGACGCGTGATTCTGCACCTCGAAGGGCTTGGTGCGCTCTCAGTAAGAAGCCCCCGAACTTGCACTGACACGTTCGACCCACCCTACCCCCTTTCACCTAAGCCGCCCCCCCAAAAAATGGGGTTGTATTTATCCGCCGTCATGGCAACGTTCTTACTTGCCAAGCAAGTTGCGAATGGTGGCGGTCTTGAGGACTCCAAGAAACTCATCCAACCCATGGGTGCCTTGTTGCTTAGGAGATGCCCTGAACTCCTTAGCCACGAACCCCCGAGTCGCGCCCCTGTAAATTACTAAAGCCATTCTTAGCGGAGGGAGTGGTGGGGGTGTTCCCCAAGTCTGTTTCTCGAGTCTTCCCCACACGTGGGGAAATGGAGCCATAAATGGAATTCCCGGGGTCAATTCCCCCCCGTGCCATGGACACCTCGAGTCTATTTTGCAACCATGAGCCCTAACAACCAATACTCCAAAAGAAGGAGGTTGCAAAATAGACCCGAAAAGAGTCCACCATACGTCCCTCTTCCCCAATTCAGTGTTAGAGGGGGTGGGGATCTACCCTCTGAGGCTTGAAGACAATTCCATGAAAGAAATCAGTCTGTCCTCGCAAACGGTCGAGTACCTTCCCCATTTGGCTTCAAACGGGGTTCAAACCCAACTACGAATCCAAACCGCCAATCTAAGGATTCGCTGAGGGTGGTCCCTATTCTGCAGATTGACATGAAGCCCAAAAACCATGCGTTTTCAGAGGGGAAAGGACCCCCGTTTTGGGGAAAGGACCCCCTTCAGTCAACCCTTCCAAAAAAGGAGCGCAGGTCATACTCCTGGTTTCCATTTACCAGGCTTTTCATTGCTGGGTACCCATTTTTGACCCACACCCATATGGTGTGGCATAGAAACAAACCAGCTTCTTCTTGGTCTGGAGATCTTTTTTTTGATTTTTTCGGGTTTGGCCCTTGGGATATGGCGTGTCTTAAACCCAGTTGCCCAGTCGCCCTTGTTTCCTTTATTGGGGAAGGGCTCCGATTCCTTTAAACTCAACCAACAACAAGAAAGGATGCCCTTTTGTTCCCATGGAAATCCACTGGGCCGAGTAAAACGTCCAAACGGCGACCTTCGATGAGTTTCGGGGAGGAGCAGGCCTTCAAGCAGCTGGACGTGCCGTTTCTGAACCGCTTCGAGAAGCAGCTCCTGGTGCCGCAAGAGCTGCTCAGCCCCCAGAGGCGCCTGACTCGGAGGGCTGGGTCGGTCGGTTTTTGCGAGGTTGGTACCCCTTCTTGATGCTTCCCAGGTTCCTTCAGCCATGCGGTTCCTTAGGTGTTTGAAAAGGTCTTTAGTTGGTGTAGTGGTGGTTTCTTTTACTAAACCACAAAAAATGGAAGTTTAGCAGGGGATTCGACCACCCTAGCTTTGTAGTCTTGTTTTTCAAGGGAAACATGGACCCACACTCAAATTGCTATCAAATCTCAGCTGGCGATGCTGGAGATCGACCATGGCGCATATCAGTTGTGGGTCACGATACACACTTGCCCACCGAACTTGTGCTGGTCTTTGCTTGAAGACTACCGAAAGAAAGCAAAGCAAAAGAAGCGTCTCCCAGAGACTTGCCGAATTGATCGTCCGAGCTTTGCAACCAGCACATATCCAGGGGCAATCATAAACCTAGAGAAACTCCTATACCAGTTCTCGGTTACGTGGTTTCACTCAAGACTCAAAAGGATTTATGCGGGGGGCTTTAAAATCCTTGGGGCGAGCAACTCAAAAGGCCCCGGAAAAAGGGGGGGCAACTCGGATTGATTCCTTCCGTTGGGCCGTTTTCTTTGGGGGGGGGCCCTGACCACCATGGGACATCCGATCAAACCAGTCACTGCTCCGTGGCTTTGGTTTTCGAAAGGCCGTGGCTCAAAAAAGTGGAGCCTTTTTTTGGGCCAATTGGAAACAAAGACCGAAACCTGCGTGGCCCCAGCCCTTGAATTTCTTCCCTAGAATTGGCACCCCTTTTTCATGCCTTGCTTTTTTGGGTCCCCTTGGTTTTCCACTCGCCAGGCAAAAAAAACAACACATTGTTTTCTGGGGTCCTAATTCCAGCCCTTAAGTTGTTGAGCCACACCCAAATGCTCGGCCGAGGTGCCCGCTGTTGCAGGAGCTTCAGTCCTGGGCGGCGCAGTGCAGCGCCGAGGCGCGCCGCGCCTTTTTTCCCCGAGTCGATTCTCCGACGCGAAACCGCCAATGCGGGGGTAGTTGGGTTGGTTGGGTGAGTCCTTTTGTAGGTTGGACGCCACAAAAAGGGGCAGGTTTTTCCTGGTGGTTTGCCTTTAAAAGCAAGAAAACAGGGGGGCTAGCCTCAAGCAAATACACTCTCATTTGGCACTGTTGTGCTGATGGTACCCCCACAGAGGGGCTCGTTCTTTTCAGCAGACATTTTGTCCCCGGCGCGGCCCGCGCACGTTGCGAGATGTTTTTTTCGCGTTGGCTCCTGTGGATTTGCTTAGGGGGAACCCAAATGGAACCCACGTTGCAGATTCTTTCGGACTTCAGCCATTTTCAAGCTTCTCTCAACAGGGAGTTGCAAACCGGCGGGCCATTTTGCAATCGCCTCTTCTATGGGTGCATATGGCCGATGATTCAAGGATTTGATGCCCCCAAAGGCAAAAAAAACCAGGGGAGGTTTTGGGTTCTGCCGGGCCCTTTGGACCCCCAGCCCTGCGGCCTTCTGCGCGCGCCGACTCCACCGACTCCACCGCTAGAGGCGGGCTGCGAGCTCCTAGCGGGCGGGGTGTCGTTGCAGAGCTTGGCGTCGCTGCTGCTGGCGCGGCCTGAGGCACAGCTCGAGGAGAGAAAGCGAGCGGTCTGGCCTCTTGGAAATGAACCACCCTTGGGTTTAGGGCTGGGTCTGGCTCTGGTTTGATAAGGTAGACTCAGAGCCACTGCTCCCTTTTGGGAAATGACCCATCTCTGGGTTTCACTCTGCCTTGGGGCTACTCAAAACTAGAGCCCTGCGGCAGGCAGGCAGCTTCTGCCCCTTCTGAATTTGGAAGGAGCTGCAGCGCTGCGTCTTTGAGATGGCGTTGCCGTTGCCCGTGTTCCGCTCTAACTTGCTGCAGAAGCTGCAGCATCACGAGGAGGAGTACTTCAAGGCGCAAATGGCCTTGGGGGGCGACTGGGGTTTGTGGCAAAAGCAGGGTTTGATGTTTTTTGTGGCCGTTCCCAAAAGGGGATCAACACCCAGGGGTGGACCTTGGCTACAGCAGGGTTGCTCCGAGCCGTACTTGAGAGATGAGAAGAACATGAGGGTAGAGCATTGGTTTTGGGCCCTCTTGTTGTCCTTCTCTCTGGAGCAACCCTGAATTTGGTTGTATTGTTGTTTGTCTTTAAAGACAAATCAAGGAATAACTTTATATACATATAAAATATAAAGAAGCGGTTCATGCTCATCCCCATGACCCATGACTACGTCTTCAGGATGCTGGAGCAAGGAGCGTGTGGTACTTCAATAGGTGCGAGATTTCAGGGCCTCGACCATTTCACCTGATCCAGACATTGCCAGCAGTTGTTTTGAGGTATTCAATCGTCGCTGAGCTTCAGAGAGAAAAACAGGCACTGTGCACAAACATTATTGAATAGAGAGGTGCCTGTCTGGTTCGTTCCGTTTTACATCGTTTTCCTTTGGAGTACTCGACACATTCTCCGTGGGACCACCATGGCATTTTTCGGGCGAATCGTATTTTGGCAATTTTGTCGGCTTTTTGGTCCCGCCCTTTTTAACAACATAGCAGTGGTCTGCAGGGTCTAGGGGTGTGTCTCTTGTGTTCGAGGGTCCCGTCTTTTTGAAGGGAAACCAACAGGAAAGCCACCGGGGTCCCCTAACAAAAAGACACACCCATACCTACTTTGTAGGCTGCCTGGGATCCAGTAGGTATGGTTGAAGTGGGATCTCCGAGTTCTGACTTCCAATTGGCTTGACCCACGGGCACACTTTCGTGGGTTTTGGCAGGCTCAGGAAAACCATGTGGGAGTTTTTTGGAATTTCGGGACTCTTCCGGTGCTTGGTTTCCTGTGGCTTTCCTCTGAAAACCATAGCGGCGCCCTTGGAGAAACACCCGTGTGTGAAAAGGAGTTTCCAGCAGAAGATCCATTCATCCAAGGTGGGTTTTCAGAAGATCCCACGTGTGAAACGGAGCAGATACTAGGACCTTTTACCCTTTTTTGTAGGAGGGTTCCTCTACTAAACTAGACTACAGAAAAAAAACGGGTACCCTTATTCTAACCTCTCAAATCTGGAGGACCTAGGATTGCAGAAAGCCCCATTCCAAGAGCCGTGGGTTTCCGGACAGCCCGGCAGGTCCGCGGCAGCCTGGCCAGCGCCATGCAGCACGTGGTGTCGAAGGCATCCAGCGACAGGGTGCTGTGTGAGCTGGCGACGAGCTCCCCCATGGCGCACATGCCGCCCTTGCAGCAGCTGGCATCCGTGGGAGGCCGGACAATCCGCAGGACCTGCCCCTCTCCCCCCCAGACTTGGCTATGATGGAACCCAGAATCTGATTTGAAGGGGAACATGGGGAACATGAAGAGGAATCTCCTTCAAAGAACCCATGACATCTCAAGCAACACCTCCTTGTGTTGACATTTTGACATTTTGAATCAGATTCGCCCCAAAGGGGACCCCCTGCCAGGACTCGTTCACAGTATAAGAATAACTCCTGCTTTTTACTGGGTACCCCTTTTGTGTGGCTTTGGTCCGGGAAACCAACAGGACGGTGACTCAGATCCCACGGGATGGATTTTCGTTTCGTGCCGCTTCGAACGACCCTCCTAGCGCTTGAGCGCTTCAGCCCGCGTCGGCGTAGGCACCGAGATCATCCCCGTGTCGCAGCTCTCGGGGTCGCAGCAGTTGGAGGCGAGACCACCGGGTTTTGCCCCGCTTTCTGCTTGTGTTTTGTTCAGCGGGGAATATGTATTATATATATACACATGTATATACATGCATGCAACTGTACATATATATATATATATATTTCCATGTGGACTTGGCAGAATATGATAATAAGGGTTTGCGTTTTCCCATGTGGAATTGGAATGGGATCTTTTTTGCAGGCTGCTTTTTTTCGTTGTACCATTTTTCAGATTTGTTTAAAGGGAAGCATCCCCCTGGTGCAAATGAGTCGCTCGCACCCAAGGACGATCATGATGTGTATAGCATCCTAGAGACCATTTGTTAGAACCTGGGTTGGGGCCACCCAACCTTCGCCCTCATGCCATTAGGAAATGAAGGTTGCTCGCCAACATTCCATGCCAACTTGGGGGCAGACTGCATATTGATCATGGCTCATATGAGGTCCGATGAAGAGTTCCAATAGTCCAATCGTCTACGGTTGGTTTGGGAAGGACCGGGGACTCTCTCTAATTTGTCCATGTTCATTGATAGTCAGCAGATGTTGATTCTTGGTAAATATGGTTTTTCATGACCCCTGATGGCTCTCCAGATCAGCATGGAATCCCCTTCCAGCACATTTGACGCCTTCAGGTTCCGTGTTGATTCCAGAACCCAGGCATTCACGGGGAAATGGATCCATGTTTGCACGGGTTTTTCTCTCATTCAGGGGGCCGATCTGCCTCCTTTTCCCCGCTTTTAAAGAGCAAATGGGGGTGTTAGTAATAGGTTGTGAGGGCTTACTCAAGATTTTGCATGACCTTTATCATATGGGCTTCCAAGTGCGAACATCCTCCAACTTCTAAGGCAAACTCGCGCGAATGCCTAACAAGTAAGTGAGAGTCAATCTAAGACCGACACAAAACAAAACAGGTGGAACACTGTTTTTGCTGTTGGTTTGGGACGACATGCGCGACAGCGGAACTTTTAGACAGAAGAAGAATGGGGCTGTTCATACCATTTTGGGGAACGAATGTGTTTGTTTTGTGGCCTCTGTTTTCTTTGCAGAATCTGTGTCATTGTTGTTAGGCTGTGTATCTCCTTTGCAGAGCCTGGGAGGACAAAAGGCCCTCCAATCTCCGAGGATTGCCCGCTGTTGACTTGTGTTTGGACAGGTTTCCTTCCTTTATCCACTAGGAACATCGCTCAGTCATCACGGACAAGCATTTGTCAGTTTGTTTTGTTTGAAGAAACGACCTCTTGACTTGCAGTTCCTACGACTGGCACGTGGGAAAGCGCGGTTGTGTTTTCCGTCCTTCTTGTTCGAGCTACGTTCTGTGATACCAAAGGTGGCGACTTCCACGACCACAAACTTAAAACAAAACAAATCCCGTTGCCACCTGTTCACATAGCAGTCACTCTTCCCGTGCGTGACTGGTGGCACAGACAGGGGGGAGGATTGGCCATGCCATGAAATAGTTGGTTGTAAGGGGGAAGGAACGCAACCATTTGGGTGTGTTCTGTAATAGGGACTCCCCCCCCAAAAAAAAAACAACAACAGGGGATGGTTTCCCTTGGGCTATCCGTTTGAATCAGCGAAGAAATGGCGCCACTCATGTGTGGGGTAGCCAAACTTTATTTCAAGGCGACTGGGTTGCGACATTCGCAGGATATCTTGGACAAGTTTTTCAGCTTCGAGTCCTCTTCTCAGAGGCCAGGAAGGAGTCAAGTGAGCCAGGCTAACACACCAATGCCCGAATTCATTTGTAGTCAACCCGGGGAGCTGGGGGAGAGGTGAGAGGGGTGTTTGGCCAAGTTCAAAGGGGTTTGCTCTTCTCTGAGGAAGCGATTCGGGGAAGGGTTTTTGCTGCTGAGGAGTGCTGTGTTGCTCTTTTAGCATTGCTTCCTTTTGGCACTTGTCCAGATCCGACTACGGGAGCCCTCTGACAGGCACGAAAGGTGATATTTCTCCCAATATTTAGACTAGGTCCAGTAGTGCCCTTTTACCCCTTTTTTGGGGGAGGGTTCCCGTCTTTACTGGAGGACCTAGTAGAGGCTTCCATTCATCCCGACTGCTTCTTGAATGGATTTTGTGTGTCCATTGGTTGGTTTCCCCATGGATTTATACCAAGAAGCAACCCCCCAAAATGGATTCGGACGCCAAATGGATTTCCTTGTCCTTTAGGTCCAAGACAAACTAACGAACCAAGGGTGAGGATGGACACCCAACTTTTCCTCGGCGAGGGCTATTGACAGGAGATGGATGTTCCCCGATTTTCCCAAACCTGGCCCCGCGAGAAGGTTAGCAGAAAATAAATATCCAGCACCTCCCCCCCCACCTGCTTTTCCCCATGTTCAATATCCCGTTTGTACCATCCAAAGAGCTGGTTCTGTTATTCAGGGCCACGTAGATCCAGCAAGCCGTGGACAAGCTGCCCCTTTCTGCCTCATTCAGGCAAATTGAAGCTGCGAGCTCATGGCTTGCAGGCTGCTTCCTGGATCAAAGTTTGTTTCCTCAGGCAGATGTTTCTGTTCGCGGAGGTATTTCCCCTGTTGACACGGAATCTGACTGAAGGTCGCTGGACCATTTTGCTCTTGGGATCTGTAGGCTTTGTTGCTTCGCTTCGCTTTTCGCAATCCGGCGCTGCAAACAGATTTGGGTGTGTGTTTCTTTTTGAGGCTACCATCTATTTGTTCTTTTGGCTCGGACATTTCAAAACACACTTTTAGGGTTCCCCTAAAGAAAGACACACCCACGGGGATAAGTCGATCAGGATGCAGCCGGGTTTGTACCATGAGGGTTCTACCACCTGGGAGGAACTTGGTGCTCCAGCTGGACGCGCTCAGCGGGGCTTCCAGGCGCGAAATCACGAGAGGTGGTGCGATAGGGAATGACCGTTCCAGGTAGGAATAAACCGGAAGGGGATTCCCTAAACGGAAACCATGGGGGATGGTTTATGGGGGTCATTCCAGCTCACGCCCTGCTGAGAACTAGCAAGTTTTGTTTGTTGGGTTCCCAATTGATGGTCACCTGCCAATTTGGGAGCGCTTCAGCTGGGTTCAACGGCTTGCCTGTCAACGCTTGTGATCAAAGTGACGTGCCCGAGGTTTGCACGACTCAAGTTGTAAGCTTCTGGACTTCATGCGTTTTGAGCAGACCTTGCTGGTGGTAATCAACCAGTTTGGGCTTGGTCGTGGCATTCCAGTTTGGAATTGGAAAGCAGAAAGCTCGCCCCTCTGCCCCACTCTTTTAGCGGCTTGAGACTGAAGCTCAGGTTGGGACATTTTGCCTATAGCTCCCCCAAGAATCAGTCAGTGCGCTTTAGACAGACCTGAAGGCGGGGTGTTGGTGCTGGTGTTTTCTAATTTGTTTGGGCTCCGTTTTTTGTCCCCCACCGACAGGCTAGCGCTGACCAAGCACTGCTGCACAGAAGCGCGCAACAGGCGCGGAGCATGGATGACTAAAGTCCCGGCTGGGTCCCTTCAAGGATACATTTGAGCCAAGTCAAACAATGCATTTAGCAGTTGATTTCGAGGATCCCTTGTAATCAGGTTGTTAGGGAACCCTGGTTTGCCTTTGGGCGTGGCTTCCTTTAAATCGCCAGCTAATGGTGAGGATGTCACTTTTATTGCCGGCAACCTTCTCTCTGGCCATTTACCAGGGCAACCCATTTTGAGGTTACCCTATTTTTGACCCATACCCAAGTAGGTTTCCCTTTTTTTCAGCTGAACCTCCTACCAAAATAAGTCGGCAGTGTTGGTTTCCCAGAATCCCGGCCACCGGAAGGTTGCTGCGAGGGAATCCGGTTTGTGCTTCCTTTCGCAACTGGGTGTGTCCTTTTTTTGGGGACCCCTCGTTTTGACGCTTTTAACAGGAAAGCAAAGGAACACCGCAGCCATTTTTGGGGGTCCGAAAACAAGAGAGTTGCGCTTTCTTTCGACCTCTCTCTCTCTCTCTCTTCCTCGTTAAAATCGGTTGTTACTTTGCTTGCAAGTGCAAGTGCTGTAGTGTTCAAACAAACAGTCAACCAATGTAGTCTGCAGCTGCCAACCTTTTGACTCATGCGGAGTAGTAAGCTCAAGGCCTGCGGTAGTGAACATACATGCAACAAGGGTGCAAAGTGAAGCATGTAGTTTGACACGGCCCCTCAGTTAAAAGGTCTTTGTAGTACCTTTTCAACTGAAGTGCAAAACATGGATTGACAGTAGTGATGAAAACCATTGTTGTTCATCAATTCTACTGTATTGGCAAAAGTAGTGACCTGCGCTCAGTAGTTCACGCTGTTCAGGTTCCAGCTCGATGTAGGGCGCTGGACGGAAGTAGTGAAGGCAGGCACTCGTTGTAGTAGAGCAGGAGCTCAAAAATGTAGTCCCCATTTCTGGGTGCGGTAGGCTTGGACCATCTGTAGTCGACTGTCCAAGGTCGCGTAGTAGTTGGTGGTGAAAAAGGTTGTCATGTAGTTTGGAGCTCCCCGTAGTCGCTCATCATCAATCTCGGGACACGACATGTGTTGGTCGTAGTCCCGTAGAAAGCGGTGTAGTAGTGCTTTGTGGTGTTGTGTGAGGTTGGTCATTGTGAGTAGTGTGAATCCGTAGTATTGGATGCTTTTGCAGAGGATTGTAGTGATTGCTTTGTGCTGGAAGTCGTGTAGTTGGTCTCGGTTGTAAAGGTAATGGAGTAGTTCAGGTAGAAGTAGTGGCATGTGGTAATTCCAAACGTAGTTGTTCCTGAGGCTGTAGTTGTCAGTGAAGGTGGTCATGTTGTAGTTCACCTTGTAGATGGTCTGTGGCAGTGTTGTAGTCGGGAGGTAGTAGTTGTGTTGTACCGACATCATGTAGGAGATGTAGTCTCTTGTGAAGTGTAGAAATTGTCCTGAAGTGAGGTACCTCAGGAGTAGTGGTTGTTCAATCTGGAGTTGGATGATGACGTAGTTGGTGTTGTCGCCAGTTGTATTGTGGAGTGAAGTCGTGTGGTAGTAGTGCACGTTGGCTGCTTCAGGTAGTGAAATGCTGAGCAGTGTGGAATTGTAGTGTGGCATCCGAAGATCTCCAGGGATGCAGTGAATGGGTCGTGTGTAGTCCAGTTGTGCCAGTGGAGTAGCTTGTTGTTGTGAGAGTAGTTGATACTCTTCAAGTGTAAATGCAGTGAAAAATTGAGTGTAGGGAATGTTGTCGGGCAGTGGTGGTGCAGTGGTTGTCTGGTGCTCAGTGATGTGTAGTTGGTCCATCACTGTGGTCGGGTTGTAGTAGACGGTGTTGCCGGGTGTAGAATGGTTGAAGTGGTAGTTGGAGTCGTTGTAGGTTTGAGGTGGTGGAGTTCCATGGTCACTGGAGTCTGTAGTGACCGCCACCTCAGGTGTAGTCGCCCTGTCGGGCGTAGTGGCGTCTCCCATCGTAGCATCTGCAGTAGATGGAGCGGCCATGGCTGCAGTGGAATGCAAAATGTAGTGAAACGGGGCAAAACAAATGAGCCTAAGTAGTTGCTACCAGGCAGTCGGCGAATGCAGACATGTAAAACAAACAACTGTAGTGTTGACTCAAGCCGCCAAAAGTGCAAGTGAAAGTACATGTAGTTACTGTTACTTACATACCAAAAGTGTCGTGTTACATGTAGCTACTTACATACATGAAATGTCCAAAGTCGTTGTTGTTGTTGTGAAACTGCTGTGCTGGTCGTTCGTAGTGCTAAATGCGTATTCCAATGCTCTGGATGAGCCTGTGTAGTGTTTCTTTGCTGATGCATTTGGTAAACAAATCTGCGCTGTTGTGGAGTGTGTTGATCTTAAGGATTCTGATGATGTCGTGCTTGATGAGGTCTTGTGTGTAGAGGAATTTGAGGTCGATGTGTTTTGCTCGTTTGCTAGTGCCTTGTCGTGTAGCAATGCTCTTGCCTGCTGTGGAGTCTGTGTGGATGCGTAGGTTTAGCTTGCTGCAAATGTTGGTTTCAAGTAGGAAGTTTCTGAGGTGTAGTCCCTCATTAACTCCTGTGCAAATGGCGTAGAGTTCAGACTCTGCTGAGCTGAGTGCTATTGTAGCTTGTGTTCTGCTGCCAAATGCAACTGTCGTTCCTAAAAAGATGATGTTGAAACCTGAAGTTGATTTCCTGGTAGTAGGGCATCCTGCCCAGTCGGCATCGACATGAACGTCGAGATCCAGGATGTTGTTGGTGTTTGCTCTGAGTGTTGTTGTTGGTTCTATGGTGAATTTGTAGTGCTTGGTGCCGTGCAAGTAGCGTAGTAGATGTTTGACTCTCTTTTGTGAAAGTTCTGTAGGTGCTGTGAGGTCTCGTGCTAGTTCTTTTGTGGAGTATGCAATGTCTGGTCGTGTGTATGCTAACCATTGAAGTTTGCCAACAATTCTTCTGTACCTTTTGTGTTGTTCGTGGTCAAGTAGTGCTTCATCTTCTATTGTTGGTTTGTAGTGTGCAATTCCTGGAGTGTTTACTGAGTTGCAGTTGTTCATTCCAGACTCCTCGATCATGTTGTCGATGTAGGAGTCCTTTAGTCCAAGATTGCAGTAGTTGCCGAAGTGGTCGATGTTTCTTCCAAGAAATTGTTGTGGTTTGCCAGGTTCGAGGTAGCCGATGTGCTTGAGTAGTACCTGCTTCTGGACGGCCTCGAAAGTGGAGTCGACTGCGGTCTTGTCTCCAAGTACTAGTAGATCGTCCACGTAGACCATGATGTAGCAGTCGCGAGTCGCATTGGTGTAGACGTTGGGTTCTGACTTTAGTCTTACAAAGCTGAGCTTTTGTAGAACTTCAGCCAGGTAGTCCTGCCATGCTTTCGGTGAACTGCGTAGTCCATACATGGCTTTCTTTAGTCGCCAGATTTTGTCCTGTTGTGGACAAAGTTCTTTAGGTGGCCAAAGGTAGACGTCACGTTGTTTACCGTCGTGGTCTTTTGCGATGGGTGCGTGTAGAAATGCTGTAGAGACGTCACCTAGTCGCGCGATCCAGTTTGGTCGTGACATTTGTAGTGCGAGAAGTGTCCGGAGTGTCGTGAACATTGGTGTAGAGGCGTAGACGGAGTCTTCGTCCTCGATCTTCTCGGTGTAGCCTTTTGCGACGATTCGGCTTCGTACTCCTGGTCCTTTCTTTCTGTGTACCCATCTTGTAGGTATCGCTTCTCTGATGACGTTGTCGTTGACGGTAGACGCATCTACTTCGTCGTAGACGTCGTGTAGTTTCATTTGATTTGACTCGTGTTTCATTCCTTCCAGTAGTTGTGTTTCGTCGTAACCTTCGTTGTCGAAGATTATGGGTTGGTCTTCTGAGGTGTCGTCGTTTGTGTAGGGAGTGATGGATTTTCCGTTGGGAAGTGTCACTGCGTTGATTTTCTGTCGTAGTGGTGGTGGTTCTTTGGTTGCTTGCTCCGTTGATCTGATTGTAGTGTCCTTTGAGGTCTTCTGTGCTTTAGTTGGTTGCATTACTTCTTCCGGAGTTAAACGTCGTAGTGTTTGTCGAGGTGGTGCTGGTAGTGGTGGATGTTGTCGTCCAGTTGGTGAAGTAGCCATAGGACTATCCGGTAGTGGTCGTGAACTTGACGTCGATGTGGACGGAAGTCGTGGAGGTGGTGTAGTGCGTTGTTGTTTTGTTGCGGGTTCCGCAACGATGTCGTCCGTAGCGTTCGTTTGTTGTCCGAAATCTTGCGTGGACCTCCTTTTCTCTGACGGTTGTAGTTGCGTATCCAACAGTGTCGCGAATGATGGGTTGTAGGTGTTCCGTCGTGGTGCCCATGGTGTGCCGGAAACTTTGTTCAACAGTGCGAGGTCGTATTTGAAGTCAGGTTGTAGTCTCCGTACTGTTCGTACCTTTTGTACGCCTGATTCCGTTGCGACGTAGTTTTCTCCGGTTTCGGAAACTTTTCCGAGCCAGATGCATCTCTGCATCCGTAGGTCTGCTTTCGGAAGTTTTTTGTGTTGTGGTGGAAGGTAGAGTAGTGTCTCGCCAAATTCGCAGATTGCTCGCTCGTAGTTTCTTCCCCAGCGGCGTTCAAAGCTTGTGTGGCCGTCTGAGTGGATGACGTAGCGATTTACATGTCGTACTATTCAAGGTAGTAGACAGTGCTTTGTGGACATCGTCATGCTGTAGTTGCTTTCAACCTGAGCTTTGACGACGCGGATTTGTCCGAGAAGTGTTCTATGTAGTCGCTCAACGCTTCCTTGACTGTTGCTGCTGTAGGAAGGTGAATGTCGTACACTCATTGTGCCGACTTTTGCTGCTGTAGCTTTTAGAAGTGCGTTGAGTGTGTCTTCGTTGTCGCTTTGTAGTATGCCTTGTGTTCTTCCGCACTCAAAGATGAATGCTTGTAGGTTGTTGACCATGTAGTCCATCATTGATGCTTTGTCTGGAACCAATACTGCCACACACAGTTGTGTAGTAACATCAACTGCTGTCAGTACCGGTGTGGTCTTTGGGTCTTGTTGTGACTTGATGTAGGCAAAGTCTACTTGAATGACAGGTTGTCGTGATTGTTGTTTCTTGTAGTTGTCTTGGCGTCCTTTGCCTTGAACGCAAATTGGACACCAGTTTCTGTATGGTAGATGTGTAAGGTTGTGTTCTGCTATTTGTTGTGGAGTGGGCTGCTGTGGTTGTCGTAGTCCTTTTGCTCTGTGTGCTTCATGATGCTCATGTTGTTGTTCTTCATCGTGGTTCTCCTGGATGTACTCGTAGTCTTTCTTCACGGTAAACCTTGTTGTTCCTTTCCATTGAAATGGTAGTGCTGCGTTGCCCATGACTGTCCAGTCATCTTTGCGTTGTGAAACTTCTCCAAAGTTGTTGTGAGTGATTGTAGTTCTGTGAGGTTCAAGTGTGTTGATTGGTGGATGTCCTGGTCCATCTGTTGGAGTGAAGAGAGTTGTTCTAAGCGTTGTGTGGTGTCGTATCCAGTGTTCACCTTGTCTTTCCCAGTAGTCTTGGTTGTCCTCCTGTGCTGTGAGTGGTCTGTGTATTGTCTCCTTTGGTTGTGTGGTGTCAAGATTTGTAGAAGGTGCTGCTTTGGGTCTCCATATCTTTTGTGGTGCTCGTAGTTGGATCTTTGATCTGGTTGGTGGTGTGTCCATTAGCCGTTGTGGTTGTGAGCTCTGCCTTGTTGGTGTGGTCTTTGATGTTGCTCTGCGTGTAGGTGTTATCTTTCTTCTGAATCTGGTTTCTCCAGTCCAGTTGTCACCTTCTAGTCTTCGTTGTAGTTCTTGCTTGGAAAGTTGTGTTGGGTTCTCTTGTAGTTGTTCTTGCTCTTGCCCTTGTCTGTTGATGATGGTTAGTCTCCAATCATCTAGTTCTCCTTCTGGTATTGGGCAGCCACTGTTGTGTGGTGTGAACAGTGCTTTGCGTGGTCGTTTGTGTACTCTGATGGCGTAGTCACCATCAAGTTTCCAGTAGTCAGTGTTTCCACCAAGGATCTGTCGTAGTCCTTGGTCTGTGTGTGTGAGTGGTGCGATTTGTTCTTGTTGTTGTGCTGCTCTCTCTGTAGGTTGAATCACAGCAATGGATTTTCCATTGTCTGTAGTCATTGGGTAGATGTCGAATCCTGTAGGAATGTCGATCTTCTCTGCTCGTAGGTAGAAAAGTCCTGAGTGTCTTATGAGGTGTGCTTGTTGTTGTCCATGTGTGATGGTGCAGTGTCGTGGAGTGAAGTCAAGTCCATATCCTCTATCAAGTAGTCTTGATGCGCTGAGGATTGGATACTTCACATCACAAACGTAGTAGGGTATCATGATCCTGAAGTTGTCCTGCTTGTAGGGAACGTACTTGATGCCGTAGACTGGAATCTTCTTGTTGGTCACCGTGTAGAGTTGTGGAACTGATTCTCCACAGGGTCGTAGTGGAAGATCCGGTGCGTAGTCCTTTGGGCAAACATGTGTAGATGCTCCTGAGTCGATCAACAGGTGGTGGTATGACTTGAAGTTGGAGTACATGATGTAGTGGGTGATAGTGTCCTCAATCTTCTTGTTCCTTTGTTGTTGTCTTGCTGCTGCTATGTCGAAGTGTAGCTTTGTGGTGTCTTCTTGTAGGAATTGTTGAAAGCTCTTGCTGTGGTCGTTCCATGATGTTGTGTGTGTTGTTCTCTTGCCAAGTAGTGATTTGGATTTGTGCGTGTGTAGTCGTGATTTTGCTTGTCTGATGTGTCCAAATGGTGAAGTGTGACTCGTTGATGCCTCCAATGTAGTTCGCTGTGTCCTCATCGCTGTTGTCATTCCAATCCCAGCTGTTGTCATAGTCGTAGTCGTTCCAGTTCTCCTCCATGTAGTTCACCTCATGTTGTCCTTCTTCTCCTTCGTAGTACCAGTCCCAAGTGTCGTTCACATCCTGAGGTAGTTCATCATTTTTGTCGTGATCTGCTTGTTCTGGTTCTAGTGGATGTAGTTCTTCTCCTTCTCCTATGTGCCATACCGGCACTCTGCAGTCTTGTGCCCAGTGGCCGGGCTTGCCACATCGATGGCATGTTGTGTAGTTGTTGTTTCCTTTTCCTTTCGATTTGCTGTAGTTTCCTTGGCCTTTGTAGCCTTTGCTTGATCCATATCCTTTGGATCCTGAGTAGCCTTTTCCTTTGCTCTTGTTGTATCCTCCTTTGTTGTAGTTTCCTTTGCGGCCTTTGTCGAATCCTTTGTAGTGTCCTTTACTCCTGTACTTGCCTTTGCTCTTGCTTCCTTTGTAGCCGCCTTTTCCTTTTCCTTTGCCTTTGTAGCTTCTTCCTTTCCTCCATATGTTGTCAACATCCATTGGTGCAGTTCCTCCTCGGTGTAGTTCGTGATCTGTCCAGCTCGCAGTTGGAGGTGTTGCTGCAGTGCTCCTTTGGTTTTGTTGAGTAGTATTGCTATTTTGATTCCATCTGGTAGTGCTGTTCCATTGTCTTTCTCGTAGCGGTTGATGTCGTATTCCCATTGTAGAAATTGTTCTTCAAACTGCGCTTCGTTGAATGTGGGTTCCAGTAGTTTGGTAAGGTAACCAACGCTCCTTGTTCCTACTGGTAGGCTGAACCTGTTGTGTAGTAGTCGTAGTGTTTCACATCCGTTTGCGTTGTAGCGGTTTTGCCTTACTACTGTAGCTGCTGCTCCCTGACAGATGTTGATGAGGATGTAGTGTAGATCTGGAGAGGTCTACTGCTTTGCTTGCTTGTGTAGGGTCGAGTATGTGTGTTCTGATGTCTGTGTCCTCAATCTGTCGTGTAGCCACTTGTGCTAGTTGTAGCACCAGGTCGAAGTCTCGGTCTATGATGGGAGTAGTCACCAGTGAAGAAGGGTGGTGGCAGTTTGTATCTATGTAGTCTCTGAACGTCGTTGTCTTGTTCTGTTCCTCCTACTGTGTCTGCTGTTGGCCCGTTCTCTGCTCCTGTAGTTTGTTGTGCTGAGGCTGATGCTGCTTCTCCTGACATGTCGTAGTAGTTTGGCATGTGGCTGCTGTTGCTGTTGTTGTAGTACTTACTGCTTACTGGAGCTCCCCTATGTTTAGGATCTCAGCTCCGCTACCACGTTAAAATCGGTTGTTACTTTGCTTGCAAGTGCAAGTGCTGTAGTGTTCAAACAAACAGTCAACCAATGTAGTCTGCATCTGCCAACCTTTTGACTCATGCGGAGTAGTAAGCTCAAGGCCTGCGGTAGTGAACATACATGCAACAAGGGTGCAAAGTGAAGCATGTAGTTTGACACCGTTTTTGGGGGTCCGAAAACAAGAGAGTTGCGCTTTCTTTCGACCTCTCTCTCTCTCTCTCTCTCTTCCTTCTCAGATTTTGGATTGATAGCATTCTACATCTGCATCATTCGAATCATCCCTTTGGATCAGGTGGCTAGGGGCTTCATTATGTCCATATCGCGAAACCAACTTTGTCAAATCGGGGACAGGTGGGGGACAACAAGAGAGGTCGGGTTGCCACGTAAGATAGAGCATCCGGTTGGTGACTCCGGAATTTTATAGGCAAACGAAAAGCTGAGCATGATTAAGACATGCCAGATATTAGGAGCCCTACAGGGCAGCATGTTTTAAGATTCATCTACAGTTGTTTACATGTTTATCATGTTCAACGTGTCTTACTCATGGCATGTAAAACTGATCAAAGAACGACTTCCCTGCAGTGTAACATGGAGCCACAAAAGGTTTCTTGGAGGTTCCTCCGTTTTTGAGGCATGCCACATCAAGCTGCTGCAGAGCTCACTTCTCCAGTTTGTGGACTCAATGGAAGGATCATGTTTGCGGCAAAAAAAGTCTCGACTTTCGGCCAATCCACTTACTAGGTCCCCCAGTAGTGCCCTTTTACCTTTTTTTGGGAGGGTTCCCCTACTAAAATAGACTACTGGAAACAGGGTACCCTTATTCTAACCTCTCTACTGGAGGACCTAGCTTAGGAAGTGAGAGACCGTCATTTTTCTGATGAGCAGCTCGTTGGCGACGAGTTCGATTCGCCCCATCAGTGGGCGAGCTGCCGGCTTCAAAGCACAGCGTTTGGTGAGTCCGGGGCACTGAAGGTTTCCCATGCTTTGAACGTTGAAGACCAGCGTTCCATGAAGCACCCAGCAGGAGGTTTATCACAGATGTGTCCACGGGAGGCCAAAGTACTGAATGAGAGCCGTTTGAATTGACTTTCCCTTTTGGGGCTTTGTCTTTCACTTGGTTCCCAGCCGCCGGTTTCTTTGATTTTTGAAGTTTTTTCGGGTTTAGTGGTTGGGGTTTCCATTTTCTTCGGTTTTTGTTAGGCTTTTCTGGGTTTCAGTGGTTTGGTTTCCGTTTTACCCACTGAACGTGAAACTTTTCGCAGGGGATCTGAGGACAAGTCCGGTTCAGGTCCAAGGCTTCCTTTCTGACCGCCAGGGCGCGCACGAGCAACGCCCACATCTTTTTGATCCAGCACCGTGCCGGCTGGGTCTCGGAGAAGGAGGGCTTCCCGGCTTCAAAACGGTTGCGACGGGATCAGTGGATCACTGATCCACTATGATGAAAGTAGAAAGTTGTACAAGCATTTGCTTTCTACTTTCATCTATCAGAGGGACAGGAGCAGGGGAAAAGGGCAGCAAGGGAAGTGGACATCCTTGAGGATGAAGGTAGGGGTGAAAACCGCCATTTGGTTATGTGGGATGTCAGCGGTTTTGGACTCATTTGTATGTATATGTATGTATCTTGTTGGCTCCCAGCCATCCGGTTCCTTAGCCTTTTAGCTTTTTAGTGTTTAGTGGTAGTTTCCATTTAACCCACTAAAAGTCAAACTTTTAGCGAGGGATCTGAGGGCAGCCCAGATATCTTGTGGTTTCTTCCTTGGTTCTGTGAACCACCAAATGAAATCGTGACCTGACCACGGGTTTGCTCGGCAGGCTCCATGCTGAAGGTTCCTTCATTTTTGATTAGTGGGGTGGCTCACTAAAACTGGTCCATGCCAAAAAGAGTCCCCTTTTACACCTGGGTAGCTCAACTGTAGCTGGGTTGGGTAGACTCGCCCACGCGCCCCACAGGACGAGTCTCTGACCATTGGCAATCTATGGCGAAAAACCCAAGGTCCCTCTGAAACCAGGGAGACAATCCAATTTCCCATGCCCTTGTGACATTTTCCCTACGCAAGAACAAGAACACTTCGGCGCCTAACACCAGGTTACACTTGGCAGCCGCAGATGGGCTGGGAGTCGATCTTCGTGGACGACTTGCAAGGCGCGCAGTTTGGGGGCCCCCAACTGGTTGGACACGTGGCTGGACAAATGTATGGGGCCTCTGAAATTGGAAAATCTATCGGCCCCAAATCAAATTTTCTTCACCCGTGATTTGCTCTAACAGAGGACCAACCTTGATTTAGGTCCTCAGTTCCATTTCAGCAAAGCTGCCGTCTGCCTGGTTGTGCTTTTGTGGGAAGAGTTGCCTACCCCCAATATCAAACCTACCTCTTGGGGGCCACGCATTTTCCAACAACAGGGGTGGTCCCCTGCCACCCTGGCCGAAGAAACCTACACTTCACTATGGTCTCTTGGCTCTCCTTCGTCACGTGCCGAACAGTTTCTGCCAACTCATGCTTGGTTGAATTGGGAGCAACCCTGCAAAGATGTGTGGGCTCGGAGATTGAAGTTAACCTCGATGGACCATGCAGCTGTCAAATGTATGTCCCGTTACCCTCACTTTTCATGTCGCCAGGGTTGGCAGAAAGTTTGTCTTTGACACTGAAGCCCCTCAACCGCTGAAAAGGTTCCTCGAGCCGAAGAACCTTTCTGGAGCCTCGGATGCCTCCCCCTGGGCCCCGTGACTATGGTAGGACTAGATGGGCATCGCGAGCCAACGCGGGCTGTCGGCTCTCCAAGGGCTTTGAAAGCCCAATACAGTCAGGTTTTGAGTCGTTAAGCGATTGGTGTGTGCTCACACCCTTCTTTTCTTTGTGAGATTGGCTGGGGGGGGGGTCCCCCAGCATCACAAGGTTCCTTACTGTGTACAGGACGCACAAAGCCTTTTGCCAGCTGATCTAGAGGATTCTCTTCTAGAGCAGGTGGTTTTGGGATCTATCCTTCGAGCTTCCCTCCCTTCTGTTCGATTTAGCGGTTAATGCGGCTGACAGTGATGCCTCAAGGTTTGACCCCTTTATCAAGTTGACTTGGTGCGTCCCAGGCATACCCTTAGACTTTTCGACTCTTGTTCAGTTTCAAGGTAAGAACATCCCTTTTATTCCCTGCCAGATCAGGTGGTTTTGGGATCAATCCTTTAAGGAACCCTTCCTCCCAGCGCTTTTGCCAGACAAATCCAACTCGGTTCCGAGAGGATTCCCTCCTAGAGCAGGTTTGGATCTATCCTTTAAGACACCTCCCCTTAAGCAAAAAAACCTCCCCAGCCGATTTCGCGCGACCCAAAATTTCCCTCGCTGGAACGTGAGTGCGAGGCTCCGGAGGGGCGCCGGAGGGCCAGCTCATGGGCCAATCCTTGAAGGAGAGTCCGCATCCAGTTCCTGAGGCCTTAGCTTTGGGGTTTCGTGGGGGGGGCGTCCATTCAACATCCACGGAAAGTGAAACTATGAGCTTTGGGCAGGAAAGTTTTGAGGGTATTCTGTGGAAACAGAAAGGGCAAACAGAAACTCATTTTTGGGGGGGCCTCCCTGTGTTGACTGACACCATACCCAAATGTGCTCCAGGAACACGTCTTGGTACAGTATATGTCGACCCCGGACCAAGAAACCTTGTGGGTTGTTGGGGGCGGGCTCGCAAAAGTGAAGTGTTTTTGTTTTTCTTGTTTACATTTGATGCTCATCTAAGCAGGGTCGAGCCAGCGTATGGATCACATTTCGCACAACTTGGGCACAAGGGAAGCAGCCGGTATGGGGTCCTCTACTTCTAGCCCGTTCATGCTCGTTTCTCCCCGTTTGAGATCAACATGCTTTGGATTTGATCCAGGTTAGACAGTACACGCAGACCTCGAAACGCATGTCAAGGGGTATTGAACAAAAAGCCTTCAAGAGCACACCAATCACTCTGTTTAAAGATTTTGAAAGACCAATTCTTGCAACTTCATGATGTTGCTTTCTTTTTGAGAGGTGGCCAGGGTCGCACATTTTGCCACGAGGAGTTTCTACAGCTCTCGGTGCACGAGCTACAGCAGAAGCAGCGCATACCTTCGCTGGCACAGCCCCTCGGAGAGAGCAGTGGCGGCTGCGCACACGTAAGGAGTGTTCCTCGATTTAGAGGGTTGGTTCATTCTGGTTGCCCTTCAAAACCATCCAAGAAACGGTGTACCATTTTGAAGACCCCCCCCAACTTAAGGGGCGTGTGGATTCGGAGAGTTAGTTTTCCCGAAGCCCGAAACGGGAAACCACGGGAAACCAATCACCTGAGTGTTCTAACTTTGAGACACGCCCAGTGTGGTCCAAAGACCGGTTCCTTACGTGGGATTGGGATGGTGACCTGGGATCTTTTGCGGTGGGTCCGCAGGGTTTTGCTGGGGTCCATGACTTCTAATTTCGGGGTGAACTGATGCCTATGATGGCTGGAGCCAACCGGAAAGCGCAAAGGGCGCTGGTCTGAGGAAGCACGTGAAGCCGAAGCTTTTTGGACTTGGCCCTCTGGTTTCCTTCAAATAGGGTCCTAATCAGGCCAGTTGTCTAGTTTTGAGGAAACAGGGGGGTTCCACTTTCATGCAAAAGGAAGTGGAAGCACTGGGTGCGAGCTCTAAGTGATAAACCACACACCACGACAGCATTTTTACCTTTTGGTTCCCTTCGGGGTCTTCATTTTCAAATGTGTATATATATATATACATACATACACATATCTTACAGTGGACAAAAAGCTAACCAGATTCTGACCACATTTTTTTGTATGCCTCTTGGGCCAAGACCGGGCTTGGATTGTTGGTTTGGGGGTTGAACCCCTGGATCTTCGAATCTTGTGGAGAACAAGTGGGAATCCACTTCCCAAACTGCTTCGGAGAAGTGAGTCGATCAGAATCCAAACCACTGCTTGGCATCGTTTCAAAGTAGAAATCGGTACCCCCTCTCCCCCCCAAAAAAACTCAAAAAAAGTACTTGGAATTCCTTGGGCAGCTGAACCGGCTTCTCTCCAAGTCGGGTCGATGGAATTCCAGTCGAGCCTCACAGAATCTCCAAAAATACACCTGGCCCTTGGGCAGCTTGCCTCGGCTTCTCTCCGAAGCGCGTCGATCGCCTGCCGACAAAGGTAAAGCCAATTGTCAATGGTTTTGGGCAGTGCCCACAACGTTCGTAGATTGGATGGCGTGGGGTACACTCCGCAAGTCTGGAGGTACTCACCCATAGGTGTCCTTTCTGGTTGTTTTGGCAAGAACAATTAGATATGGCGATTCCTGATTTTCCTGGTGGTTTCATCATCTACCATGGAAACCCATCCATTTCCCCTCAAACTATACACCCATGTACTCCCCCAGTCGCCCAGCTCCGAGGTTCCGCAGCTCCGCGTCGGGTCGAAAAAAAAAAATCTTCTCAGGACGCTGCTGGCGCGGGGCACCACGTGCCTGGCGCGCTGCGTGCCGCCGTCCCTGGGCCTGGCCCAGGTGGCGGAGCGCGTGCGCGCGGTGCGCCAGGCGCTGCAGGACTTGCCCGGCTTCGTGGAGGCGGATGGGCTCGGATCGGATCGGGGAGGTGGTGGTGGCGCTTGGCCATGCCGTTGCTTTGCCTGGAGGGTGTCCTTTTGTTTCCCTTTGACACCCCACCCCAAAAAGGGTGGCATCAAAAAGACACGCCCAACTGAGGTCGCATAGAAACCCACAGATTCATTGCAAAATGGGCCAAGAAGGTACCCCTACAATTCAGGGGAACTCGCAGCTGCTCATCAGCCCCTCAGGGTTTGAGACCATTTGTTTCAGGAGTTTTGTTCAACTTGTTCACTGGGCTAGAAGCATAAGTGGCATGACTAGGGTTGGCTACCATGGTTCTAACCTGTGTGTGGGTCAAAATTATACCACCACCGCAGGTGTTAGTCCTTGTTTCCTTTTCCAGGGTTCCGTTTTGGGCACCTATTTTTGACCCACACCCAAATGACCATAGGTGTCCTGTTTGGTTGTTTTGGCAAAAAATAATAATAGATGGCGATTCCTGGTTTACCTGGTGGTTTAATAATCTACCAGGGAAACCCATCTATTTCACCTCCTCATTGCTTTTTCATGGTAATTGGAAATTTGAGCCGTACGGATGGTTGCGGATTCCGGAAATCGCACCGTTCAGAAATCCTGGTTTCTGATGGTTCCCCTGGAAATACCAGCAAGCGTTATGGTTTCACCAATGCAGGTTTCAAAATGGTGCGAAACGGAATTCGTCCATAGTAGGTGGCCGCTTTGAGGTACGCTCTCAAATACATGGCACTGGTATGAACTTAGTTCTAGTCATCTGCCGGTTGCCATCGAGTTTTTCCCAAAATGGCACCTATGATTCATGGATTGAAGGCCCACGGGTGTGGACAATGATTCGCAAACACAGATTGCCCTACTCCATGGTTTGATAAAGGGGTGTTCGATTTTTGCGGATATTTCCCCAAAAGGAAACTCACCTGAACCATTGCCGCAAAAGGTGACGTTTTATGCCTCCAAAAAGGGACAGGTTGTTTCCGAATGTCACAATGGACCAAAGGGAAAAGGGGATCACGGAAACCCAAAGGGGAGAAGGGAAGACTAAGAAAGCAACTAGAGAGGGGAAGCTACAACGACAATTGGCACGGGCTTGGTTTCTAAAGGAAAGCAACAAGGGAAGATTGTGTTGTTGTTTGTGTATTTTCTCAAGTACGGGACACAAAAGGACAACTACAGGGAGAACATGTTGGTTTCAATGAAAAGCACTTGGTTTCCACTTTAGGAAAAGTCATCCGTTTCCGGTGTCTCCTCCAGCACATGAAAAAAGAAAAAATCCTTTTAGGGTCGACGATTCTGTGGGCCGCCTCCCTGGTCGCCCGAAATGAACTGGAGGCGGTGGAGTCTTTGGCTATGCTGGTGCTGATGCAGTGGAGACCAGAGCAGAACGGCCTCCATTTGCACCTGCACCTTGGCGCTGGCATGGGTCGAGGTCCCATGTCCAGTCGAGCCGGGTGATGAGCCATGAACACTTTGAACATTTGTTGTGTGGCAACGAAATGAACCCGATGTCGATGTCGTTATCTTTGAAAAAGGCCCCTGGCTGTTTCTGCTCGCTTTTAGAGGGGTTGTTGTTAAACACATGGATTCTTTCGGGCCCTGGTGCCGCCTTGTGCCGCGTTTAAAGGGGAACCGTTTAACAATAGGCCCCCTACTTTTCACAAACCTTCAGATGAGCCCCACAATCCAAACCCGAATAGAATAGATGAAGGTTAAGTGACAATCCCTACAAGCGAGCGTTATGGAAACTCCGCTGGTTTTCCTTTCCATTTCCGGGCTCGGACTCGGATTCCACCACAGGAAGCTGGCGATGCAGGAGATGCGCTTCGGAAGCCTGCGGAAGTCGGCGCCTCGCCGATTTGCGCGTGCCGATGTGCAAGATGGAGCCACCGTCTGCGCCAAAACTGTTTGGTCTGGCGTTTTTGTGGGTACCTGTTTTGGGGTTGGTTTAAAGGGACGCCAAATGGAAACGACCCAAAAAATGGAGGCCCCCTAGTTTAAGACACACTCATACTGTATTTTACTGGGTTGCTCCAAGCCGCCCGCACGAGCACAAGGTTTTGCTTCCAACAGGTCGAAAAGGTGATTTGCTCACACCAAGACCAGCCAAGCTTAGGGTAGGCTAAATATGAAACATGAAGTATTTGTTTGTTGTGCCTCAGATGTGAGCAATGCTTTGAAATTGACTGACAAAAAAGTACGACCAAGAGGGGATGGTGGCAGTTATTTCACAGCACGACCTGGTTTGAGTTCCAGTTCACCATAGCATACACAAAAAGCCCCTTCTTTACCCAGAGAGGTGTTTAAGACCGTTTCATGAGTCTTGCAAGTTATAACAACGCCAGGCTTCCTCTCACTGACTCCTTTCATTGAAATCCCGGAGGTTCAGTCGAATTTAGACCAATTGCCCAGCTATTGGGTTGGAATCCTACGATGCACAGAATTTGCGCGCCGGAGGCTCAAGACCCGAAGTGAAGGGTAGGAAAGGACATCCATGGGTTCCGATACGTTGCGCGTTTATAAACACTATATGGTTTTGTGGCCTTTTCGGTCAGTTTAATACCACCCAGTGAATCCCAGTTGCCGCTGTAGCAGGCAACCAACCATTTCCTCTTGGTTTAAGTGTGTGAAGCGGAAGAGCGGCTAGCCCTTAGCTACTATACAGTGCAATGCAACTAACCTTGTTTTGAGTACTCAGATGACTTCAGGGGCGGTTTCAGGGCTAGGTGAGGCAGTTTCCTTTTTCTGCCACTACAAGTTAAATCTTGGAACAGCCCAGTTTCAATACCATCTTTTGGTTACGAATCGACTTCACCTGTGGCAACTTTTGTTGCCCGAGGTGTGGCTGTCCATTGAGCGGCTGCAGCTGTCAGCGCTCACGCACGCGCTGCGCTGGCTGGAGCTTTGGCGGAGTATCGGCGCTTTCGGAGCTTGAGAAACGTCCAGGTCCCGGACCTCTGGAGTTGGTTTTTCCCTTATCGTCCTTTTCTTCAGAAGGGGTTCGTTTTTTTAGAATAGTTTGGGGGTCTGTTTTAGTTTGTTGAGGGATTCCTGTTTAGACGTTTGGAGTTTTTTTTTTGTTTTAATAGAATGGTTTGGAGGGATTCTTTTTTTGGATCAGCTTGGAAAGATTCTGGTCTAGAATATGTTGTGGAGGCCCATTTGTGCCATGGAAAGCCTCTGATTGGGGCAAAGTCTGCAATTGATTCCTTGGAGGTTGAAAAAGCGAACTGGGTGTGTCTTAGCAGAGGGGACCCCAAGCCCAAGAATGGCGGCTTTCCTTGTGGTCTTGGTTTCCCTTTAAAACCACTCAAGCACGGCAGTGGGGAATGGCAGAAACTGAAGGATGACTGCCGTGGGGACATGGGTACCAACCGGAGGCGGCAGTACCAACCAGTGATTTTTCAACTCGAGAGATCCAACGGTTCTGGTTTTACTTAGAGGCAAGCCGCCATTTCAGAGGGTCCCCCAAAAAACCGACACACCCATGTGGCGTAGAATGATCCCTGGACATGCTTGTTGCAGAATCGTCGTCCTGAGTTCCAAGTTGATCGCGCCAGACTATATCGAATGTGTTGCCTTCAAGGTTGGCGCCAGCCACGATGGACGGAACTCGGAGGCTATCTCCAAGCGGATACAGAAGCGGTATGCTTGTGTGCTTGTATGCTTGTATACTTAGCCTTTCTTGTGTCTTCTTCCCTCTCTCCCTCCCTCCTTGCCTCCCTCCTTCCTTCCCTTCCCTTCCCTTCCCTTCCCTTCCCTTCCCTTCCCTTCCCTTCCCTTCCCGTCCTTCGCATTTGCCTCAGGACACGGACTTCAACCTCCGCCACGTCTTGCACCCCAGCAGCGCCTGCTGCCGCCTCTGGCTGCAGCTGGCGCCCCGGAACCCCGCGGACCCCGCGGCGGCGGCGAACGCGGCGCCGCAGGCGGGCTGCCATTGAGCCGTTGGTATTTCCTCTGTAACCAACAGTCGTTCTGGTTTCAACAATAGTTTCAATGGTCCATCCACGGTCTGGGAGTTGGTTTCCCTTTTGCTATTGGGTTGGATCTTTACTTCAACTTTTTGGTCGAAATCAAGGGGTCACCCATGTAGTTTCATTGGGGTAAAGCCAAATGGGGAACCCAGTTGCCCAGTGGGTTGCTTCTGTTCATTCCGTTTTTTGGGAAGCTAGGTCCCCCAGTAGTACCCTTTCTCACCCCTTTTTCGGTTGGGAGGGTTCCGAACCCTACTAAAATAGACTACAGGAAAAAGAGTACCCTTATTCTAACCCCTCTACTGGAGGATCTAGGTTATTTCATTCCATGCTTTTTTTTGGGCGGGGAAATTCGAGCCTGGAAACCAGAGGAGAGCAAGGAAACCACGCGATTTTGTTTGGGGAAATCAGTTGTTTGCCCTGTGGAGAGCAGAGAACCACTCACTACCTTTGATCCAGAGGTGTGTTGCGATGATTCATTTGATTCATTTGATTCATTTGGTTGTATGTGTCGGGAGTTGCTCAAATTGGTGGACCGCTTTTCGGTTTTAATTGAAGGGAACCTAGAAAGGAACAGACTAAATCATATTAAAGATCACTATTTCTCAAACATCCAAATCAACATGAACCCAAAAGGGTTTTTCAAGGGCCAGACTCATGAAATGAGAATTAGAATTAGAGACTACCTTTAATAATCCGGCCCATGCTTTAGGGCCACCTGTAAGGGGCCCAAGAAACCTGAAGATCCTGGGCACATTGCGTGTAATCATTTGGCCCTCGTAGGGTGCACTTCAACTCCGGGGGCTCCTTCTGCAGAATCCCTCGGGTTTTTTTCTGCGGGCGGTGTCCAGTCCGGTGCAGGTGATTGCTGCAGCGCTGAAGCCGGGGGCTGCGTTGCAAGGCCGGGGAAAAAGGGGGGAGAGTTGGGTTTGGAGCGGGTTTGGTGGCAACATCAGCAGGGGCTTGGGGTTGCCTTGTTGTCCAGGTCGCTTGGCTTTGCCCAGAGAACCCTAGTGCCAACCGGTTTTGAGCAGCGAGTCTGTCTTTGACCCCGAATGCTTTTGCTGGGTAAAGACAGCTTCCGCTACGTTTTGCCAGAGTGCTGAAACTCAGTGGATGATGATCCTCAAGTGCAAGCCAACATCGAGAAATAAACATCCTATTTGTCAGTTTTCTGTGTGACACAAGTTGCATCTCAACCTGTTTCTTGTTTATCCCCCCATATTTTGTCCTATAGCGTGTCCATGTTTTATTGATCCACGGTTTCGTGTCTATCTTTTTTCCTGCTGCAAGCAATGATTTCCACACCCTTGGAGGCAAGCCCCATGCGCCTGCGTGCCACGAAAACAAAGAACACCAACCACTTGTTTGTCATTTTTCTCGCTTCCTGGGTTCGGACCATGTTGGGCGGTAAATCAACAGTTCCCATGTTGTTTTTTCGCCCACTTCACTCCTTGGGAAGTGAGTTTTTGTTTCTTGATGCCCGCCTCCTCATGTTTTTCTCCCTGCGCCTCGCTCGCCTCGTCGGCCTCGTCGGCTCGGCCCCGCCTCTCGGCCCTCGTCGCGAGGCCCGGCGCCGGTGGCGAACCACGGGCGCGGCGGCCCGCTGCGCTGCCGCTGCCCCTTCTCCGCGCGGCTCCTCTCCGGGCCACGCGGCGAGGGCGGGAGGCGATGAGGGGAGGCGACTTGGGCGGGTTCACTCGGCTGGGTGGGAACCGAATGCCTGGCATTCGGTTCCTGAGGTTTTAGTTGGATTTTAGTGGTTTTTAGTTGTTTTTTGGAAGTTTTTGGTTGTTTTTAGGGGTTAGCTCCGCACTGAACCACCAAACGTTAAACTTCTAACAGGGGATTTGGGAAAAGCCCAGTCAAAGCAGGTCCTGAAGTTGACAAGTTTTGCAACATTCTGCAGGTTTTGAGAGCCATGCGTTCCCTGAATCCGAGTGCAACATGAAAGGTGCTCAGAAGGTTTGCCAGAGAGAGTCCAGATGCTTGGTGTCAGCAAAAGTACTGCTCATACAACCAACTTGCAAGTTGCAGTCTCAAAGGGCTTCTCTGCCAACCACCAAAAGGGCGATTTCATGGTTTGTTTTTCTGTAGTAAGTTGTCAAGGTGGATGTCTTCTTAGACTCAGAGGCTGGACAGATTTCTCCGGCATCGCTGCATGTGTGCAGATTTGGCAGTTCGGGGGCCTTGTATTGAATGCGAGGTTCAGATTGGAAGGTGGGTGGTGCACATGGCTGGTGGGCCATGGTGGGCAAGCCGCCAATGGGTTGCCATGAAGGCAGACAGTGGCCTGCCTGGAGTCGCAAGCGCATCTGCCGGCCTTGCCCAAATATGCTTCCAAGCACCCTGGGCATTTTCTTGTGGCAGAAAACAGAAGATACTCGTAGCGGGTGCTCACACTTTCCCAAAGTGAAGCCAGGACATGGGCACTTCCAACTTTTGCGGACCCCTCCAAAAAATGAGAAACCAACAGGACATGAGTTCAGACCCCGTAGGTTCCCTTCGCCGAGGTGTGCTGGGGTCACCAGCGGCTTGGAAGACCGCGACCCCGGGCGTGCCTTGGTTCGGGGCTAGGTGTTTGGACCTTGACAGCCGGCCTGAAGCCTTTTTTGGAAGGAGTATCATTTGGGTCTGTCCGTTTTCGAGGAAGCCCTTTTTGGTTGGTCGGCAAGAGGGACATGAAGAGAAAGTCCAAGCGATTGTGGGGAGTCACACCCTTATGGCTGCTTCGAGTTTGGGATCAAACACAAGTCCTTTGGCTTTCTTCGGGTTGCTTCGGCATGTTTCTGCAGCCACTCGAAAGTTCCAAAAGCTCACCTAGGCCACTGGCCAAGGGTAGCTACCTCTGATCATTGTCATGGATTGAGGGCTCATTTGTCGGACTTCCAGCCTCGAGCGAACTGTTTCCCTCAAAACAAGAGAGAAACATGCATTTTCACATGAAGCAGCATGAATTTGTGTTTGTTTGTTTTTTTGGGGGGGGAGTGGCCATGCCAGTTGCGTTGTTGCGTTCCCAGGTCTGAGGAGCCTTTGCGCCAGGATGATCGGCGCAGGGCTCAGAGATCTGTTGAGCGGGAGGTTGGCCCCAGATGCTGTGTGTGTTGCGTTTTGAGGGTATCCGATTTGTTGGTTCAAAAGAAAAATGAAACCACCTCGTTTTCTTTGTAACCCTATCTGACACACGTGTGTGTGTGCAGTCTGAGACCTGGTCAAATGCACTTGATGCACTTGCCCCTTCCCCTCAAGCAGACACCAGCGCAAGGCGCAACCGAAAGGCGGAAGATGGGACTAAACCCCTGGCAATGCTGCATTTCTCCGCAAGTAACTTCGACTGCCGGGAATCGACGCCAACCGGCATTTGCTCATTACGCTCATCGACTGAACTTGTTTGGCCATTCCGCCAAACCTTCTTCTTTGCGTCCCTTTTTATCAAGTTGCGAAACACTGGTTTCCCTTGACTCCTTGAGGTTTTCCGCCACCAGTGCTTCCAGTTGCCACTATAGGTGCAGGGCAAACCATCTACAGACAAAAAGGCAATACTCGACTGATTGTCGCGTATTAAATGTGGTCAGTGTTCTGTGAGTCCATTTTGAGTCGTTTTGACAGAAGCCTATTTGAGTCACAATCAAAATCTGGAAAAAGAAGGTCTGAGCAAAAGCTGAAAAAGAATCAAAATGCCGATAGCCTCGCCTATTCATGGCTGGGACTGCACCTTAGCGACCTTCATTCTACTCAGGTCTAGCACTAGAACATTTGCCAGTTCCGGAGTGATCTCCTTCCAGGGAGGTCTCACCCATTCGCAGGAATGCTCCTGAAACAAATAGAAAGGAAACCAGAGGCCCCCAAAGCCACCCTGGACCCCGCTCTTGACCATGACCAAGCAACTACGTTCTTGTGTTGACAAAGGGCCGAGGCCTTCAATACAGAAAGGGACGCACCCCAACCATACCCCACCAAAGCATACCACACCATGCCATATCACACCACACCAAAGCATACCATACCATGCCAGACCACACCAAGGCACACACCATGCCATACCACACCACGCCAAAGCATACGACACCATGCCATATCACACCACACCGGGCTACATCACACCACACCAAAGCATATCACACCATGCCAAGCCACACCACACCAAAGCATGCCACACCATGCCATACCACACCATGCCATGCCATGCCATGCCAGACCATGCCATACCATAGCATGCCAAGAAGCCAAGAAGTCGAGTTTTGCCCACGCCATCCCACACATCCCGTGCACGGTTTTCCATAGGCGACGGCGCCTTGGAGGCTTTTCAAGCGCTGGAGGCGGCCGACCCAGGCGCGGAAAAGCGCCCCTTCGCTTTGCTTGGCCGCCCGTGGTTGCGGGAGTCGTAAACCTGCGCAGCAGCTTAATTGCTGGGTGCATAACCCCACGTGGACTTTGGACTGTCCCCAACGCCTGGCGTAACTGGACTCATTTCTTGAATGTCTCTAAATGGGGTTCGTTTTTAGCATAGTCCATGGTCCCTTTGGGGGTTGAGACTCTCTAACTTCTACTCAGCTCACTCATTTTCCCACAGAACCCGCGGGACACACCAATGGTCCCATGTTTCTATGGGAATGTCGAACCACTTGTGGGACCTCGGGCCCCCGGCATTGATATATCTGTGTGCCAATTCAATTTCATTTGGCATTAACATGGTAGAGATGGTCATGGACCCCTTGAAGCTCAGACAACCAGGGTGATTCTGTCAAAGGAGCCATGATTTGCGGCGCATGTGTCGAAACAAAGGCACCTATTGGCCCTGAAGCAAGGGCTGACATGAAACCGTAAAGCTCGACCTGGGTGTTTTGTAGAAAGCACCGCAGAGACTGCCTTGTTTTGATGTTGAAGGGAAGCAGCGTCCGAAAGGGGGTCCCAGTTTGTGGACACCTCCTGTGTCTACATGGTCAGTTTGCACTCTGGTTGGGCCAGGAAATCTTTTAACTTGTAGCCAGTCAACTCAAATGAGACTCTTTACTATTGGTGTTTGGCAGAGACTGCTAGGCTCGCATCGTTTGCCTGCTCAGCAACCTCCAGGGCAAGCAGCTAGCTTAGGTCACCACATGTTGAGCCAGGGGTCTCTACAGGCCCCTTTTCAGGTGGTTTGAACACCCTTCGTGCCACGGCCAAGTTTTATTGACTTCCAGGTCCCAGTTGCCCAGTGGATTCCGTCCCTTTTTCCTCCGTTTTTTTTTGGGGGAGGAAGGGTTCCGATTCCTTTAAACTCAACCAACCAAAAAAGGATGCAGATTCTTCTTTCCCCATGGAAATTTCCTGGGGATCTGAGAAGTGATGTAGGCGTTGCATACAAGCGCTGTGAGCGGTTCTTTTGGTCAGGTGCTCTGCTGCACGACGCCGTGGCGATGTGGGCGCCTTTGTTCCCTCATCTGGACTTCGAGGTGGTTCTGAAGGCGGGGCAAGTTCCTTCTTTCGTCATGTTTTGCATCATGCCATGCGTGATATGTAGAAAATGTTCCTGTCGCCTGTCGTCCCCAGCCCCCCTCCCCCCCAAAGGTTGAAGCAAGACTTGTTGGGGGATTTGGTTGCAAAGACTTGGCAACTGGTTGTGGGTTTGTCTCAATAGGGAACCTCCAAAATCGGGATCCCTTCAAACAGATGGTTCCGTGTTGGTTTCGCTTTACAGCCGACTGGCCCAGTTCTACCAGGGTCAAAGTCACCCCCCGAAAGTGGGAGGTTGAAGGGAAACCACCAACCGGTTTCTGACTTTGAGACCTGCAAGAAACGGTCAAACAATGACCCGAGCAAGGGTCGCCGTTGAGCGCACAGGTCTACACTTTGGCCGTGAACCAGGAGATGGAGCTACCCGTGAAGTCACCGCTGGAGCGGTTGCTTTCGGAACACGTTCTTCGCGGTTTTGTTTGGTGTGTCTTTCTTGGGCCGGCATGAAAACCCGGGTAGCCAGAATTAGTTGCGGCCTACATTGGTTTGGGTACACCATTTTAATACCAGGTTTTGGTTTTGTCTTTTGTGCGGGAACCCCAACCAAAGTGTTTCTCAAGAGGGACCCCTGCAAGCAGGCTTTCCTAAACAGCTAGCAGATTGATTGGGGAATCCGGTGATTTTTGTCCAGGTGCACGGCTTTTCTTGTGGCGTCCCTCCAATTCCATCGGGGGGAACCACATATGAGACGGACCTGTTTGGAGCCTTTGGTCCCCCCCAAAAAAAAAGAGCACCATCTAAGCTTGTGTAAGGTCTGGGGTCCGCGGGGGGCCCTTGACCACGGGATTTGGAGTGGGTTTCAAAGGGTATGAGGCCACTTGTGGGCTTGGAAACAGCTGACAACGAGGGGGGTTGCAACATGTTTTTGGACCCCAGAACAAAGATGTTAGAGAGTCACGACAGGTTGCGGGTTCGGAAAAGCAGGGTCCCCAAAAAGAAGGCATAAATAAGTTCGGCATACGATACTCGCATCTTGTTGGGAAGACCATTTTTAGCGGTAAACCGAAAGTTCGGACTTTATCTGGCCAATCACTCAGGAAGTGAGGATATGGGCATCTTATAAATCGAATGTCTACTTTTGATTTGTAAATACTTGGAGGTGATGCCCCAGTGTGAGGAAACACCCGGGATCTGGACAAAGAAGACAGCTGAGCATCGCTGTCTGCATTGGCGACTGTCCCTCTTCACTTTACTTTGCTCAAGCCGCTCACTATATATATATATATATGGTGCGCACCGTGATGGAATGTAGCCAAGGGGTCCGATGTAGTCAGGGGTTATCTAAGGTGCGCGTAACACCCCTCTTAAAACGCACTTCTTTGGCCAATCAAAAGCGGTGTGTTAGGTGTTTTAATGAGGTTCAGTCATACGTTTCCCTCTTTACATACTTGTTGTCGACTCGCGCATTGTTCCTCTGCTTACGTTCGATGGTTCCTCGGCTTTCGCGTGTCAGCGAAGCGCTCCTCCAAACAGAAAACGCTTCAACCCCAGGACTGTCCTTTTGGGAAGGGAAAGGGATTCCTGTGCGGAATTGGCCGTGGATCAAAAGGTGCACCACCCATTTTAGTCTATTTTAGTTGGGAGCACTTGTTGTCGAGGCCAATTATCTATCCTCTTTTGGTGGTTTGCGAAAAGGGGAATTCAACCAGAAGTCAAAAGAGTCTGTTCAAAATGGATATCCTCTGGAGTCCTGCTGGTCCGTTTCCTTCGGTTTGCTTTTGCAGCAGAAGAACGACTTGCCCAAAGTTTTGCAAACTGTGGACCCCCTCCCCCGCTTTGGGATGTGTTCAACGGGAAAGCAAAAGGAAACAAAAAGCCACCTGCAATGATGAGTCTGACTCATTTGGGGAACCAAACATGTAGGTATGCCCTGACTTTCTGATCCTAGATGGATGTCAATCTCTCAAAGAACGAGCCAAAGCAGCAGCGTCCCAAAGCCTGGCCAGGTCTGTACTTCCAAGTCAGCTCCGGTTTGCACTTCCGTTGTGAACCTCTTTGCTTCCCCAGAATTAGTTCCCTTTTTGATTTTTTTGCATTTTTGGGGTTCCCCTTGTTTCACTACCAGGCATTGCTGGGGTCCTAATTCCAGCCAAGTTTGGACACTTGTTTGAGCTTCCTTTCTTCTTGCTGTCCGAAGGAATCTAGGGGAGACTTCCCATTTCCTCTGAACCAGCTGTAGTTTTAACTGGTTGAACCAACAGGCGTCCCCCAGTTTCCCCGTTTTTTGAACCTCCAAGAGTGTCAAATTTGTTGTTGGACCCAGGCCCCAGACAAAAAACACAACTCGGAAACGGACGCCCCCGTGACCCCAAGACCCCGCCGCCCGGACACGAGGAGCTGGTGGTGGGCTTTCAGGCCTGCAGTGGACTGGCGCAGGCCGGGCCGAGTTACGTTTCGAGGATGCCACTTGACACCAGTGACGTCCTGCGGACGTCACTGAACACCATGACAATTTTAAAGACTAAAAATTTGAGGATGTTGCTTGACGCCTTTTTGAGTTTTTTTTTTTGAGGATGTCATTTCACACCATTTAGAGTTTTTTTTGGGGTTGCGTCACTTTTTTGCCATGGTCTTCAAATCCGGCTCCGAACCAGGACTTCAGACCATCTTCCTTCTCTTGGTGTTCCAACAAGCTTCTGTAAGAAGACAGCTAACAGACACCTATAAAAGAAGACACATCAAAGACAATCTATAAGATGACACCTATTAAAAAAGCTTAAAGAAGCCGTTCTTCCACATTTGGTGTTCCAACAACCTTCTTTAAGAAAAGACCTATAGGAGAAGCTGCACGACCGTTGCTTCAAAGGTTTGAAGAAACTGGCGCAAGTTTCTTGGGCCGGCTCTACGAGCACCTGGCCTTTGCGCGTCAAGCGCCAGCGACTTTTGGCGGGTTCAACCTGGGTCCTGGCCTTCGGCAGATTGCAACCTTGCTAGATCTCGGCTCCCCACCTCTCAGGTAATTCTTCAGCTGGTGGTTGGAATTTTGCTGGCTTGGGTCGAAGCCCTGGTTGTAGAGGGTACATGGGAAACCACCAAACCACCGATTCGGCTGCAAGCCACACGTTTTGAGGGCAGCTGAACTCCTCCGCGAAGCCTGGCAGGCCATTTGCTCGCTGCTGTCCCTGGTCGAGGCAGCCTTCGGGGACGGCGAGCAGAATGCCGCCCGGGGCCTGGAGTTATTCGGGGACACGAATCCCAACTTCCATTTGCTTAAGAACATTTTTTATTTTCCCCTGTTGGTTTTAAAGGGAATCTATGACTACTGGAAATATGTTTATCTTTTCTAGGGGGCTTATGCAAATGGAAGCCAATCGTCTAGCAAAAGCCAATGGAAGCTGCCCGAAGGGCCTTTCCGGACCTGCCGAGGCCTCGCTTCGTCTGGTGGAGGGCCTCACCTCCGCCGGCGGAGGCCTCGCGGCGGCGGTGGCGGAGGCGCTGGGGGCGCTGGACGCGGACGACGACTTCGTGGAGCGGCTGGGGGGGGGGTGGGTCGCTGGGTGGGGGGGACCGGACTGCTCAGTCCCTGAGTGCCTGGACTTTGAACACTTTTTGGGAAACAACAAGTTTGGGTACTTTTTTTTGGCCAGTGCACTCAGGAAGTGAGGGTGTGGGCCAGCGTTTGGAGTCCAGGTTCCACCAAACCTGCCAAAATTTGCCAATCCTCCCACCTGATTACCGAAAGAGCTGTTTGGCCATACTGTTGATCCACCGTATTGCTGATAGGCTTGGGGCCAGGAGACCGCGAGAATACTCACCCCTGATAAAGGGGGGGTGGGGCGTTATGTAACCCAACACCATCACCATATGGCCCTCGTTGAAAAGAGGCGCTTGGAATAGCCTTCGCAGGAGCGCGCCCGGCCCCATGTGCAGATGCTACTCTTCACCGCCGCGGCAAAGTCCGATGCCGCTCGGAGTTGCCATGCTCGCGAGTCAAAACCAGCCCCTCCAAGTTCCTATGAGTGGAGCAACATTGAACATTCATTTCGGCCTGATATGTAGATGTAAGTCGTACTTGTTGGGTGCTACATACGTAGCCCATGCTTTTTATCTTACAGGAAACCAACAGGGGATGCACTATGTTTTTCTCGGTTTTGCCAGAACCACTATTCAATAGGGTGTGTCTTTTTCACACCAAAAGGAAATCAAAATCCTTTTTTGGGGCTAAAACACGACGAGCCGCCCAATCCCACCATTTTGTGGCGGACACCCCCCTTCCCCCCCTAAAAAAGTCAATATTTTGGTTGGGGCCCTAAACAAAGGACGAGCCACCAAATCCCACCATTTTTGGGGGGCTAGAAAGAGACACCCAATACTCCAGGTTGATTTGGTCCAAGGGAACTCACTGCGCGAGACGTGATCCATCCGAGGCGTTGCAGATGGCGCCCAGCTGGTGGCGCCTCCGTGTGAAGCTGCACTTCCGTGCGGCCCTGCGGTGCCGGCAGCTACCACAGGTTCGCGCCTGCAGAAGATGTTGGCATGTGTCACTGGAAATACGATTGCTTATTTCCAGGGGACTTAGGCAAATAGAGGAAACACAGGATAGACATCTCTTCCTGAAGTCATAGCTATGATTTGTTAATGTTGAAACGCATGTGGAAACATGAACTGTGTGTGGAATGCTTGACCACAATGGCATGTGCCATTTTGGCTCAAGCATTGTTCTGGGTTCCTGGAACCCAAGCTGATTGAAAAACTTTGATCTTTTGCATTTTCGAACTTAACCCCGACCAAGCAATGGCTTCCTCGGCAACCTCGGCAACTTCCTTTGAGTTGATTGAGGACCAGACACTCACCGTGGAGGAGGTTGAAATGGCCAGCCAGGAGGCCCAGGACATTCGCACACGGGAGGCGGCAGTGGCGGCCGGCTTGGTTTTGGACGAGCCCGAGGCCCCCCCGTCAGCTTCGGCGACCGATGTGATGAAGGACCTCTCCAGTGCACTGGAGCGTCTCCGAGTGGCATTTGCCACACCGACTCCCGGCTTGGGTGCCCCTGGCCCCGCCGAGGAGGGCGACAAGGACATGGGGGATGCGGACGGCACGGAGCGGGCCACACCACCGGAGGAGGCGCAGACGCCACCCACGAAGAGACTGAAGGGCTTCGTGGCAGCTTCTCAGAAGGCTACGTCTCAGGCCAACAAACCTGTCACCTTGGTGCCGGTGGACGGAAAACCCGGGTACTTCAAGCTGGTGGACCTCCCAGACCTGTTTCCAGTCCTTCCAGCGTCGGCGGCCACCTTGCTGAGAGACATCACGGATGGAGGAGGCGGTCTCCCTGTTTCACAAGTTTGTTGGGAAGAACCTCACGGAGGACCTGGTGATCCGCATCTTGGAGGCGTACGTCCCGATGAAGATCCAGCTCCGCCAGGAGGAGGTCTGGGGCAGTTCCAGAGGAACAAGGCGTGTATCGGCACCCAGCGCATGTACAGGCTCGACGCAGGTCATTCCGACTACAAGTTCATGTGCAAGGCATGCGGAACGGGGTGGCCAGAGGCAGCCAAGCAGTGCTGGGTCTGCCCCGGCAAGGAGTTCGCCCCCTTCCAGGCACCCTCGGCCACCTATGAGGCGGACGGCATCACCTACAACCTGCTCATCTTGGAGGGCAAGCCGACCTGGATCCAGCAGCGGGAATGGGGAAGCCTGGGTGCCGTTGGCCCCGGTGGTACCCTGGCACAGGCCGACCGCAACTTGGTGGACGGCACGGTCTTGGGGAGAGCCCCTCCAAAAACGGACTCGGCGGATGAGATCACCATGGCAGATGCGGTCCCGCTTAACAGGCGGGTGGACATCCGGCAGGAGATCCTGTCCATGGAGGCGGACGACGAGGCGTTGAAGGTCCGGGAAAGCCAGGAGATCAAGGTCAAAGTGCAGCGGTCCCTGAAGGAGGCGGAGGCTCAGAGCTTCGAGCTCTACCATCCCCAGGTGGACCAGGCGATCAGGAAGAAGGAGGAGCTGCATAAGGCCTTGCGGGAGCATCGGGAACCGACTCCGGAGGAGGCCTCGGCCAGGCGGCGGCACAAGGAGTTGGTCACTGAGGCGATCCTGGCGCCCCTCCAGGAGGGCATGCAGGCCCTGCCGTCAGATGAGGTGGCCAATGAGGGAGCCCGTGCCCTCAGGAAGGTCAACCTGGAGCGTTTCAAGGCCAAGCTGAGATCAGTACTTGGAGGGGAAGGGCGTTGACGCCAGCCAGGCATTGGCTGAGGCGATGGGCTCCATTCAGGAGGCTCAGGCGGCAAACAAGCGAACCCAGCACACCAACCAGGCATGGATGCTCAACCACACTCTCAAGCCTTTGGAAGTGTTGGCGTGGCCGGATGATCTCAGGAAGGCCCTGGAGAGGGGCCTATTCTGCCCCCTGGAGCTGGATGACCCCGACGACATCCCCCCGTGGGGGACATCAAGGAGAAGTATGTCCCCTACATCAAGATGCTCAGAGCGTCGCAGAACCCGTGGCACCAGGAGGCACTGCTGGAGGAGATGCCCGAGCTGGAGGCACCGGCCCCCCCCAAATTTGCCACCGGCCAGCCCATGTCCCAGCAAGACCTGGACTCTGAGGAAGACAAGCTGTCCCTTATCCCCTGGGCAATGAAAGCGGCACCAGGGAGAGCTCCGGATGTTTGGGGGGGTTTGGAAGAAGCACGCAAGCGGTGAGATCCCCCGGGGCGCTGACCAGCAGTTTAAGCTCGCGCCGGAGGAGCTCCTGGCCCTTGAGCGCAGGACTCACCCATTCACGTGCGGGCAGGACCACATCGACCCAGTCATCTACACGGCCTTGGAGATCCGAGCTCAGGTGAACCGGGGCGAGCGCCCGGCACCGGAGCAGGTGGTTGGTATCTTCTGGGCGAAGGGGGATGGGGTGTTTTGGACCAGACAGACGAGAACGTGGGACCTGCCGAGCCTGACGGGAGTGTACGCCCACAGGTTCACATTTAAGTATACCTACTCGGCCTGGACCACCTTCCCGTTGATTGTGAAGACGCAACGCCGGGGCCGCAATGCGGAGGGCTCGACCTCGGACAAGTGGATGGGCAACATTATCCAGATGAGGAAGGAGGCGGTGCCCTTCCTGGAGAGCCTGGGCATCCCCAAGCCGCGCAGCAAGGAGGAGTGGAGTTACATCTTTAAGGGGATGGGGACATTCCTGGCAGCAAAGAATTTTATCGTGAACTGCCCGTTGCCCGTGATGGAGATGCCGGTGGCCCCCATCCATGACAGTAAGGAGGCGCTGCGGTTCAGGGCAGTTTGCGACGAACGGATCACCCTCCCGCTGGCCTCGCTGAAGGCCTTCGACTCGGTCTACACCAAGTTGGTGGCGGGCCTGAGCAAGTCGTCGATGGTGGAGGTGAAGGTCAATTGGCGCTGCAATGTGGTCCACGACTGGGTCGAGCAGGTCCTGCAGGAGGCGGCGGGGGCCTTGTATGACAGGTTGGGCTACTCCCAGGACCTCATCCGGCAGCTGGGTTGCTCCCCCCCCTTGGGTGCCGTTGGCCCCGGAAAAAAGCGGCCAAGGAGGCGGACCCAAAGGCCAAGGTCCTGGAAGGGGCAGACACCCCAGACCAGGGCACCAGGCGGTACCCGCCCCTCACCGCGGCCACGGTCACGGCGGTTGCGGGCCGCAAGTACGTCAACAAGCACTTCCCCAAGGAGGCGAAGCATGTGTTTTGGGGCTCCGTGGAGTGTGGCTTGGTCTTGCCAAGCATCAGTGCCTGGGAAGTGGTGAGCAAGGAAAAGTTCAAGACCACGGGGGGCTATATGTGCAGATTTTGCAAGGGCTTCTGGAAGGCGAGCCGCGGGGGGACCAGGCTGCTCCAGATCACGGGGTGGCACAGGGATAAGGCCACCTGCTTGCAGCTGGTGATGGACGAGCCCCCGGAGCAGCTGTACAATCAGTGGATCCGCGATCGGATGGAGTTCTACAAGAGGGTGGAGCCAACGGAGCCTCCCAGGGATGAGCGGCTGGTCCTGGGCGACGCGAGCACCCCCCGCATGCGCTTCAGCTCCTCGAACGGCCTGGATGTCTCCACGGCCTTGTGGTCGGTCATCCTGAGCAACCCGGAGAAGTCGGGGCTGGCGGCAATCCACTCGGTGGTGAAGGAGGCGATCCTGAAGGGAGGGAGCCGCTAGGTTTTGTCTCACAACCCTGTCGGATGTGGGAGTCGTGTGATTTCTTCCTCCCGGGACTTGGGTGCCTTTGGCCCCGTCTCCGGGGGGGGAGGGGGAAAGGGTTTTCCTAATTGGGTTCGGTTTTCACCACTGTTTCCTCTCTTATTCCATTCTGGTGGCGCACGTGGGTTCTTCTGGTTGCATGGCAGTGGAGCCACGTCACGGCAGCTTGATCTCCTCGACCATGAGGCCACATGCATTGGCTGCCCCAAGGACGGGCCATCTCAGCCACGGTTCGGAAAAAGTGGCTGCGGCCGACTCTTGGTTTCCTTTAGGTCCCCTTGGGTTTTGGGGAATCCCCCGCCTGGTCGGTCTCCCCCCTCCGTGCTTTTGGGGGGTTTCTGGGGGGTTGATTTTGGGTCGCGCTCCCCCCCTTTCCCGGTTAAAATCTCGGGACTTTGGGGGGGACTTGTCGGGATGCGTGTGGCCTGCCTGCTCCATCTGCGCTCTGCATTCTGCAAGGTTGGAGCATGCATGCATTGTGCCGCGGTTGGGTCCCGGCGGTTCGATAGGAGGCTCGAAACCCCCTTTTTCATCATGGCTAGGGTATCCACCAAGTTTCTTATGCGCCCGCCTTACACACGTCTTTGGGACCGCATTCCAAGGGTCCTATGGGACACTTTGGCGGATGAGTCCTTCTCCCCGAGACAGTTGGTCCTGATGTGCCTGCGCCAAGGCACTGAGGAGGAGGGGAGGAAGCTGGGAGAGCCGACAATCCGCTTCTCTCAGCTCCTGGAACTCTCGGGCATTCCGGTAGGACAAGACGACCACGTGGTCCCGACGGACTACTTCAACGGCCTGGTGGCGTCGGCGGCAGGCAGGCTTCCCCAGCCTCTGTCCGCGGCGGACCTGGCCGACCTGTGGGACAGCCTATGGTTCCTCCTCCTGGCGACGGCGGATGGCAAGCCGAGCGAAAACTTTTCCCCGCTGGAGAATGAATGGGACCGCCAGGACCAATGGAGGTGGTTCTCACGAGATGACCCACCCCCACTTCAACAACCGGAGCTTCTGAAGTGGAGGCACTGGCGCCCGGGCAAAATAAGGGAAATGGAGCCCACGACCCAGCGAGCGCTGGAACTCCATATGCGCGGGAAATGGGCGGAACGGCTCCTCGCCCACTTTGCCCCGTTTGCGGAGCACATCGCGTACATGCAGGACATCCTGGGGGAGGACTTCCGCAAGGAGGCATTGGACCTCCTGGGGGACAATAGGTTCCGGACACTCAGGCAACATTGCCTGGTCTACGAGAGTCTCCGGAAGAGAGGCTTCACGGTGATTCCATGGCAGGAAC